CACCTCTGGCACCGACAGCCCCAAATAGCCAGTCCACTTCTTCTGGGGCCGAAGTTCTGCAGCTGCATTCAGGCCGGCATTTTGCAGTCAAGCCTTTCCAGAAGGCCTAAGCAACCACGTACCGAGCTATGGATTCAATCCATAGCTTGGTGCTCAGCTGCTGAGGTCTTGCAGAACTGAGCTATGGATTGAATCCGTCGCTCAGTTCCACAGGCCTTCTGAAAAGCCCTGTGGCTGAGAAATGCCCTGGCTGCAGAAGAGGCCTCAGAAGAAGTGGGCCAGCAAGGAGAGGCCTGGCTGGAAGGTAAGTAGTTTGATTTTTAGGTGTGTGCCTCGCCCCAAAACTAGGGCTTATTTTGGGGGTAGGGCTTATATTAGGCCTACCCCCAAAAATCAAGGTAGGGCTTATTTTTTGTGTAGGCTTTACTTTTGGGGAAACACAGTACAATACTATAATTAACATTAAAGACGCAGAAGGGGAGGGCCTTTCAAGGCCCTAACCAATCCCAAGGTTGTGTGCCTTCTGTAAGCCTCAAGCAAATCTGCAGAGCCAGGTCTTCAGATATTTCCAAAAGGCCAAGAGATTAGAAACCTGCATTACCTCTTGTCATCAAAGTCCTGCCTTTTTTTCACAAGGACCCTCTTATAAAGGTTTTATCACCTACTTAGGAGTACCGCAACACTACAGATGAACCGCACTCCATATGGAGAGAGGAGTTTTCTGTCGCTATTCTTTTCTTTAATTAATCATATTTTATAATTTCAGATCAAGTCAGTGGAACAAGGAAAGAAATCTGGCACGGTTGGTTACAGAAAGAATGGGGATAGCTTGCTGTGGCTATTTGCTCCTTTATTGTGTTTTTGAACTTCTATTATTTTCTCAGAGCCCAATGGTGGATATTTAAGCTGATTTATTGTTTGAACTGGGAAAATCATAGGTCATTACCAACAACTCTCATCCCTGGATGCCATGCGGTTTTCATGTCAGGCAAAACAATAGGAATAGTAACAAATTGCCACTTACCTATGTACAGCACTTGGAAAAGTTCCTACTGTGACAGCTGAGAGAGCAAGTTCAACCTGACAGTTGTCACTTGGAGGATTGGATTCAACTAGTATGGGGTGGGGCAGGAAGAAGCCATACAAGCTGTGCTCCTTTGGTCTACAAAGGCTCTGAGAGTGCAAATATCCAATTTGCTAAACAGAGCTCTTCGTTATACTGTATTTGACTTGTCGTATATGGCAAAAAGGAAAATTTATCTCATTCAAAGAAAGGATGTTTTATGTCCTACCTTTTACTGTTTTTACAACAGTAAAAACATACTAAAAAGATAGAAAAATAAAGAATAGAAGGTGCAGAAAAAAATAAATAAAAATAAAAGAAATATATAAATCAGTCATTTATTTGTCACAAGTATATTTAGTAACCAACCACTTCCTCTTAAAATACTACAAATAATCTCTTCTTCCCATATGCCATTTCTGATCTATAAACAAATCCATAAAGCATTGTTATTTCAATCCTGGTATCAGCAGATGTCTATTGAAGATTAGCAGAAATAATTATGTATCTAGTTTAACCTTGATCACATAAAGCAACTTCATATTTATTCATTATGTTTCTAATAATCTTAATCCTTAGTCCATTCAAATGTCATAGAATTTGTCTGTGGAGATTCTCAGTCATCCAGGTCATAGTTGTCTCAAAAGTGTTTTTTTTCTTCTTCAAAAGGCAAGTGGACTGTTTTTTTCTTGAGAAGGAAGAAAAAAAACATTTTGTTTCTCATCCAAGAAGCTCATCAGAACTTCTCATCAGAACTGATGAAGTATCTTGGATGAAATACAAAATGTTTTCTTCTTTTTCCTCATGGAAAAAACAGTCCAGTTGCCTTTTGGGGGAAAAAGCACCTTTGATTCATAGAATCTGATTTCTTTTCATTTTTTCTTTGTCTCTTCTCACAAAATTCTTCAAAATTTTAACAAACATCTTTTGTAAATCCAACATGGGAAAATTATCCAGTGACTCTCATGGTTTATTGTTTGTATATTTTTAATTATTAAAACATCAGCTGCTTTCTTTTGTATGTCTGGTGTAGCATCTTTTTCCATATCACTCTTGTAGCCTGTCATTTATTAATCCCTTTCAACTCAGTCTTGATCTTGTCAAGTAAAACTTGTTCCTCTTCTATAACATTTTTAGACAGTTTCTCCATAGATATAGATGTCTCTATTGATAATATTAATTCATTTCTGAATCAATTTTTTAAAAATATCCTTTAATATGTCTAGTGTTAGAATATTTTGCTTAATTCTGCAATTTTAAGTTTATGTGTTCTCCTTTAATTGTAATCTTTACTTCCCTCTAGTGTCCAATTTTTAAAATCTGCCTTTTTTAAAATTCAAAAGAGAAATATTTTGCTCTGGGAAGAATTTTTTATAATTCATTTCAAAATCATCTTTCAGATTTACCTGGACTCTTAGTCCATTTATAACTTTCAAAAAGTAAAATGTTAATCTCCCCTTTGTTGTTTATTAAAAATTGTTTTTAAGTTCTTAAAGTTGTACTTAAAACTTTCTTTAGCCAAGCATTGAAGGAAATTCACCCAGTTCACTCAAACTGAGAAGAACAAATACATATTGGAAGGCAGGGGCAAGCCATTTCTTTCTGGCTAAAACTAGATGGACATTCCATATAAACACAGAGTCAAGCTGGAGTCTTCGCCTTTTTTAAATAATGGAAACAGTGCATAGAATATTAATCCTATTTTGAACGCTCATAAAATAGCTTTAAAAAAATCCCTTTGGATTACTTAGGCTAAATTTTATTCGCCTGGACTGAGGAAATTTCAAGCATTCCTACATACTTTCCATGTTATCTTCTATTTAATTTCTCATGTTACGCTTTGTCACTGTGACTGATTAATTTTTCATTTACAAGTACCGAAGATGTTTCTCATGGCAAAGATGAATGTTTCTTCCAAACTGTACCAGAACGAAACTTCTATTGATAAGTGGTTGCTAAATTAAGATGTTTAATATTACCACTGAAACTACTCGGACTACTAGTACAATGTGAGTTCTTGTAAATGTTTCAGCATCTAAATGTCATGTGGCTTTGTTGATCCAATTTCCCAAACATCACTTCAGGACTGAAATGTAGCCAAGATAATTTACTGAAGTTTACCTGACACTGATTGAAATGGCTAATTCACAGTGGAGAGATCCAATCTGTTTGTTCCTAAAAAGGGGACCAGAAAGATTTCAGCTTGAGCTAAAAGATGGCTTTCAAGCCTTATATAAAATATCCCTCTTACATTCAATATCCACAAAAATAGGAGATCTTATTTTTTTTCTTTCTCTTCAAACCAACCAGCAGGTAAACATATCTATGTGTATATGAATTTCCAACACGTGGAATGTGACACAACAGGCTGCACTTAGTGAAAACTATAGCAAAGTAGGTAATTTTTCTTTTTCAAAAAGGGACAGCAAAGGAACAGCAGCAGGTGCTAATCCACTACTGTACAGCCATGCCAAGATCATGCTACTGATACTCTGGGTCAGATCAGTTCACTAACGGAGCTAAATTTAAAGTCTTGGGGATACACACCCACACCCACACCCACATATATACATACATATACAAACACACACACACACACACACACACACACGATAAAAATCCTCAATCTCTGGGAAGGATATAAGCCAGCTGTTTATTGTTAAAAAGGTAAAACAATAAAAACAACTATTTACAATACTAAAAACAATCTAAGCTTTTGCTGGTCCACTGCCAGCGTCATTAGAGTGAGAGTCGGAGATGGGGAGGTTTCCTTATAAACCTTGCTAACTCAGTTTCTTGCCCATTGACCTGGTGATAGGGCCATCCGTCCTAATTCATCGTAACTGCCTTAATTGTCCCGCCTCCCCTCGTTTGCATTCCAACTCCTCAGCCTTTTCCTCCCCCTGTGAAGCTGGAATGCAAATGAGGGGAGGTGAGACAATTAAGGCAGTTACAATCAATTAGGACGGATGGCCCTATCACCAGGTCAATGGGCAAGAAACTGAGTTAGCAAGGTTTATAAGGAAACCTCCCCACCCCCGACTCTCACTCTGATGACGCTGGCAGTGGATCAACGAAAGCTTAGGTTGTTTTTAGTACTGTAAATAGTTGTTTTTATTGTTTTACCTTTTTAACAATAAACAGCTGGTTTATATCCTTCCCAGAATTCAAGGATTTTTATCATTGTACAGATATGCCTGGGATTCGTATTTTTAGTTATTAAGGACGTGTGTGTGTGTGTGTGTGTGTAAATCTCACCACAATTTAAGGTAAACACAATATACCAACTGAGGTTTTGAAGCTGCATTGCCAAAAACCAGAATCCAAAATGTTACGCAGAATTGTTCTCAACTCCCATAACAACTCAGCTATTCATATAAATCAGGGATGTAAGGTCTAAATAAGCTGGAAGGACCAATTTATGGGGATCATATTTGGAATAAATGCCAGGTGGTGGACATTTACTGGGAAAAGAGCCAGCGGAGACTAAACTGAAATTGACCATTTCTGTTTGGAGCAGGTTTCACTTTCTGTTCTCTCCGTTAGGTATCTATAACATACATTATAAGGTTTGGTAAATGAAGTAGCTTAAGCCAAAATATATTACTTTTCCAATGTATGGTGTCTCCAGAATAGGGCATATCTCCAGGAGATGTAATCTGGACATGGCTGATTACCTTAATCACAAGAACCTCTTTTCCAACATGGAGAAAATTAGAAAGTATTTGTGATAATCTGTGAACTATTATACTTAAATTACCTTCTCATAATTAGCTCTTAATATTTGCCTAGCTGATTCTTCCTCATCTATAGAACTTTTCAAATCTGCAGAATTTTTCAAGTCTTTTCCAGAGGTAATGAAGCTCATTTTTAGTGCAACACTTCTAATTTAATTATTCATATATTTCACACAACATAACGAATTGGGATAGGATAGTCTTATTGGTTTATTGCCCTTCCCACCATTAATTATGTTCCTTGATAGGAATCAAAACAGAACATTCAAACAATAGCAGGTCATTTCACAATAGCTGTGTTGTATTCCCACTGTTTTAGACAAATGCATAAATGAAGGATATCCAATTTTGGCCCAATAAAAAGAATGAGAAATGAAATGTTGATATTTTGTGAATTTTTCAGTGAGAAAACCTGGGAAAAGCAGTCCTAAACTAGTAATTTAAGGAAATGCTCCTATAGTTACTTTTTTTTTCCCTTGGGCCTTTTTCTAAGCACATTTGCTATGTAACTTTCTTGTTGCATCTGTATCTTGTATTCAGATGCTTGTTTCCTGCAAAACAACAAGAATAATACACAACCATTAACAATATGGCAAGAGCCCCTACTACCTCTGTTGGTGTCAGATCAGATCGGTATCCAGACTGAATATGATGTGTTGAATAAGTCAAAGAAATAAATGGATGAATATACCCATACAAAGTCCTGCCCAATATACATATAGTTGAAAATATTAATTACTACTTCTACTTCAAAGAAACAATATATAGGTGCTTTGCCAGTAATGGAGCTGGTTTAGATGTCATAATAATCATACATTATTGGGAAAGGAAGGAAGGAGGGAGGGAGGGAGGGAAGGAAGGAAGGAAGGGAGGGAGGGAGGAAGGAAAGAAGGAAGGAAGGAAGGAAGGAAGGAAGGAAGGAAGGAAGGAAGGAAAGAATTACAGCAATCCTTCAACTCCTAGGCTTGATACATCGTATTTGCCCTTGCTTTGATATGACTGCTAAGAGGCTCACCCTTTTCTATTGATTTTGTTCAATTGCAGCGTCTAAGGAAACCAGATGAACTGTGTTTAATTTAGCCACTTTCTTAAAGTATAACTTCATAACATTTGGCAATTTTGAATTAAATATCACCTCATGGCTATACCAAAGAAAGGGGAAGAGCATACTTGTTAAAACCATGTAATATCAAAACAGGCCTAGAACCTCTGAAAACAAACTGGAGGTTATCAAAAGAAAAGCAGATAGAAATGAAGTGAAACGAATGAAAAGCAGGAAATTTAGTTAGGAAACTAACAATGGATATAAATCAGATACAGCAAGGAAGCAGGAATATTATGATCCATTAAATATTACATCTGCTTTTTCTTTGGTTTACCTATTGAGAACTAAGGAACTAACAAACAGAGGGCAATCTGAAATCAAACAACATACATATAACGATTAAAATTAAAGGAAATTGATTATATCAAGAGGAAAATTCAACCATGCTACCTATAGGAACTGAGATGGAGCAGGCAGAAACTGTGGTTGGGGGGATGTGCTGGACTAGCCAATTAGATGAGAACTCTATGTTAGAATGTTTGGCATTTAAAGGGTTAGATACTGTTTACTTAAGAGATGGCTTATGGGTAATGTAGTTTTAGCTGTTCAGTGAATACTATGTTTAACAAGTCAGTGGGAAGGGGCCACTAAATTCATCACAGGATATCCTGGCTATGTGACAGCTTGTAAAAGAAATCTTTGTGAAGACAGACATGAGGTGATGTGTCCCATAAGAGCCATGGGGGTGAGTCTATCGTTAAATTTTCACCAAAAGAATGGAGAAGGTCATGATATGTTCATCAGAAGAACTCTTCTTGACTGTAAGTTATTGATTGAGATTCCTGTCAAATAAATGATCTAATATTATCCCGTTCTTTGGTGTTTATCTATTTGAGAAGAACAGGATTAAAGCAGAAATCTTGTTTGGACCATCTTGTGAGCCATTTATGCCTATTCCTGGATTGGGAAGCTTTGCTCACAGTCATCCTGGTTGGATTACTACAATCTGCTCTATATGGGGCTGCCCCTGAACACCACTCAGAAGTTACAACAGGTCTAACATGCTGCAGCTCCAGTTGCTCTCTGTTCATTATTAAAAAGATTATTATGTAAACCTCTTCATTTTTAATGACTTCTTTGCTCTTCTTTGCCTTGATTCAGATTAGTTTCCTGCTTTTCCTTCAAGGAACTTGAGGCAATGTAGCTTGTAAGTACACAATATTGGACATCTCTCTGTTTGCCATATTGTTGCAAGATGAACTGCACTGGCTCCCAGCTTCTTTCCAGCTGCAATTCAACCTTTAAGGCCCCACATTGCATAAAGCCAGATTATTTATGAGGCTGCCTCTCTCTGTGGCTATCTGCCCATCCCACTAGCCCAGGGGTAGGCAACCTTGGTTCTTTTATGACTTGTGGACTTCAACTCCCAGAATTCCTGAGCCAGCATGGCTGGCTCAGGAATTCTGGGAGTTGAAGTCCACAAGTCATAAAAGAGCCAAGGTTGCCTACCCCTTGACTAATGGGATATGTTCTAAGATGGGCAGCCATACAAATATTTTAAATAAATAAATAAATACAATTTCACTGAATTTGCTAAAGTATTTTAAAGTTATTTGTCTCCTGCTGAAGTTAACAATGAATAAGAGAAGGAAATCTCAGCTTGAGGTACTTACTCTAAGATTCGGTTTTGCTTGTTGATGAAGCAGTGCAATGCCTTGATTTCATTTTCTTTGCAGCTTAGAATATTTTCCTGCTTCTGAATATGGGTTTCAATTTCTATAAAGGGAAGTTGGGAGCCATTTAGCTTTCCTCTTCCTAAGTCTCAAGATCCACTTAGGGGTTTCAATGAGATCTGTTTCACCTCCTAACGCTCAACGTGCCCTTAGAATCCCAGGACCTTACATAGCACATTTTAAGAGTTGTGTACCTAAAAAAATTAAGCAGACCGATCATATTGCAATATAGATGTTTTTTGAAAGCTTGCATTTAGAAGTGTTTTTCTAAAAAAAAAAAAAGATCAATGTGCCCTTCAAACCTTTCAAATTTCTGTTGAACTTACCTGTACATTTGCTTATAAGTTTGTCTTTCTGAAGTGACTGTTTTAGAAGTTTACTCTTTATTTGAGAAAGTCTACAAGACAAGTAACAATGAATCAGTTTTATTTACATATTTGATGCACTGACTAGCATTATTAACTACAGTAGAAATAGGGACTCCAAGCATTCATATTTTGGGTCACATGAATTGTAACATATACCACTTAGAATTTACCAGTTTCATGTCTGAAACTATCGAATTGTCTGACCTGCAGAGCAATGTGAGTTACAGTTAATCCTCAACTTACAGTCCTAATCGAGCCCTGGAATCATGGTCTTAAGTCAGTGGTTCTCAACCTTTTTAATGTCACGACCTCCAACTGGTCGTAAGTCGAGGACAACTCAACCGGTCGTAAGTCGAGGACTATTGGCTTTTGAAAGCCAATAGAATTAGACTCTATTCTATTGGCTTTCAAAAGCCAATAGAATAAAAGGGAGTAGCACAGGTAAGGAAAAGGGGGAAAAAATGGCGGACTGCGTTGTTTGGCGACCCCCGTGAAATGGTCGTTTGACCCCAAATGGGGTCCCAACCCACAGATTGAGAACCACTGTCTTAAGTCATGCTGGTTGTTTAAGTGGGTCATCCTGGGACTGACCCAATATTTGTTTGTTCAATTGCTATGGCTGCCCATTTCAGTCAATGATGCGGGTGGCTTACAACTGAAAAAATATATATTACCTTAAAAATATTAAAAACATTTTAAAACAATAAAATGGTAAAACCAATAAAAACCATTCAAAACATACAAATTAAACATACATAGGAGCAAGATGCTTGGCTCCTTAGCAGTATAGCAGGAAGCAGAGCCCTTGACACATCCAGCAGCACCTCAGCCTCAGGAACATAGCCAGGATTTTGAGCCTTATGAAAGGCTAACAGGGTTGAGGTTGTTCTAATCCAGGGGTCTTCAAACTTGGCCCTTTTATGACTTGTGGACTTCAACTCCCAGAATTCCTCAGCCAGCATGCCTGGCTGAGAAATTCTGGAAGCTGAAGTCCACAAGTCATAAAAGGGCCATGTTTGAAGACCCCTGTTCTAATATCTGAAGAGAGGATGTTCCATAGAGCAGGGGCCACTGTGGGGAAAAAGCTCATTTTCTTTGGCTGACAGGATCTACCGCATGCCTATTCTGTCTGACCTGGTTGGATGGATATGCTTGAAAAAAGGGAATCCCTCAGGTACTTTGGTCCCAAGCCACGTAAGGATTTAAAAGTAACACCAGCCCCATGAATTGCACCTGGAAACACACCAGTAATGAGTGCAGCTCATGCAGGAATGGTGTTACATGTGCCATGTATCTGGCACTTTTTACTACTCGTACGACCCCATTCGGCACCAGTTGGGAGTTTCTAAATGGTCTTCAGGGGCAGCCCCATGTACAGCATGTTACAGTAGTCTACTGTGGAAGTTACAAGGGTGGGAGTTATTATGAGCAGGGCCTCTCTCGGTACTCCTGGCCCTGGACTCCCTTTAAGCTTCTGCCATTCATTTTATATATGTGCAATGTGTATTTCATATGTGCAATGTCACATTGTAGCGATTCAAATTCACATGGAGTTCTTTGTAGCATTGAGTATTGTTGCACATAGTTGTAATAAGTTAATTCTTTTAATATGTGACTCCTAATATGGGCATTGCCCAATGGCTGTATCCAGAAAGAGTTTGTCAACAGGTTTGGTTTAATAAACAGGGACTATTCATTACTGTGTGATTATTATTGACAGAAATATTATTTAAGATAGTATTTATTAAATTATTTTCATACAATACATATTTTGGAAGGGTGTCGATGAACAATCGGGTACATCCTGAAAGGGTTGGTGAGTTGAAGAGTTTGGGGTCTAGTCTAACCTCAATAGTAGCCAACAACATTCCACATTCCTGAACTTCATTATAAGTTTTAAATCTGCTGGTAATTTTTCCAAAAATAAATAGCCTAGGGATTTAATGCAATTAACTATGCTCAGGTTTATTGAATCCCGTGACTGAAGTGGCCCTAACTTTGCATACCTTCAGATTTTGTTTTTTCCAGCATTTAGATGATTGTAGCTGCTGCCAGCAAGATCAGCAGGTGAGAGAAGGGCAAGGGCTGGCTCCTATAAAGACAGACTACGCGTATGTAATGACTCATTTAAAGAGGGTAAAATAAAACTGTAAAACCAATTCCATTCATAGGGTTTCCCCCACTCAGTTACGAGCTTACGCCTTGTCAAATGCTTGTTTCTCCCACTCAAGTTGTTTGCAGAAAATATCAGTCTCTCCTAGGGCAAACTGCAGGCGTTCAGATGTTATAGCTAGGGTATTCTTTGTCTCTGCATGTTCTTTCTTTTCTTTCTGCAAATTAAAGTGCAATTGAAGAATTGGTGGTATAGATTAAATGTTAACCAGCATGTATCGTATTTGTTCTCACCAACTTTCAAGTACTCAGGTAACTCTGAAACCATTATAATCTTACAGTGTAATTCTTACCATCCGAAACAGTAACAATACATGTAAAGTTTACCTGACATCTAGGATACAGCTCTTTCAGAATCAGAGAATTTTTTCTTATCTCTGCCTTGTTTTTACACAAGAAAAGAAAGATCACAGGTTAGTAACTGAAAGCTTACGCACCTCTAGTTTCTTCACAACCGCATCATATTCCTCCTTATTTACTGAGTTCTCTTTCTGTATGTTTATCTATAAAAAAGTTACATCTTGTAAATAATTATTTGTATGCAAGAATCTTATAATTAGATCAGCTCTCAACTTTATGCAGTTAGATGTCTTGAGCCGAGTATACTTAAGCCCATCGAAATATAAAATCAATCTATTTCAAAAATTGTTATCTATTTTAAATTACTACAGCTATGTTAGAACAACATGGCTGCTTAGGAATCTGTTACTCCAGGGAATTAACCGTCCGGTTGGAAGTGCATGACTTGGGATGTTTCTTTCAGTTGTCCTCATGGCCTTTTAACTCTGATAGTATGTGCAAAGGAAGCTGCATTATCCTTTTTTAATTTTATTTTCATTAGCACGCACACACACACACACACACACACACAAAATATCTGCAATTTGTCTGAGTGACCAGTTCATCTTAGGTATCTGGAATAGAGTCTAAATGTGTCCTATAGGCTATTGCGAGGTTGTAAGAATGACAAAACATGCTGAAATGATTACTGTTTCCAGAGGTCTGTTTCTAGCAATGGCTATCATACTCTGGCCTTTTCCCATTCTGTCATCCCTTATGTGTGAGACAGAATTCACAGTCATCAATCATCTTTGGCAACAAGTTGAAGGATAGGTCACAGCCTCTGAATGCAACTCTTCTATTATTGATTGTGACTTGTAATCGACAACAAAGATGCTTAGGGGACTGGAGGCTAAAACATATAAGGAACAGTTACTGGAATTGCATATGTCTAGTCTAATGAAGAGAAGGACGAGGGGGGACATGATAGCAGTGTTCCAATATCTCAGGGGCTACCACAAAGAAGAGGGAGTCAAGCTATTTTCCAAGGCGCCTGAAGGCAGGACAAGAAGCAAAAGGATGGAAACTAATCAAGGAGAGAAGCAGCCTAGAACTAAGGAGAAACTTCCTGACAGTTAATACAATTAACCAATGGAACAACCTGCCTCCAGAAGCGGTAAATGCTCCAACACTGGAAGTTTTTAAGAAGAGACTGAACAGCCATTTGTCTGAAATGGTGTAGGGTTTCGTGCCTGAGCAAGGGGTTCAACTTGATGACCTCCAAGGTCCCTTCCAACTTTTTTTTTAATTATTATTATTATGGATCATCGCACAGTCAGCCAGATGTTCAGACTGGATTTGGCATTTTTGTCCACCTATCGAGTTCTTACCCAGGACCTGGGATAGGCACATGTGGATGTTTGATTATTATTATTATTATGGATCATCGCACAGTCAGCCAGATGTTCAGACTGGATTTGGCATTTTGTCTACCTATCGAGTCCTTACCCAGGACCTGGGATAGGCAGATATGGATGTTTTATGGTATTACATTATTATTATTATATTATAATAATAATATACTGGACTCTTTTAACAAAATGCACAGTGAAATACTCTATATTTAGGACCCCTTTTGGAAGACTTAATTCTATTGCCTACCCATTGGATTTTCCAGTTCTTCCCTAATAGCTAGCATTAAAAATATTTCCTGCTGAAATGGTCTACACCAGGGGTAGGCAACTTCGACTCTTTTATAACTCATGGACTAGCATAGCTAACTCAGGAATTCTGGGAGTTGAAATCCATGAGTCATAAAAGAGCCGAGGTTGCCTACCCCTGGTCTACACCCAGGCTTGAGTTTCCAGAAAAGGAAATCAGCATTAAATTTGTTGTCCCTATTGTCAACCACTACGCTATCTGTTTCGAGTCACTGTGATCACACCTGGTGCTCTCCAAGGCAAGAAGTGGAGAAAAAAAATTCTAGCAGATTTTCCAATGCTACTTTAACCCTGAAACAGTTCAGCTAAGGGCAACCTAAGCCAGTTCTAAAGGACTAGGGTCATGATCAAGAGAAAATATCATGCAGATTTCATCAAACAAAAGGACAAGTTAGATATAAATAGAGAAGATCCTGTGCTCACAAGATATACTGTAATGTTTTAAGATACGTCTGGCCAGGCATCTTCAAACCTGGCCCTTTTATGATTTGTGGATTTCAACTCCCAGAATTCCTCAGCCAGCCACAAGTCATATAAAAGGGCCAAGTTTGAAGACCCCTGGTCTGGGCATTTGTTCATTTTGGCATTCCTCACGATTATTATCATTTATTAAATTTATATGGTACACAGCTCACAATTCAAGGCATCTCTGAGTGGCTTACAAAATAATAAAACATATGAACATAAAAATCATTATAAAAACAGTTTAAAATGACAAAAGATTAAAACAAGCTACAGGTAAAGCTCGAATTACAACTACAATTGAGCCCAGAATTTATGTGAGAAATTTCTAAGTGAGAAATTTGTTAAGTGACTTTTGCCCCATTTTACGACTTTTCTTGCCACATTTGTTAAGTGAATCACTGCAGTTGTTAAATTAGTAACACAGTTGTTAAATGAATCTGGCTTCCCCATTGACTTTGCTTGACAGAAGGTCACAAAAGATGATTTCATTACTCCGGGACACTGCAACCGTCATAAATATGAACTAGTTGTCAAGCATTCGAATGTAAATCACATGACCATGGGAATGCTGCAACAGTCATTAGTGTGAAAAATGGTTATAAGTCACTTTTTTCAATGTTGTTGTAACTTCAAACGGTCACTCAGTGAGCTGTGGTGACTTGAGGGCCACCTGTAAAATAATTACAGGTTTGGAGTGGAGAAGTGGTGGTGCCTTCTCTGTTACTGCATCAACCACCTCAGCCAACAGCTTCTCTTTCAGGGCCCCGTGCTAAGTTTTAAGGCTTTTTTCTGAAGGCTAGGAAAGTGGAGTGGATCTCACCTCCCACCGCAAGATGTTCCAAAGGGCAGCGGCCATGAAAGAAAAGGCTTTTCTCCTGGATCCCATTAGCTGCAATTCCTTGGCTGATGGGGTTTGCAATTGGCCTCTTCTGCCAGCATGAGCGGGGAGGGCAAATCCCATTGGAGCAAGGCAGATCCTCAGATATTCCGGACCCATGCCACAGAGGACTTTAAGGATAATGACCAGCACCTTGAATTGAACTTGGAAGCAGATCCGCAGTCAGTGCAGTTTGCGTAACAGCGGTATAGCATGTGCCACCCTAGTGGCCTCCAAAACTGTCCACACTGCTGCATTGTGGACCAACTGTAGCTTCCAGATATTCTTCAAGGGTCACCTCATATAAAGCACGTTGCAATAATCCAAATGGAAAATGACCAGGGCAAGAGTGACTGAGGACAGGGCCTCACAATTCAGAGCCCCTACAGCCCCCAGGCATCACAAGAGGGCAGCTACAGCATCACTTGGGTCACTAGGGGGGGAGATGCTTTGATGATATCTCATCCCATGGTCAGCCAGCGGTTTCATGTAAATGTCAAAAAGGAATGATAAGAGAATCGAGCCCTGTGGCATCCCACAAAGGAATGCCATGGGTTGGACCTCTTATTGTTTATCAACACTGAATGGAACCAGCCACAGAAACTGAACCAGTGCAATATTGCACTGCCCTGTCTCAAATCCTGCAGCTGGTCTAAAAGGATATCATGGTTAGTAGTGGCAAGAGGTCAAGGAGGCCAAGGATGGATGCACTATCCCCATCCCGCTCTCACCCGACATCACTGACAAGCACAACCAATGCAGCCAATTGACTGAAGCAGTGGGAAAGTTTGAGATGATGCTCTCCTCTCAGCAAAAACAAATCAACATCTGTGTATAGTGCTACTGTGTCAGGTAGTTACAGGGCTTCCTGCTCCTTTCCTGGCCAGACCCAAGCGACTTCCAGGCTGCTGCTTGGCCGATATTTTCAAATATGCAGGGACTAAAAGCTCCAAACTTCTGAATTCAGCTTTCTCACAGTCCAACACATCTGGAAACGCGAGAGATTGACGGAAGCTGCCCAACACAATGCTTGAAGCATTGTTAGAGACCCCACCCGCCCACTTTACATTTTCTGTTGCTCCCCTCTGGGAGGAGGTTTCTAAGTAGTTCCAGCAGGACTACCAGATTCTGTAATAGCCTTGTTCCCTATGCTGTCTGTCTGGTAAACTCACAAGATTCGTTTTTCTCACATATACACGTGTACATCTGAACGAGACTCTGTTGTTTCTCTGTGTCACAGAGCATATAATAATAGTAAAGTTGGAAGGGACCTTGGAGGTCATCTAGTCCAACCCCCTACTCAGGCAGGAAACCTTATACTATTTCAGACAAATGGCTGTCCAGTCTCTTCTTAAAAACCTCCAGTGTTGGAGCATTCACCGTTTCTGGAGGCAGGTTGTTCCACTGGTTAATTGTTCTGTCAGGAAGTTTCTCCTTAGTTCTAGGTTGCTTCTCTCCTTGCTTAGTTTCCACCCATTGCTTCTTTTCTTGCCTTCAGGCTCCCTGGAAAACAGCTTGACACCCTCCTCTTTGTGGCAGCCCGAGATATTGGAACACTGCTATCATGTCCCCCCTCTCCTTCTCTTCGTTAAACTAGACATACCGAATTCCAGCAGCCGTTCCTTATATGCTTTAGTGTCCAGTCCCCTAATCATCTTTGTTGCTCTTCTCTGTACTCTTTCTGGAGTCTCAACATCTTTTTTATATCGTGGTGACCAAAACTGGATGCAGTATTCCAAGTGTGGCCTTATCAAGTGGTATTAAAACTTCACGTGATCTTGATTCTACCCCTCTGTTAATGCAGCCTAGCACTGTGTTGGCCTTTTTGGCAGCTGCAGCACACTGCTGACAATCATTTAGGTCAGTGGTTCTCAACCTGTGGGTCGGAACCCCATTTGGGGTCGAATGACCATTTCACGGGGGTCACCAAACCATGCTGTCCGCCATTTTTTTCCTTTTTCCCTAGCTGTCCTACTCCCTCTTATTGGTGGCCACACCCACTTGGGGGTCACCACAACATGGGGAACTGTATTATGGGGTCACGGCATTAGAAAGGTTGAGAATCACTGATTTAGGTGATTGTCCACTAGGACTCCGAGGTCCCTCTCAGTTACTACTATTGAGCATACGTTGGTATATACAATTTTTTGTCATATTTATGTAGTGTACATTGGAGGTGGTGACCCTTTTGAGAGCTGTATGCAACGAAATTTCGTTTTAATGTACGCTGATTAATGTACATTTAAAGTGACAATAAAGTTTGTATTGTATTGTATTGTAAAACACGAAGAGTAGCTCTCCGCATTGCGCGCCCCCCCCCCAACTCTCGCCCAACCTCTCGTCTCAGTTTGTCCAGTGAAACCTCTTGGACCTCGATCAGATCTCGCAACCGTTGGACAACCGCGGACGACGCCACTGAGTGCCGGGTTCCTCCTCCGGCCATTCTAAGCTCGGTCCCAGCGCCTCAGTCTCAGAGCTGTCCCTACAGATACTGTTCTGCGACGCTCCACGCCAAATAACCGGGAGAGATGCGACTTCTCCTCCTTTTGAATACTCACGAGGGAGTTGCTATTGGCTGAAGGCACGAAACTCCTCCTCTCCGTTCGAAAATGGAACTCTTCGGGGTCGTAAAGGGAAAGGCCGAATTTGGGCAAAGTATAGTTCAGGGGTAGGCAACCCCCGGCTCTTTTATGACTCTGGACTTCAACTCCCAGAATTCCTGAGTCAGCATAGCTGACTCAGGAATTCTGGGAGTTGAAGTCCATGAGTCATAAAAGAGCCGAGGTTGCCTACCCCTGGTGTAGTGTATACCGCTTGGCTTAGTTTACCTTAGGTAAGCGAATATACAAGCAATTTGCCCTGCTATTTGAGTTTAGTCGAGCGCTGTCGCGGTTTGTGTTCCCGTGGCGCTTGCCTGCCTGCCTGCGCCTGCCTGCCTGCCGGAGGACGGCCCTCTAGGCAGAATTCTTTCTAATAAATCGAGTGCCTCGGTTCGCACAACGCGCTGCAATCTTGATGCTACGTCGGGATTTGGAAGGCAAAAAAAAAAGGCAAATTCAAAATCGGGTTGTTTCTTTCCTTGCTGGGGAAACCTCTATTTCAATTTCTGGTCTCGACTGCCATTTCTTTCTCCGGCTTTATCTTCTCATTCTCCAAAAATTCTTTGATCAACATTAAGGAACGCCGCACCTTTCTGCTCTTCACAACCTGGGTCTGCGTGAGGAAGCATGGCTTTATTACGCAGTCTTAGAACAGTTGCACTGAAACGCAACCGTAAACTAGCCACGTTGCTTTTGAGAAAGTGCAGTTGCCTAGTTTGTGGCAAACAGAATTATCTTTTAGATTCAGAATAAACGCTTTACTTTGGCTTCTAATAGTATCCGCTTGATGGCGCTGTTTTGCCCTGTTAGAGATAGCCAATGATTTTGATATTTTTTCTGGATTTCACCGTGTCTCTGTTTTATCATTCACAAATCAGCATTTGTAAGGATTTGATTGCAGTAATCCAGCCCCCCTACTTGAAAATGCAACAAATCTGGGAGTTTTTATATTCATATTTTTTATTTCATTTTTTTAAAATTTTCATACAATACAGCCACTAGGTTTCTTTTTAAAGCATTACATTTAATGATTTGTGTATAAAACACACACACCACAAACACACAAAATTTTGTTTCTCAATCCAAGGGTGAAATCTTCAACAGCAAGATGCACTGAAATTATTGAAGAGTGTGGTCAAATTAATGGAGAACTGTTTACTTCAAACTCACAAATTGCTCTGACAAAGTGTTTTTCTTTACATAAGGAAAGCATCTTATTTATTAATCCTCTGGAATGTTACACATCTAAATATTTTCTGAAAAAAGTGAACTATACAGTAATGATTCAATGCTATCATGTAATCACCATTTTGCCAATATATATGTACATTCAGAGAAATAAATATCACCAATAACTTAAAACATTTAAATAATAAACAAATTGAGGTGAAAATAAATGAGAATTTTTTCAGAACTCATGCATATCTGAGGAACATTTAAAAAGAAACTTTCACAAAGGCTGAACCAGTTTATGCAAAAATCTGCTATAGATTGACATATTGTCAAATGGGCTGATGACAAAATACAGAGTTAATTTTGGCTATCAAAATCCAGAAGTTTGGTTTTCCTGCAATTTGCAATATAAATGTTTGTAAAACACAGTTGAAGTCTTTCAAAATAAATTTTAATATCAGATATCATCTATGAGAACTATTTAGTCCTGAAAGGCGTCTTAAGAATATTTCTATGTATAAGCCTGCACCTTTCAGCAAGGATGCAACACTGGGATGTGTGGGGTCAAGTGAATTGTGAGAGGAACAGTAAAGATAAACAATGGATTTTAAAGTGATAGAGCAAATTCTTTAAGCATACCTAGTAATTATGATTATTCATCATGTTACAATGTAGCACAGGATTAGGCCACATTTATCTCCTTTCATCTAATGATTAAAATCTTTAATCTCATGATTGCCTGATATAATGCTATTTTTCAAAGCTATCATTTCACAGGATTATTATACATTTTCTTTTGGTTGGGAATTATTTACGACCCTGTATTCAGAAGTTTTACAAAGGAACAAGAAGCAAACACTGTAGCTGCTGTTCTATCATAGCCCAATGGAAAAGGCTACCCATTAATATTTGTAGAATAAAGTTATGCCAAATGTTTCCTGCCAACAGACCCTACAAAAAGTATGGATTTTATCTCTCGACTTTGTAATCAAGCAATATTAATTGAAGGAACATAAAGCTTCAGCTGCAACCCTCATTTGAAAGTAGCTGGAGCTACAACCATTTTGCTTATGTTGTTCAGTGAAAAGGCCTTTACAAACAAATTGACCAAAATTTGTGTATTGGATCTTAGCAGGCCCTTCCAAACAAAACATTCAGCACACACAATGCCAGCACCATACTATGATAACATATTCCTTAGATGGCACCTCCACACACATTCAGAGCTTGGGAAACAAATGATGTGTTCAATCTCAACACACCTGGAAAGAACCAGACTAAGTTGCTCTGATAGCAAAGTTTAGGCTTACAGAAATGTAACTTAGGTCACAATGCTGTATTACTTACATGGAAATAAATTCCATTTGTCTGCCTAGAACTTTCCTCAAGGCCAAAGTTTGGAACCTAACTCACATTCTGACATCCGTGAGGCCACCTGATTTGGCTTCTCAGAGTACATTATATCATGCTCTAGAGACCTAAGACTGTTTTCTTTCTTTGTGTACAATCTCATCTGGCAACAGGAATACCAATCCATCTTCATCCATTGGCCAAATAAAGTATTATTGCTCCAGTTCCTGCTTTGTCTTCTGTCCCCATTTTTTCATATTGTTTTTAGATAATGAATCTCCATGCAGCACTTTAGGTTTTCCAAGTGCTTTATGTATTGCGACGTCAGTATATCCTTAAGACACTGGTCTGTAAAGTTCTCTTGAAACTGAACTGCACGTTTTGTACAGCATATATATCTATTCGCACTGTGCGTGTATACATACATAAATGAAACACCATCTTTTTCTCTTCTATGATGTCTTGCAAGGTAAAAGTTGAGAAACCATAGGCTCAGTTAAGCATGATGGCTATGATCCTGCAAAGCACCTACTTGGCACTTAAACAGTGGCAAAGTATCACATGAAGAATGTAACAAAATGAAGATAAACGAAGAATCACGAACACTGAAAAACTACTGGACCCTGAAACGAAATGTACTGTGTACACTACAGCAAGTGCTGCTTCTGTCTCAGTCCATATACAGTTTCCATGAATATAATGATTCTGTGTGTGGTTCGTGTGGGATGCTTTTTTCTCTCTATGCCTTTCCTCTTCATCATAAAAGAGAGTCTAATGGAAATTTCTGCCAACAGAACAGACAGCGTTGTTCTCTCATGCCTCTGCCAACTGGCGACTCCTTTGAATCTCTATAAGGTTGGAGAGCTTTTCACAGTTCTCAAGTTTTATGGATTCAGCTTTCTGTTTCAGTCGCTCATCTCGGTATAGCTTGGCCAAATTAGATAACTCTGATTCTGAAAGATGAAATATATATTTCAGTGATGCTTTGGAAGAAAAATAATAATATTTAACATTTTATATTAATTTCAAAGTTGGCTTGGTCAAAATGAAAAGCTACTTACACACAGAAAGTTAGGCATGAATATAATTCTTAGATTCAACTGGCAGAATAGCAGCCATGAGTGCTGTAAAACCGAGTGATTAGCGAAATCTTTTGGTACAGCTGAGGTATCAGAACCATAAACAACTATATTTAGACAAATCCTTAACATTAAATGCATAAGATTTCATGTTGTCAGTAGGTAGCAGCAGGGTGAACTATCTGTATTTTTGTTACACATCACTTCTAAACAATAGTTTTCTTGGCAGCTGAGCTTGTTATATCTGATTCTTGGTTAGTTTTTTTTAACCTAAATTTGGAAACAATGCAGGATGCTTGGGAAAGAACAAAAACTTACTTTGTTGTTTTTCTTTCCTACAACTAGTTTGGACATAATCAATATAATCTTTCTCAATATGTTTCTCAAGTTCTTCAAGTTCTTCTCCATGATAATTATTTTCAAAGTGGTTATCCACATAATAAGGCACCTGCAGATTTTGTGTTTCTCTAATAACAGTGTGCCCTAGAGACCTGTGGTATGGAATAAGAAGGAAATAGATTAATGTCTTCTTTGCAAACCAGAAATAACACTTTCTTCCAATTAATATTTCTGTTTAACATTTTCTGCTCTCTGAAAGCAATCAAGGGAATCATTGACATGTCCTAGTAGAAGCAAAAGGTGGCTGATTATGACCAGGCCCAATATCCTGCCTTCCAAGTAGTGCCAGCTATAAAACACCTCTTTCTGGTTTATTTTAAAACAGCTGTGTCCTGTAAAGTGATCAGGAATGATAGATACATCAAGTGTTAAATAGCCAGAAAGAAAAATAATCCTTAAAACAGCTATCTATACAGGGAAGGAAGACTGCAGGACCACATGGAAGGAAGCATCTCTACGGGTTTTCTGGACCTGTACCATTTAAATATGTTAATATTATAAAACAGTAAATATTTGAATTCCAGCCTCTATTTAGTGCTTTTTTATCTGCTTTAAATGTAGCCTATAATAACTAACCATATTTCACATGCAATAAAGCAACCTTCCACAAACCGGGGTCCTTGTAATATATCAAGATTACAACTCCCAAAATTTCTAGGTTGCCAAAATATGGCAATGGCATATAATCTTGCTTTTACACTCTTTTTTTAGCATTCTACTTAAAGTGGCTATTTATAAAGTAAGACTGGCATTTTTTCCCAATTAGTTTTTATTTAAAATTAGCAGGTAGAAAACCCACAGGAGACGGTTTAATTATTTCCTATCCATTCTTTGGCATCAAAATGTTTAATATGAAAATGGATTTCTACGAAGGCAATATATTCAGATAATTAAAAATGCTCACATTTTTAATGAAAACAATATTGCTTTCTATAGAGCAATAAGTCAAAGTAGTTTATAGGTTTAATGTCCCATCCTTCAAATAATTTGTAGGAAGTTAAGTTCTATCTTCAAAAAAGTTTTCAGCTTGGAATGTATAGCTATGGGTATGTCTTTTCCAAGATAAAAAGCTTTTCAAATTAACTATATGTAACAAAGTAGAGGCCTCTTTGAGCACCGATTAAACCTGGTGTTGGAAAGTTAGTGTCAAAAAGTAACCTCTATTCTCCCAACAACACAAAGAAACTGATCTAGACTTACGATTTAAAGAAGAGGCTGTAGGGTGGATTAGTAGCCATCAGCTGAGTTACTATTGATACAGCTATTATAATAAAGACTGGTAGTAAGTGGATAAATGCTGAGTATGTATTCTGAAAATGAAAACACTAGAGTTAGTACAGCAAATAAAAAATATATGGCAAAAATGGAAACCACAATGGTAATTCAATCATCCCAGATAGGGAGTTATATTTTAATTTAGAACAAAAGTAAGTATTGGCAAAAATGTAATATAAAAATTAATATTAAATCTTATGCCAAAATCTCTCATAGTTTCTTATTTTGGAAGGCTTGTTTTATTTATGGATGCAAGTTAATTTGCTGGGGTCAGTCTTGATTTCTAGGTTTTTGACAATGATAAATAGATGAAATGAAATAGTATCTACAGAGTAATTAAGAGTTGGACAGTGTACAAGTTTTATTGTGGCTGGTTGTATAGTCAGCCAGATGTTTAGATTAGATTTGGCATTTTTGTCCAACTGTGGAGTCATTCCCAAAAATCTGGGATACATCCAATGTTAGCAGCGTTGACAGATATTGTTATTTAATAATATTAAATATATCATTGCAGGATGCAAACTGTTCCAAGTAAAGCTGCCTTTTGCAATTGACTGATGGTGAGACTTCTTCCCTTCTCCATCTACCTGTGGTCTAATTTCTTCCTCCTCTTCATCCTGGGTCCATGTCCTCTCATGTCTGTTCCGCTGTGGATAACATGGAGGGTCCATTGAAGAATTGGAAAACATATGTATATTTCCTGTTGAGATAGCAGTAGAATGAAGCTACAGTTTTTATCCCGTACAATGTTTTGCTTGTGCCATAAGAAACTAAGATTTCAATTCGTTTTTAAAAAGCTAATTTCAAACTTGGCTTGTTTTAATAAATGCAGGAGCTCTTTCAGTTCATTAAAAAGAAGACACTTCCTCTGCTGTTCTCATTGCCCTGAGTGGATTTTCAAGGGGCTACATGTTTTAGTAGTGGGAACATCTAATGAGCAGAATTCTATATGTGGAATTTGGGATTAAACATGCATCTGTAGTACTTGCCTTACTAAGCAAAAAAAGGAATACAGTGCTACTGTAGAATTGCATGATTTTTGCTGTTTCTGGTGATATCACAAAGGGTTGAGATTATCACAACTGATATAACAGCATCTGCATAATGCCATATTGTTTTACAGGTCTCCTACACTGTTTGATTTTGTTACAAATTAACTAGATTTCTCAGAGATGCAGTATGAGTCTGTTTAATAGCATTCATATAAAACAGAACAGCCTTCTCAAACATATGTAAGCCATCCAGACTAATTGACTAAGATGGGCGCCATAGAAATTTAACAAACAAACAAATATATGCCTGCAAATGTATTGATTACATTCCACATTTCTTTAATACCAGTTGGGAAAAATGAGAATTTTAACTGTAAACCCACTATTAAGAATAGGAACAGCCTATTGCCAATTGAGAAAAGTTATTTGATGAATGGTCTAGTGGAAATAGCATATCTTATTGAGTGGCCATATATGCAGCACTTTTTAAGAAAATGTAGCTAACTAGTTTCTGAAGTTCTTTTGAAACTTTAGATAGTCATCAAAACCATATCTGGAGCTTCATTAGCAATTAAAGGCCACACGAAGCAAGGGCTTTTGCAGATGTCTGAACAGCAGCTTTCGTTGCACCTTAAAGCACAGCTTAAAAAAAAAAAAGATACCTGTTGGGAAATTCCCTCCGAAAAACATATTAAATATTTCTTCCGGTGTTATATCCGCTTCAAATTCTCTGTAATAGTTATAGCAGTTGGGCACATTGGTATAAAAAGTATCTTCCTTATCTCCAAACTGATCATACTGTGATCTCTTTTCAGGGTTGCTCAAAACTGCAAAAGCTGTGCCAATTGCTATAGAGTGGAAGACAAAATAAAGAAAACTAAGGAAAAAAGAAACAAAGTCTGATGAAATACATAACCACACTATAGAAGTAATTCCAACCAAACATCTTTTTTGTTCCATATCCAGCAGAAATGTCTAATATGTGTATTCTATTATTTGAATATTGGGAAACTGTAATGGTAGAAGAAATAACCTGGAAGAAGAGGAGGAATATAACCAACTCAGTGATTAGATAAAAGAAATCTGAGTCTTGGGCAAAAATGTAATTTGAGAAAGTGTCTTAGATATGACCCTCTCTAGTTCTCATGAAGGTTGTATCCTAGCATGACATGAACTCCTCTATAGGCAAGGCCTACTGATATTAATATCCAAGTATTATTTCCAGTCAGATATTAGAAAATAAGAAATTAACTCTTTCTGAAGGAAAATTGGTTTTCAGCACAATACTGAACAAACACAACTGGGAATAAACCAGAGGCTTTACAAGCCAATTGCATTAAAATATATAGTATATCATCTCCCATACAGGAATAACTTTCAAATGGGACAGATTGCATTCATTTCACATCCTTCCTGGTAGTAACTATTATTGTACTTAATACACATTTTCCTTGCAATGAGATCCCAATACAGTGCTCGCCTTACTGTTCTCTTAATTACGCATGGCTTGCCATCACAGTCACCTTTTGTATCCAATGGCAACACAATATGGAATTTCAAATCATATGATCTAGATTATAATTCAGACTAACCTGACAAGTTACATCAATCACTGATGTCAAATACTTACAAAGAAGTGAATGTGAGGAATATGCAAGTGACAACTATTTCCTAAGAATTAGCCATGTTAGAATCTTTCTTAGTGTTTCACTTAGAATTATGCAATACTACAACTGTGTGTAGGAACATATTCTAAAAATCTCTTCCTGTTAGCCAACACAGCATTGTTAAGATCTTCAAAGTTTGCTGTGGTCCCATTCAAACTGTTTCACCTACCTTTGAATGCATCCGTTGCTCCTGGAGCACAATTCTTGTCAGGATGAAATTTAAGGGCAAGTTTTCGGTAAGCTTTCTTTAGTTCTTCATCTTTTGCATCTCTTCCTACGCCTAGAATTTCATAGTAATTCTTACTCTCCTTTATTCTACAAAATAAGCACAATTCTTTAATTTTTTTAACTTTTCCCCAAATACAGCTTACGGATTCTTATTAATACTGAAACATACCTTCTAACCTAGTTCTAATTTTGTTACACATTGCAGGTCTGCTTCACTGATAGAAAGGTTTTCAGCTGCTCGTGGGCATCAAGTGCAGTCCAAGTTAAAGTTAAACTTTGAGCATTTAAAATGTGAGCACCCAGAGAGAGAAGGGAGGTGGGGTTTCACAAGACAAAACCTGTATTGCATTTTTGTGATGCCAGTTCCAGTGCTTTTTGACATGCATTGTCACAGATGTAAGAGGCGGAGATTGGGTCACAACACTGCTTTCATAATTGATCTACAGAGGCCTCTTGGTGAGAACTCTTTGTCTTATGCTTTCTGGATCATCTAGCAATTTTTGCTAACCAAGATCTATTTCTGTAGTCAAGCAACACAATAAGCCAATTGTAATCTCATGTTCAGAACTGGGTAACTACTATTCTTCTGAGAATATGTGGGATCATCTTAGTATTGTATGCTATCCCATGTTATTCAAAACTGGCATAACTGCTGTACAATATATAAGATACGGATGGCTCCATTCCAGATGAAACAGAGAGTTTAATTTATTTGTTAAGCCATTATCTGGAGTCAATAATGCAATGGCATTGGTTTAACTGAAATTTTGTGTATACAAGCTAACATGCTCAGAGTGAATAGAACTTCCCAAACCAGAAGCTCTCCAAATATCTTGCTCCACAATTTTCATAATTCCTAGATTTATTTAATTAAACAATTCCTAGACAATAAGATACACAGCTCAAGCTGTTTGGTGGGCACCAAATTGGGGAATATAGAGATTAGTTTTATAAATGTATTAATTAAAAACAGGCTGCAGGCCTAACAAGGCCTATATTCTAGTTAGGCAAGTTCCTATTTACCTTTGAACTCCAAGTAACTGTTCTTTGGTGTAGGTCATACTGCCTTCCCCAAATGTTGACTGGCTTCTTCCATTGTCACACATACGTTCCTTTTTCATTCTCATACAGTCACTACAGCCACAGCAATCAAAATTGTTTCTTAGTTCCTCCGATGGACGTGGATTTCTTCTCAGCTCATCAATTAATGCTGAAACAATGACAGCCTTCCTATGTATGTATATTTACCAAAGTGGATCACAAATGACATACTTCAAAATATCCCTGCACAGCGATATATATTTTCTATTTTATTGTGAGCGGTTAACTTACAACATACAAACATGGATAAGAAAACTGAAAGTCCCTTAAAATCATGATACACCCATCTCTCCACATCTTCTTTTGCTTAAATTCTAAAAATTTGCAATATTTTTTTTCTTTTTTCAAGAAAGCTTACTATGAAGAATATTTTAAAAAATACATTTTGAAAAAATAATATGAAAGGATGGCAATTCAGCAGTTCCCAAGGAACCATCACTCTTTGGAACGAGTTCACATACGTCTGTCAGTGTGTGAATTTTGTTGGAAACCTAAGTCCTTCCTATGATACAGAAGGGCAACTCAAAGTAAATTTCAGTTCATTTCTAATATATGGTCCAACAGCAATGCATGTCAACCAAAGATTTTAATTAGTAATGTGGATTTAAAAATGCATACAATCTTATTTTTATGCTCTATTTCTAGTCACCCTGTATGTTCAGCCAGTATACTATATTATATGAAAGTTTTCCTTAAAGTTTTATGTAGTTGCATGAACTGCAACTCCTTGAGTATATGCCCTTGGCCCAAATTCACAGTAGGTAAAATCCCCCCAAAGTTCAAAACTTCTGCACTTTACAATCTTTCCTTGGTTCCCCAGAACTAAAGGTAACTTCCATTCTCAAATCTCATCCAAGCAACACTTCCCGTTTTTAACCTAGCTGCATTATCTTGCTCCTCTCTAATCTTCCACCATCTGACACATACCTATCAACATGCAGCTATGTTTATTTGCTGCAAGAAAAATGCACTTCAAGGGCGATTTATCTTTAAATAGTAGCACAAAACTGACGCAATCCACATGCGTGAACGATTGTAAATAAACGGTTTATTTACCGTTCACTGGTAAATAAACACACCCACACCTATATCTGAAGTAAGAAAAATTGCAAAGACCACGCAGACAAGAGGAAGACATTTATAGTTTTTGCGCAAACTCACAAACTTTGCAAATTCAATATTTTTTATACAACTTATCTATCAAGAGAAGCACTGCCTTCCTAAAGCATTATCAATTCCATTTTCCCCACTTGCATTTCTCGTTTGAAAAGTGTCCCCCTATCCCTCTGATTGAAAGCCGGAGCCATAGCAGGTCGGTCAGTTTTTGATGTATCACAAGGCTCTCTTCTCTGATAACCTGACCTCTTGGATCACCAACCCTCTTCTAATTAAGATTTAAGTTCCCGATCCGGCTGTTTCCCCCGGCTTTGGCCGCGCCATTGGCGCGGAGCGTTACCGGTACCTTCGGCCCAGCGATCCCCGGGGCTCAGTCCTGCCATTTTCCATCTGGCTAGTAAGGATCCAACAAGGAGCCGGGAGGGTCACGTGAATGCGAGCACAATGCAGGCTGGGTAATGTAGTCCTCCCGTGTTCGGCAGCTGCTCCGCCCCTGCTGCAGGGCCCAGCACTTTTGGCGGGGAAAGAAGGGATTGCCCAGGTGTGCAAAAGCCTCGCGAACTCCAGGGGGCTCGCGTGCTCCGTGTGTAGTTTGCAAAAGCGCGTCTTTTCCGACAATGAGCGTGATTTTTTTTTTTCGCTCCGGAGTTTCTAAATCAAACCATGCAGAGCTTTTAACCATTGAGATAGAGAGCTAGAGCGGCATCCCTTTTGGCGCCCATAGAGAAGAATCGTGAAGAATGCCCATTGCTTCAACATCCGAAGGGAGAATAAAGGAAAATGCAAGAATGTTATCATTTGTGGGTCAGTTCCGCCACGTAGAGCTCTTTTCTCTTGCTGTGGTTAATGCACGGAGAAGCATGAAGGGCTTTCTATATTCCACAAAGTAGACAAAAGATTCAGGCCTGGCTACGACTTTCGATGGCCGCGACCGAAAATGTGACACGGTCTGGATCACCTTTATGGCGAGAGTCCTCCGGGCGACTTTTTAGTATTAAAGAAAATTAGGAGATGAAATTCGGCCAACTGTTAGGCCAGAAACACCGCCATGGCGTACTTTCAAATGCCTCTACGTTTGACATTGTACTGAGGGGTTTCTTGACGCTTTCTGAGCTGGTTTGTTTTCTTGCAGACGTTTCATTACCCAAACTAGGTAACATCATCAATGTTAATCATAACGATGCTAACTAGTTTGGATATTGAAACATCTCCACGAAAACAAACCAGGTCGGAGAGCGCCAAATGCACTTCACGTGAACCCTGAAGCTACAAATATTCTCCTTTATTGATTGACATGGTACGTCAGAAGCCTCCGCCGCAGCTTCCGGCGCTTTGCCATGGACCGGACGTAGAAGAGGGAGAGGGTCGGTCGCGCAGGCGCCGGCGCCGCAGTTTGGGCCGGCTCTTCTCCCTGCCCCCCGCCCCTCCGGTTGGCCTGTGCGGCGAACAGGAGTAGCGGGCGGCCGTCGTCGGATGGTCTCCGCTCTCGGAGCGAGTTGCGCTCCTTTTTTTCCTCTCTGTGTGGCTCGACTTTTAGGCCCGGGAGGACGGACTCCCCCCTCGCCCTCTCCCCCCCTCTCCGCCCAGGGCGGCGGCGGCGGCGGAAGCGACGGCGGGGAGGAGCAGGCCGGGTGCGCAGAGAGCAGGTGAGTCGCGGCGCCCGGGAGGAGGGAAGGAAAGGGGCAGCGGGGAGGCTTTGCTCCGCCAGTCCGCGCCTCAGGAGGTAAACCCCGTGGCAGAGGGGAAAGAATAACATCTCCGCGATATCCTCCTCCTCACCTGGGACTGTGTGGGAGGGAAATGCTAGGATGGGAGGGGGGGAAGCTCTCCCCTTTTAGTTTTCCGTGTCCCTTGCCCTTATTAAAACTGAAATTATCTGGGAGCATGCGCTGCAGCTTTGCTTCTTTTTTTATCCCCCCCCCTTCCTTTTCCTGCGATTAAAAAACTCTTTGCAAAGTGGTTCCGTCCTAAATCTGACGGTGCCTGCTGCGAGAGGCGTGTCAGATGTTTTAGATGAGGTGGTTTCTGATTTTGCATCCCTTGGATGCAAGTGAAAGGCGGAATACAAATTGGGCCGGAATAATTCGGATCTGGCAGCCTCTTTTTTTTTTTTAGTTAAAGCTGTTTTTTCAATATATTTCTGAATAATTTGTTTTAAAAATATGAAGAGATACCTTAGGTTAATGGTCAAGGCCATCGTTCGTATTGGTTAGGTTGGGAGTGTGATTGGGATCTGAGAATTAGGTATGAAGAACATAGCTTTTTTTAAAAAAAAAAAACCTGTACATTATTTTCATATTATTTGATGTACAACGTTTTTTGTGTAAATTTGTTATAAAGGATATCAGATCATTAAAAGTTTGCACTTTTAGCTTACTGAATTTGGAAGGGAGCGCAGCTGATTTCAGTGGGAAATATTTCTAGGTTTCAGTGTTCTGGAAAGTGATGTCACTGTACTGTTTTTAATTCTACCAGCCATCATTTCTTCTTGCTTATACAGTTGTGATGTTCCTATTTTAGAAAGACTGGGTGGAATCTGGCATGTTTATGCAGAAAATGAGATACTGTTCACTTTTATTAGAGCCATTTATTCAGATCCGACTAATCTATGGCTCCTTGGAAGAACATTTCTACAAAGATTGCAAAAAAAAATGTAGAGTTATAGTTTATTCTTGCGCATGTAAGCTTTGCTTCACTAAATGAGACTTTTTTTCAAATAATTGCATGGATTGCAACTTAAACCAGTTGACCATATTTGTCAACCATGCAGCGTAGGCGTGCTTTTAACCAGGGTGTTTTTGCCACTGACTTTGCTCTATTTTGTGCCACTTCCCTTACAATGTTTTAGCCTACTGATTTTTGTTTTTAAGGTTGTGATTTATTTTGAAAAAAGTAATTTGGGCTTGTATTATAATTACTACAATAATACCGTTATTGTATTATTACAAATGGTGTTTTGTAATATCAGGTTTCAGTTATTTGCTGCAGTATTTAGGTTGGAATAATAACAAAGTTGTTATTACTGAATATCTGTCTAAGCATGTTAAAAGAGAAATTCACTATCTACAGACTATTACAACGAAAAGCATTTAGTCTGTGTTCCTGTCTGCTTCATTGCTATGAATGAAGTGCAGACTGTCAAGTTTAACTTTAAATATATAGCTTGATCTGATAATGTAGTTTAACTGTTGAAACATATGGGGATTGTGGCATCTGTGTCACTTCTGAGACGGAACTCCTCAATAAGAGGGTGAAGAATACTGATTTTTGAACAGACTTTCTACGAATTCCGAAGATTCCTAAAATATAAAATTAGCACGCTGCCTGAAATACAATTATTTACCATAGTTCACGTTTTGATAGTATTGTAGGCAAGTTGAGAGTATTTAGTAGTATTCTTTGCTACATGAAAAGGATGCTTGAAAACTAATATAATTTATGGTCAGTAGTATGAAAATGCATCCTTTAAGGCAGTTATAGTTTTCAGTTTCAAGCATACAGTATAGGAGTGATAATGATTATGTTGTTGGAAAGTGGAGAAAATATGAATAGCTAAATTCTTAAAAATTAATGATGCTGATATGTATTTGGTTATATTCATAGTATAAAGGCTTAATGGTTAAGTATATCAGGCTTAATGGTTAATTAAAAAGAATGTTCGTTAACCTGCATTCACATGATATCCAAAATGTTAGGAAATTCTGTTTCAGATAAATATTTAGGAATATATATGTAGCCAATCAATTTTTAAATCAAGATAATTCAGTTACTTTATTAGCGTAGATTATTCAATGTAAAATATTTATACAGAAATAAAATCTGATTTTGGACCAACACAAAACTAGAATAATAATTAGATTCATGTAGTTTCACATGAACTTGTTCTTACAAAGCAGGATAGTACAAATTTAGCTAACTGCTATCTTTTGAATTTGGAGCAGTTAATTTTTACTTACTCTCCTCAACTTAAAATGCATGCTTTTTGAATCATGTAAATCCTAGTTACAAATAAAAATACAAAGCTTTATTTGTGTTTTGAAAGTAGAATGGGAGATGTAAATCCTGAATAATTTATATGGCTATTTTTAAGGATGCCAAAAATGCATTAGGAAAATTATATCTCATAGTTTTACATTTTTTATGTTTAACCCCAAAAGATTGTCTTTTAAAGGAATAGCCTTTATCTTTTTCTTCCAATTTCAAAATTTGTAGGCAATGTTTTTGATGAAATTGATCTTCTAAGTAGAAGAAAATGATTGCATCCTCTCCATGATCACGTTTATTACATATATTCAATCATCAGAATAAAAATATCAGCAAGCAAGAAATAGTACCAATTATTTCTCAGTGTGGCAAATATTTGAACTATTTCTATTCATATGTAACTCAGGACAGTTAAGTCAATTGCTGTGTTTGGAAAGATTCTAAGAAAAACTCACCTACTGGATAAACAAAGCACAAGAGTGTATATGAGAAATTGTATGACTTTTAAGGGTGTGCAGAGACCCAAATTCGTTGTATTTTGGGGTGCATGTAGGCTGTATCTGACAGGAGTTCATTAGGGTAGCTATATAATTTTTTTTCCTCTTGGGTTCATGCAGCTGTCTTTGTAACTGGCCATGATATGAGATATATGTGGATTAAGATGTAAGATGTTCCTGACAGGTACTAATTACATGACCAAATATTATTGTGCTTTTTGATTCTCCATCTCTGCGCTGTCCAAAAGACTTTAGTTCTTACACAAAAAATACTCATCTTTAAAAATGTATCAGGATTTATGTAAATGGTATGCAAATGTATAATAGGAATATGTAAATTATATAATCCTGTTGGATGCATAAGTAACACCTTCAGACAAATGAAAACAATTTAACTCAAATTGAACAGCAAGAATATGTGTGCGATAGCCAAGGTGTAATTTTTCTTTGGGTGACTAGCAAATACGTATCGCTATCTCTATGCTTTTTGCTTAAATATAAACTTAAGGAAGCAAGCATTATTACCGTAGTATATTGTAAAATGGTAACTTTTTACAAAGGTAGTTGTAAATAAAACTGATAGTTCTATTTTGTACTATACTTACCTAATCAAATATTTCAGTGGAATTAATTTAGTTTATTAGACTTTTTTAGTTATTATGCAATTCATGAAATTGGTATATGTGTTTAATATTGTTTACTAAATTTAAAGCAGACATGCAGCAGATCACTAAGAATTTAAGGGAGAAGGAGAATGTCTGATTTTGCAGTGCTGTTAATAGGCAGGCTTTAGTGTTTTACATAGATAAAATTTGTATTGGTCTGAATAGTCTTGCTTATTGAGATGAAAGTAATTGTGGAAGCAAGAAATAAGGATAAAATTATTTACTGAAATTCATCTTAAGCATCCAAATAAGATGTTAAGTTAGTTGCCTCTTCTATTGTTCCAGTATTATTTCTGAATATAATAATCATATATTAAGTATCCAATTAATTCGTCACTCTGATGTCATTGCGGACAATTCTTTTATTCATAAGCTAATGATTTTTGAACATGTGAATAGTTTGATAATCCTGTTACATTTCTTGAAAAATTGTCAAGGAATAGTGCTGCTCCCTCTTAAATACTTTTCCCATTGTCCAGTTTGCTATGAACCCATGATTGCCTGCAATCATTTGCCGTCATGGGAAAATCAAATAATTATTCAAATTATACTCCAAAACCCTTGGAGGGAAATGCTGCTGAATCATGCACATTCATACATTGATCAGTAGGAAGCAATATAGTAGTTCATATTTTAACTTCATGAGAAGAATGTCTTACCAGTTCTTTGATAAATCTAAGGTGACCAACCGTCCTCCTTTAGGGAGAATAGTCCTCCTTTTGTAGGTTCTGTCTTCCCTTGAAAAGTGTCCTCCTACATGTCCTCCTTTTCGATATTTGAAGACTAATCTGCAGGGCTTTTTTTTCTCATAGAAGGCTCAGAACAGCATTCCGGCACCTTTTTTTGATTTTTTTTTTTTTTTCAACTTTTGCATGAGCTGTGCTACTCCCGCTATTGGCTTTTGAAAGCCATTAGGAATTGCTGCTGAGCGCGCCAAAACACCCGGCTGGCAAACTTTGCACATGCAAGTTGTCTGTATTGTTGCAATGAATAAAATGTTTCTTTTATTTGTGATATTTTTTTCTTCAATTTATTTGTGTCCTCCCTTTTATTGTAAAAAAGTTGGTCACCTTAATAAATCACATGATTGTTAAATAAGGATAAATGTTTCAGTTTACCTCCAAATTACATTCTTAACTCCTAGGGCAGACTTGTCAAACTCGCGATGTCATGTGATGTCGTGCAACGTATCGGAGCTTTTTCGCCATTGCCAGCAATGGGGTGGGTGCGGTTTCCCGATGACATGTCTGGCCTGCGGGCTGGCAGTTTGACACCCCTGACCTAGAGTCTCATGTAAATTTCTCTAGTTACGATGATAATTGGAAGTGGAATTTCCATTGCTAAGTCATGCGATGGTAAAGCATGATTTCACATGATTATATTACACAGTGACAGCAATCCCAACATTCCTACTTGAATTCCACTGGCTATTATCTGAGGACCCACCCCAATTCAAACGTTTCCAGTCCTGATCCCTCCCACTCTCATACCTCAGTTCTTCCAAGGTAAAAAGGACTGCCTCCCCTTCAATTCCCAGCAATTGTCCCCTTCCCCATCTGTGTCCTTTTGGCCACCCTGCATTCTGCCTTGGGGGATGCCAAGCAGCCCCAAGATCATGCTATTCTGATGTTGCGTGTCATGATGCGGTTCAGGGGCTTCTTGGTGTGTCGCAGCTCTGGGGCTACAAGAAGCCCCTGAACCACAGCACACTGCTGCCCCAGCCTGACACAGCAGTGTGATGTGTGTGAAGCCACAGCCATACCAGGAAATCCCAGTAATGCAGTGCAAAGCTGCAGTTGTCCTAGAAAGCCCCAACAGTATGTCATAATGCTGCAGCTGTCCCAGGAAGCCCTAGCAACAGGGCACCCAGCTTCCCGGGAAACTTCAGCCACCCCAACCCAGTCCCAGCTGCAGTTGTCCTAGCCCCCCTGCATTCTGAAGCCCCTGCCATCCTGCTTTCCACCACTCCAGTTGACATGCAGTATCTTCTTGCTCTTGTTGCTGATGAGTTATGCCCAGCCTGACCCTTTGCAAGGCAACTGCTGATCATCTTAAGATCATCTTCCTTAAGCCTTGCTAGGGAACCACTGTGTGCAACCTCGGGAAGAGAACCTCATGTGGCCAGCAACTGCCAGGCCAGACAAGCTTGATCAGCAGCGGGAGCAAGAAGACTGCAAAGATCAGCTAAGGTTGCAGGGAACATGAACTGCGGGGTCCAAAAGGCCATAGATGAAGGGAGTTGAAATGATGTCATAAATGGGCTACCAAGTGCCCAGATTTTGATCATGTAGCCACTGCAACTGCCATAACTTCAGGGACTGTCATAAATCCTTTTGTTCAGTGCCACCATAATTTCAAATGGTCACTGAATGAATGGCCATAACCTGAGGGCTGCCTGTAATAATTAGTATAAACAATGGGATGAAATTTCCATGAACCTATGAAAATGTGTATTACTTTGAGTGAGATAGCTTTAAACTTCTAAATAGTCATTCTGCTTCTTTTTACACCAGCGGTTCTCAACCTATGGGTCGCGACCCCATTTGGGGTCGAACGACCATTTTACGGGGGTCGCCAAACAACGCGATCCGCCATTTCCCCCCCTTAGGGGGCGCCGCCGCACATGCGCGCCGCGTCCGTGTGACGGGGGTCGCCGTCACACAAACGTTGAGAAACGCTGTTTTACACTAATAACTGTATATGCATATTTACACTAATAACTGTATATGCCAGTGATGGCGAACCTTTTAGAGACTGAGTGCCCAAACTTCAACCCAAAATCCACTTATGCATCATCGGGTGCTGGGTGGGTGTGGCCCATTGGGTGGGCATGGCTGCGGTGGTAACAGCAGACTGGGTGGGACTAAAAAGTTCAATCAATCAATTCCAACTTTGCAAGATCTTTTTTTTTTCCGCAAGAAGTTGAAATTGATTGATTGAACCTTTTTTTTTTTTTTTGTACATGCCGGCGGAGGCCTAAAGCGAAAAGGTTTTATAAAACCCAGCTGAAGGCCTAGGACCAGGGCGATGGTGCGCGTGCCCACAGAGAGCGCTCTGAGTGCCGCCTCTGGCACCCGTGCCATAGGTTCGCCACCACTGGTATATGCAATTTGCACATCTCATAAATAAGCCGAGTGATAAACATCTGAGTATGGCCAGTGTGATATGCCCCTTGAATGCTGGATATTTTGCTTTTATTTGGAAAATAAGTTCAATCCTTGGGGGCAGGGTGGGTGAGTTATATAACTTTTGAAGTAAGCTCTCTTAAAATCTTTCAAATTCATTTGGGCCTTTGCCTCAGTCATGATATAAAATGTGACCAAGTAAAACACAGTTCAAATTTTTTCCTCTTCTCTACACAAAGACACTTGAAAATAATAGAATTAAATTATATATGGTGAGAACCTGTGTAGTATAATGTCATCTCTTTCCTGCTGTACCCCTTTTTACCAAAAAATCTTTAGGGGCTTAAGAATAGAATAAGGAATGTACTTGTTTCTAAAGTGTTGTATTGAATTGGGCCTCAATCTCTGTTTATTGCAATACGACAACATTTTAAGATAGAAAATCTAGTTTACATTATAACTAAATTTTGTACTAATTCCATTTATTATATATTACAGCAATTGAGTCAAATGGTTATTGTGATAATGGAATGTTCTTTCCCTTCAAGTTGTGTATTGGTGTATATTTATTTATTCTGCCGGTTAGAAATACCTTCAAATTGAGGCATATGGTTTGCAAAAATGTACAGGTTCTCTAATTTGATTTTTCAAATCATATTATAGCATATGCAAAGTAAGGCAAGATAAATCTAAATATCTTTTTAAAACTAGTTAATTTTAGGGATTACCTAATGTTATGTGCTCCTGGCTACTTTCCTTCGTGACCAGAGGCAAGCTCGCCTGACCAATAACCAGCCAAGACACAGTGAAGGCCTTTTGTTTCATTTATTGCAATAAGCGGGGAGAGAAGCTATCAAAGCTTGATTCTCTCCAAAGTTTTAACCCAAAATATCTCCTTCTTTTATTCATCCCTATCACCGGCCGCTACAGCCCTCCTCTTTCCCCATTGGCTGAGGTAGTATGAGGTTACATTCTTTCCGTCCGCCTATACACATTTCCTGATAACACACTAAATCATATTCACTTATACAATAAGAATAAGAAAAATTAGACAGTTAATGGTTATTTTAAACTCAATATATTTATGTCCCCATTTTAAACAATAAGTTCTTTTCCTGCTTTCCTATTCAATGTGCCTCTCTTCTTATCTTATTCAGCTTATTTTCCTGTTCTCCATTCAACCTTCCTGGCTAGCCATTTCCTATAAAAAAAACTATTTATCTATTTTATTACTTCCCTCTTCCTTTCTCAGACCCAACTATTTTTGCCTATATGTTTATCTTACTTCCTTAATCTCTTCCTGACTCTCACCATCTGTATTTTTCTCATTCAATTAGTTTCCATTGTATTGTAGGTTTTAACTGTCTCTGAAGATTTATCATATTGATATATATTTATCACCTAATATATGATCACAATTTAAAATAGTTTAGAGTTTTGGACATCTTTCAGATCTCTTAATTTTGTAGCTCAGTGCTTCTCCCTTTCATGCCTTTAGGCATATTGAATAACAGTTCCTAAAATGCCTAATTGCTATGTACCGTGTTTGGCTAAAGTTCTTATAGTCCAACACTTCGCAGGCAACAGAATTAGAGCATTACTTTAGCTACTGATCAAGGTAATTCCTTGAATGAGAAATGCTGCTCACCTTTAATAATAATATAAAATAAAAACAGAGCTTAAAACAAAAATGGTTCAGCACATATTAGGCTTTTAGATAGCTTTCACACAGTGTTTATAGAATATACCTGAACATATTTTTTTACGGGATTTGTCATTTATTCTTTGGGCTGAGATTTAGCAGTGATTCTTTGTATTTACCCTGTAACATGTTTGCTAGAATGATCACATACTTTAAAACTTAACTTAAAGAAATTTCCTAGTTTATTTCAACAGCATAGTAGCTCTGATTTCCAGTTGAGGTTGATTTATATTATAATTCAAAAATTCATTGAAGTTTTAAAGAATATGGGATTATAATGACTACTCAAGAGGAAAGCCGTTTGCACCATTCTTCCCCCTCCTCTTTTCTTTGCCTCTTATAAAAACCCAGAGAGTGAAGGACATTCCGTAATGGTGGAATTGCTCAAAACAAGAGAACTTGGAGAAATTCCTCATTTTTTGCTAGATTTAGAACAGTTTATTCATCCTACGTACATGTAGATAAGATAACCTTTATTGTCATTTTTTTTACTGTGGGCACAACAGCACAGATCAAAAATGAAATTTAGTTGCCCGCTCTCAAAGTGAAACACATACATGACGCACAACTAAACATACTATGTACAACATATGTATAGATTCACACCCCTACATATACACATCTTGTACAATGTGCCCAATATTGTTCTGTCCTCATTATCTGTCATGAGAAATTTTGGGGACAGTACAATGAGTTAGAGAAGAAAAAGGAGAAAGAAAATGATTGTTTGCATGGGCTGCCTTTCCCTAAGTGAGCTATCTTCAAGTCGTGTAACTATTGAATTGATTACAATCCAACACTGTATAGCAGTGTTTCCCAAACTTGACAATTTTAAGGCATGAGGACTTCAACTCCCAGAATTCCACAGCCAGCATTGCTGGCTGTGGAATTCTGGGAGTTGAAGTCCACATGCCTTAAAATTGTCAAGTTTGGGAAACACTGCTGTATACCATTTATAAGGATATGGGGGGGGGGGTTGGGGTTGTAGTACTTCTATTTTCTACTGCAAATAAAGCATTTTTTTTTTACAGGACCCTCCCCTTCCCCATATGTTTTTAGGACCTCGTGGATATATTATTTCAAATAATAACCAGATATGGTTAAGGTAGCTAAGAGAAGGTATTGAGATGGATTCCTCATCCGGGAATGTTTACTAATGAATGAATTAAATTAAAGTAATTCTTTTGAAATAAAATTCTGCATTTTCTACTTGATTAATTTCTACAAAAATTTCTGACGATTAATAGCGTAACTAATTTTTTTTTCCTATGAGTTCACTTGCATAGTTCAACTTGAGAATTTTACAGTGTTGCTTTTTTTTTTGGTTGAAGTAGTACAAAATGTCAAAAATTAGAAGGAAGGTCACAGTGGAAAATACCAAGACCATATCTGATAGCACATCGAGAAGACCTAGTGTGTTTGAAAGACTTGGACCCAGTACTGGAAGTTCTGCAGAGGTGAGTCAAAAAGTATTCTTTGCTCTTAATGTGACACTCTCATAAGTCAGAGATTATAGCAGGGGATGCTTTTCTCTCTCTCTCTTTTTTCTAATGGAGTAAGTCACCGTATTGGTTTAATCGGAATGAAATAAACCTGTAAAGGCTTTCTTATCTTAGATTGATATATTATGAACTCTTGCATTGTTTCAAATGGGATGAGATGAGGAGGAACATCTTTGTCTAGTACTTGTTCCTGTTTTAATAAGTTCGTGTTCATAGTCTAAACATTTGATTTGGGGGAAAAAATTCCCCTCTTGAGGCAGTAACTGTGTTAGCTTATTTCTGTTGTTGTTGTTGTGCCTCTATGTAATGGGTTTCTTTTAATATCTGAAGCCATCAGGATACCTTTCTTTGATGCAGTGCACCATGTTTCATTTATTCAGTCTGGCTTAGAATGCTGCATTTGGATATTATCAATTTCCAACTCTGATTCTGTAGGTCTAAATCCACCCATATTCTGCAGAATGAAGCATATGGATGGATGAATTGTCTAGCTAGAGGTTAGGAAAAAAACAGGACAAATTCCAACATTTGAATGCATGCATCACATTTTTGGTGATGCATGTCTTGCTCATGGTCATAAAACAACTTATATTTTATTTATAGGTGAGAAGAGATCTTAAGTCATGTCAATATACCTTGAAATGACTTCTGTTATCCAACATCTGATGATGAGCACTGTCAGACTTTGCTCTAAATTGTTAAGTTAGAATGTTGATATGTGGAATTATGTGTTCTGTGACTTTTCATGAAGCAGTATTCCAACATTAGTTTGAAATTCACCCAGTAATGTCTGTCTCTTAGACACAGTGCCGTAACTGGCTGAAGACTGGCAACTGCCTCTATGGGAACACATGTAGATTCATACATGGCCCTTCACCACGAGGTAAAGGCTTTAGCAGCAGTTACCGAAGGTAAATGAAGAACTCAGCTTCATATTCAAATGCTTTTTCAAGCTGTTCTCTTGTCATCTTAAAAAAAGATATACAGTGCAATGATGTGGCTTATAAAGAAATTGTTATTCTGGAAATATTGACATGGCCTGACTTTTTGAGTATAGATTCTGAAAATCAAAATGTTTGTGTTACAAGTTAACTTCTGCTTTAATAAATTTACCAATGATAATCAGAAGTAAAAATTAAATTATTCCAGTTCTGTTATGCTCAAATTTTCTCTAGTAGGTGATTAGGGCAACACCAAAAGTCTCAATCTCTCTTCATAAAATTTTACACCTGGCAGTGTGATCAATAAATAACTATGCTTTCACATTTTTATGACAAAATTATTTTTCTAGTTGTCAGTATAAAACAAAAATGATATACATGAGAAGTTTATTTTCATTAGTAACCCACGAAGAGCTTTGGTCTTATGTGTATTCACAGTAGGTCGTGTTTTGTTTAGCTAAAATGTACATTAGGCAGCTTGAAATCCAATTAATGCCTTCCACTAACAGATTTTCATTGGGTGAGACGGAACAATAGCTAATTTTTGCTGTCTCCTATACTTTTCCATGCACTTCCTAAATTTATTCATTGGAAGAGGGATTGGAAAACAGATTTTGAGGTATGGAAAAGTAGTCTATGAAAGAGCTAGACTGCAATCCTATAAACAATTATCTGCCAATAAATTACATTGCGTTCAAGGGGCTTACTTCTGAAATGTGTGGGATTGCACTGCCAATTTTTGCTGAGAAATGCTAGGTATGGCTCATGCTTCTTTAAGGAATTATTTTTAATTTAAAAAAACAGGAAAGGAATTTCAATTATTGTGTGGAGTGTTAAAACATTTTATTTCTGATTTTCATTGGAACATGGAATTACAGTTGTGAACTTCTGTTTTATAAATTATGCTTTAAATTCATTTAGATTACAAAGTGTATTAACCAGCAAACAATCATTATATGGGTATTTTATCAATATATTAGGAACCACTATTTATAGCAAATTATCATTGTCAAATGAGCCAATAAGGTTTATCATTATTGCAGAGAAAGTGACAATGATTCTTTTTTTAGTTTCAGAGAAGCATGATGGTGCTACAGGGTAAATAGCAAAACGTATTAAAGGAGAATTTAGGCCTTGCATGCCACAGATGTAAGATGGCTGAGGTAGGGCTTCAAATCAATAAGACGGGATATATACGCTGAGATAATAACTACTTTTCCCTCAAAAGAAAAAGAGCACATGAGTTAAAAAAGAAAAGAACAAGTAAAGATTGTTTTTTGAAGTTAGGCTCTTCAATTAAGTCTCTAGTCCAGGGGTAGGCAACCTTGGCTCTTTTATGACTCGTGGACTTTAACTCCCAGAATTCCTGAGCCAGCATGGCTCAGCTTGGAAACCTCTCCCTTTCCCCTCAGCAAGGCTGGCTCAGGAATTCTGGGAGTTGAAATCCACAAGTCATAACAGCCAAGGTTGCCTACCCCTGGTCTAGTTAGTTAAATTAGAATAGTTCCTCAGTGGTGGGGAAATCAAAATCACCTCAGAAGGAGATCAAGAAAAGAGGAAGGGCACTCCAGCAGATAAGTGTTGGACAGGATGGGAGCAAAAACAGGAAGCAGATGTTTATAACAGGAATGTGACATTAAACTTGGTGAATAGACATTAATCTGTCATCTAAATTGCACACAATTTATCGCACAATCTTTCTGAAAAATCACTGAGATTGCACACTTAATTCAAGAAACAAGCTTGATTTTATATATATTTTTAATGTATTGTTTTATTGCTTTTTAAAATAGTGACTAAAAGTATAAAGTCAAAAATGCATATATTGTCAAAGAAAAAAGACACATAAAAAGTGCTCTTTAAAAGTGCAAAAATACAACAACAAAAAGAAAGCATGTATAATATATAATTATGTATGATTGTGTATAATCACAATATGTTATGATTTTATACTTGCTCATGGAATAGTTAATAAAAATATTCAGTACTAGTCACTGTTCTTATTGTATAGTATATGTTAAATAGATATTGTAGAAATATGAATCCTCAGTTATACTTTTGGAATTTGTGCTATAAAGCCTAGATTGATGACTGATCACGGTGAATTGATTTTAAAATAAAGCAGTTCAGATCAGTAAATGAAATTATTGAATACTGTGAGGAAGAAATGATTTAAAATAAATCCCATATAATATATCCACAGTTCTTTTGATCACAGTTCTTTTGCGTACACACAGGGCTTTTTTAGTCATAGAACACCCAGAACGGAGTTCCGGCACCTTTTTTGGATGGAACTTTGTTTGGTAGGCAAGGCGGGTTGTATGATATGTGTGAGTTCCGACACTTTTTTTTTTTTTTACAAAAAAAAGCACTGAGGACACATGGTAATTTTGCCATATGGCAATTAATGCATTTCACAAAGAAGTACATTTTCTAGATTGGAGAAAGGCAAGATTTTGAAATCAGTGGTTTTCTGATTTTTTTCTCTCTCTGCAAGCATGTAACTCTCTTGATCTCTTTAAATAATCATTAAATCATCAAATGTTAAATAATCATTAAATGTTTCGGGGAGGACTTGTGAATTGCTTTAGCCTCCTCCAAGTGTGTTTTCTGTCCTGTTTTCTTTCCCTTGTTTACAATATAGATTGGGAGCACAGGAAAAATTCTATAGCCCTGTTATTCATGGATATAAAATAAATGTAGAAAGTAGACTAGGGATGGGAATCTTGTGGCCCTCCAGTTATTGAGACTCCAATTTTATCTTCTGTCCATAAAGTTAATAGAGATGATAAGAATTTTAATCTAATAAAATCTAGAAGAAAATCCTTTCAAAATGTTTGGGAAAATCAAACGTTAATCCTGTTAATTAAACAAGCATGTATATTAAATGTTACATTATTAATATATATTATATAGACATGAGTGTATGTATGTGTGTATATACTGGCAGAAACAAACACTATACATACACCTATATATCTATACATTTTATTATAAGACAATACTCCAGATGGGAAAATTATTCAGGAATGCCTGGCTAAGACCTTTTTTAGCAGCCCTTAATTTTTATTAATATTTTTGTACTAATACTGTTTTTTAATATTTATAACAGCATTTTTATTGTTTCAGCTCTTACATGTAGTTTGTTTTTGTTTGTCTATAAACCATTCCAAGGGCACATAGCATTTGGACCAGATATAAATAGAATAAATAAGAAACTTTTCTTTAGTATCAAAATAAAATACATGTATTATCCATGAAATTATATAATTGGGTAATTATAGATTCATGTTTGTATGTGTGGACCACATTAAGCTATAAGTAACTAACTTAACTGTTAAGTAAAAATGTATATTTAACATTTTGTTTTCATCTGTATCTCAATTTCCTAAGGATATGCACTTCCCTTTTATTTTTATTTTTTTAATATACTCGTTTGAGGGCCCGGCGTGTGGGGATAACTCTAGGTAACGTTTTTCTGTTATATTCTTCCTGTTGGGAATGGAGACTCAGTTCAGTTGAGAATAAATAGGCCTTTGAAAACAGGACAGGTAGGAAGAATGAGAAGCTGGACCTGAGACACTACCCATGCTGGGGTAAAAAGCAGGTCTCTTTTCATTCAAAGAGGCAGAGATTGTGCTCTGTACACTCTGCCAATATATCTGTTTGATAGGCTGTGAAAAGTGGAATGAACCTGTAAAGGAAAATTATCTTTTTTCCTTTTCTGCCTCCTTTCCCAATGAGCTTGACCAAAATTGTTGTGTTCTTCTGACTATTACATGGGAACAATTATTCTGAAAAATAATATGATAATGGGAGAGTAATCTTGACTAGCTGTGTGCAAAAAAATTGAAATGTTTTAAGTTTAAAATACCTGTCCCAACTGTTTTGAGAAGTGTTTTGTGTTTAGAATAGCCTAGTTTTCCTACTTCAATGTTTCCAATTATTTTTACTCCTTATCAACATTATCTCACTTGCTCCTTTAGCAGCTCTTTCCCACAGATAAGATGATTGCTTACTAACTTACTGTTGAGAGGATAAAATTAGCAAATTGATGGGGATCCATTTTAATATTTTTAAGTACTTTAATTTCATATCATTTAAATTATAAAGAGAATCTTTATCTAAAACAATAGCATTAAATAGCACCATTATTTAATTTTCTAAAGCTATATCTTCTTTAAACATCTGGACATAGTGAATATTTACATCCATTTTTAAACTTCCAACCATCTTGGATTTTCTGCTTCATTTAAGTACTTGCCCTCTTCCAGTGTAACATTTGTCTTACCTTGGGGTTTCAAGTTGAACTAAATCTGAATATCAAAATAATATGCATTTATATTTCATATTCAAAAAAATCAGTGTGCATTATTCTAATAATTCGTCCTATAATGTAAAATAGATATTCTTTGAAGAGTAAGATAGGGATACTGTCTCTCCTACAACAATATGGAGAATTTGTAAATTTCACATTGGCTTCCTTTGTGTTAATTTTTTTCACAATAAACAACCGAAACTAACTATATTTTTTGTTGTTGGAAAAAAGTACATTTTTAAAACTAGGAGCAAATATTTTGAATATCACACAGGAACAAAATGAGGATGGTAGCAAACCAGGATGTGCCACTGAGGGATAAATAAGAGTGAAGATTCCTTGGGAATATTTCTATATAGGCAGTCCTAGGGTAAAGCACAAGTTATGTTCCTAACTCTGTCTTTAACTTGAAAGTTGTATGTGAGTTGGAACTGATACTCTGCCCCCCATCCCCCGCCCCAACTGCCTGCAGGGCCACTCACTACCTCCAGGGCCTGCCGCAGATCACCCAGGCGGCCCAACAGCGCTACGATGGTCATGCCCTCTGCCTGAGCCCCGTAGCATCAACTGTGCACGATGGGGTGTGAGGGCAGAGTCTTGTCTACGCTGTGTGGCTGCCATGTTCTTGGCTGCACTGCTCCATGTGGGCCACGCTCAGGGGCGACTCTCCTTCAGGGGGGCTGCTGGAGAGGTGTCACAGGGAGGCAAAGCTGGGGTAACGGCACGTGTGCCCACAGAGAGGGCTCTGAGTGCCGCCTCTGGCACCCATGCCATAGGTTCGCCACCACTGGTCTATTACAAAAAATGGTGGACAGTGTTCCCCTTCATCAAGCCGATCAACCTCTGAAGTTGTGCAATACTTTCAAGCACTGCTGAAAACAGGCTATATATTAAAAGCGCATAGCTTCCTGAAAACATTGCGTGGTTTCAGTAGTTCATTGGCTTAAGGAAGGAGAACACTATCCGTAAGAGGCAACCCACTCGTATGTGGCGGTTTTTCTTAAGGCAGATGTTCCTAACCCAGGGACGGCCTGTTATTTGTTCAACATTTGAAGTCTTTAGATTGCCAATATCTGCTTTCAGGAAAAATAGATACGGTGTATGTTGCATTCTCTTTTCATCTGTGGAAAAACACCCATATTGTTAATTTTTACTACAGTTGAATTAAGCTCAATTAATCAAGCATTATAGGAAAAACACATGCGAGTTGCAGATGCTTTGTGATTTTGGGATATGGATCAAATTTCATCCGTTTGTCTTTGTTGCATAGCTATATATCTGTGTATGTATTTCAAACTGGTTATCTGCTGAATTTTCAGTAGTTAGCGTAGAATGAGGTGACATTGAGTATTCCTTCAGGTTTGAACTTGACAGTCCTCTTCAGATTTAAAAATGTACAAAAAGAAAGATACCAATTGTTCGAGGTTATTTAGGTGACTAGTTACTGTAGACATCCCCCAAGCCAGTTTTTTTCAACGAAACTGATTATTTGTAAACATTAGGTACTTAAACGTAAAACTACCTCTCTGTATTATTTACAGTATTCTGTAATTTCAAATATGTGAAAAAAATAATTCTTGTTGAAATAAGTAACAAATCTGTAAAACTACCTGTTTCTAATCTTTGCCTTAATTCTAATTGATATACTGTATATACCTTTTTAGAGAGCTTACATATTGTCTCTTTATACCAAAGTATTGTGCGCAATTGAAGGCAGCTCCTTTGATTGTTAGAAATGAATGACAGTATCTTAAGAGTAAGATAACTTACCTAGTCTTTGGCAGCCCTTAAATCTTCTTGTAATTGCATTGCATTCCCAGATGGGGCAATCTGTTGTGCAGAAAGTTGATATGTGGCAAATTCAAAAATTAGGGAGAAGTCATATGAGATCAGGATTCCCTCTAACCAATGTTAGATATGAACCAGTGATTGAATATATTTATTTATTAAATTTCTGTGCCACCCATCTAACCAATACAGCAATTGTGGGTGACTTACAATGTAATGAAAAGTACTAAAAACAAAACTAGAAAAAATGAATAAAAAACTGAAAAACCAAGATGATGGGTGGTCTGGCAGTGGGGATCTTCTCTGCTTGGTCAGCCACACCAAACATAGCCAGCCCTTGTTGGGTCCCCAGGCCAAGCAACAGAGCCAAGGTTTTAGGCTATTGTAGAAGCCAGGAGGGTGGGGGCAGACCTCATTTCAACAGAATATTCTTGAGGGTGGGGGCCCCAGCAGAAAAGGCTCTTCTTTTGGACCCCGCCAGCTGAAATTCTTTAGCCAATGGAATCTGAAGTAGGCCTTCATGTTGGAATGAGGACAGATTCCATCTGAGTAAGGCGGTTCCCCAGATACCCTGGACCTATGCCATAAAGGGCTTTGAAGGTGATCACCAACACCTTGAATTGGATCCAGAAGCAAACTGAAACTGTTGTAACTCATATAGGAGCAAGGTCACATGGACCACCCAAGGGGCTTCAAGAACTGTCTGTGCCGTTGCATTCTGTACCAGTTGTAGCTTCCGAATATTCTTCAAGGATAGCCTTAGGTAGAGCAAATATATTGTCAAAGTTACTATAATGAGAGTAATAGTTGCTATCTGTGTCATGCTTGCTATCTATGACATATAACAGTGGCATTAAGAACACTACTCCACTGTTTGTTTTGCCTCTCACCATCCTCTGCTGTGTTGTTGCTGAATTAACTAACTGCTGTTCTTTCTTCTCCCAGGCAGTTCCACATAAGCACAGAGTTACAACAGTCCTATCTCGTCAGCTTCTTCACATCTATAACTTCAAAACTGAGATTTTTAAGATGCAAGATTTGACAGACTAGACAGACCCGTTTTTATCAGGCTAAAATAAAATTAATACCATGTTTAAATAAATCAGAATTTAGCACAGAGTATTAATATGAATGGGAATGTACTCATCATTCAGTATAGTTATCCCTCTCTTGGTTATTGTTATTTCATGTTTTGATTACTGTAGTTTTCTAATTCTTTGTAATTTATTAGTTGCCATTAATGGTGTCCATATCACTGCAATATTTAAAAATGTGGCACCAATTGCTAATTATTTTTCTGGGCTTAACTCAGAAAGTTAATCTCAACCTTTAAGCAGTTTAAATATTTGAGCCTATCCTATTTTGACATTATCCAGATGTTAAAATTTATTAACAGACATAGAAGGCCCACTTTGAGAAGACTTTATGTATCATATGAGAAGACTTTATGTATCTTTTTCAGCAGCAGGAAACTCTCCTTCTGAATTAAGATTAGTTCTCATTCTCCAAGCTTTTTTAAAGATGGCAGAAAAATTTATTTAATTACGTTTAAATTAATTTTAAAGGCTGGCTTAATATTTTTAAATGTCCAGATTGTTTTGTTTCCATAGACTTTAATTTAACAAACATACTACCTTGGTGACATTTATACCAACGTAAGAAAGATGTGAAATTATTTTTAATGATTAATGTAAACTGTTCAGATTATTTTTTATTTATTTAAATCATTGATTTATATTTCTTATGCCCTTAACCATTTTTGAGAATAGCCAAAAAAGAAGTGAAGCCTGGTCAGGAATTGGATGCTGTTGGAGAGAGTTGATTGACATTAACTGGCTTTATTAGTTTGATTACTTTAAATCCCATTGATTAAGTTAGTTTAGTCTTTGATTAGCTCCAGCTCTAAATCTTAGTAAAGTCTATCACGGTCCAATTAATAATACCCTTGTTTATGCATTTTGTATTGGCCATTGGTTAGAAGGGAAAATCTTTAATATTTATTGGAAAATTAATGAAAACGATTCAACTAAAAGGTTTAAAAGATTGAGATTCGGGTTCACATTAAGGTTTAATAACTTACATATTTGTTCAGTTCACAGTTTTTGCCTGATTTGGTTAAATAGCAATTGTGGGATATAATAAAATGTCTATTTGTGTAACTTTTCCTTTTCTTTGGGGAAATGAATTACAGTCTTTGAGAATATGCCCGATGATTTTTGCGGTCTCTTTGAATTTTCTCTACCATTGTTAATCATAGTTTAGCTTTATTAAAATGGTCAGACAAATTCCCTCCCCCCCCCCTTGGGCAAAATTAGTTGCGGTTTGTATGCATTAACATGACAGGAACTGTATTAAATAAACAAGAAATAGAAAGGTTGGGAAATGAAACTGAACTACAGAACCTAAAGCTATAACTAAACTATTTTTCTCAAATAATACATTCTATAGAAGCAGCTGTATTTTCTGTCTTCATTGTACAGGTCACCAGAAAGGCCTACAGGGGACCTTCGGGAAAGAATGAAGAATAAGCGACAAGACATTGAAAGTGAATCACAGAAACATAATACAGAAGAACAGCCTTCTCCTGTTAGGGTAGGATGCATATATCTCCAGGATTACTACAGTAGTGTAAGAAACAGAAAAGTATGTCCAGTAAAATATAACTGGGCGTAATAGGTTGGATCCAGGTTTGTGCCTTGATGAGCTTCTTAGATTTGTAGAGGGACTCAAGAGGATCACTGCTGATCTAATGGATGGTGTGATTTTCGCCAATTCCCCAGAGTTCCTGCATCCCTATCCAGAGCATTTCCTCAGGAAACAGGGATTTGCAAATGTACAATCTTTGGTTTGGAATGCTGTCAGGTTTTCATGCGCTCCTACCCAGTGTTTGATTTTTAGCACCTGTTACTTAAATGTAATAAGTGAACCACAGTTATATTGGAGAGCCCCCCCCTCCCCGAATTTCCTATTCAGTGCCTGAAATGCTGCTAAATTGGGGAAGTGTAGAGTCCTGGGTGCTCTCTGAGCTTGGTTGTTTTCTTGCAGATGTTTCATTACCAAACTAAGTAATATCATTTTATTTTATTTTTTGCATTTCTGGATGCTGAAATAAGCTTTAGATGTATATTTTTCAAGCCAGCCTCTCTCCTCTTTCTTCATATACAATTAGCTCTCAACTTACGACTGTTCCCTTAGCGGCCAGTCAACGTTACAACCAATTCAAAACACAGGACACACAACCTGGATTAAAACTTACGATGGTCGGGCTCCCTCCGTGGTCATGTGACCAAACTTTGGGCACTTGGCCAGACGGGTTTGCAGCTTCCTGCAGTCAAGTAACCACATTTTACAACAATTTTATTGAAAACGACTAGTTGCTTGTGGTTTTTTTTTTTTTTTAACAAAACTTTATCCATAGCAAGCCATTGATTTTGTTTAATGACTATGGCAATAGCTTAACAGCCACTGCAGAAAAAGTTATAAGATTGACCCTTTTATGACCAATATGGCATATGTACCGGGCAAGCTTTATTACAGTCATATGTTGAGGACTACCTGTACTCTCTGCCACCCTTCCTTTGGAACTGAAAGGGATTTCTTTACGGGCAGTTCTTGATTAACCACAGCAATTGGGACTGGAATTGCCATCACTGAGCCACACAGTCATAAAGCACGATGTCATAAAACACGATGTCGTAAAACACGATGGCAATTCTAGCACCCCTCTCATTGATGTTAAACGAATCACCATAGTCATTAAGCAAGAACATCACATGGTGATCACTTGTAAACCCCCCCCCCCCACGGCCGTCTTCCCCAATGACGGCTTGTCAGAAGCCAGCAAAGAAGGTTGCAAATGGTGACCATGCTGTGATGTTGTAATTGTGAGCCAGGCATTGAGCACTCCGATTGCGATCGTGTGGCCATGGGGATGCTGTGATGGTCAGCACTTCAAGGACTGCCTGTAAGTACCACTCATTTAGTGCTGTTTCAAGTTTGAACAGTTACTGAACAAGTGGTGGTTCAGAGAGGACTGCCTGGAAGAGTTTGTGGGAACATTGCTATGAGTTATACAAAGAGAAGAATCTCACTGTAAATGCCTAATTTATTGAATGACTGAATAGTTTTAATTTGGCCATGTTGGGTTCATGCTCATGGTCACTTCAATTTCTAAGTCTTCAAATATGTTTTACTCAATTGAAGTATCTTTGCCTGAGTTTTTCACACTTATATATGACTCTGTAGTTTTTTCAGGGTCATGTGGCAGAGAGATGGGCAGCATATAAATATAATAAATAAATAACAAAATAACAGCTTAGATCTTTAAATTGTTGCAGGAAGTTGGAATAATCACCAGTGTTAGATTGCATTATTTGTTAGAAAGTTCTAAATTAAATCAAAGTGTGGAGGTCTTGTTATTTTGGATAGGAAAACTAGCTGATTCAGCTGGGGAAATTGTCATTAAGAATCTGTATTTGAGGAGATACACTTTGTTTTGTATTATTTAAATACGTGTTTAACTTGTTAATGTAATGTGATTATTGCTGACATAACAGTGGTAATCATATTGTACTGCCCTACTTACAAAGTAACTGAAAATTTAAACATTTTGTATCTTGTTAATCTTGTGTTAGTGATTGAGAGATTGAATAATAGGAAATTTGTTTAGAACTGAATAATAAGATTTTTTTAAATTCCTTCCAGATGTAACAGAATAGTAGTTGCCGTAATGTGTTCCATGAGAGCATTATCTGCACATTGTAAGAAGTTAACTAAAGTTCCTTGTTTAATTATGATTTCTTATAATTTATCATCTTTTTGAACTCTTATGCTTTATAGATAGTCCTCAATTTAAGGCCACAATTGGGACCAGAATTTTCTATTGCTAAGCAAGGCAGTATTCATTCACTCACTCACTCACTCACTCACTCACTCACTCACTCACTCACTCACTCATTCATTCATTCCATCCATCTTGTGGATTAGGGCAACTTTGAGTGGCTTGTATGCCATGTTGGATTGGGAGGTATGTTTGATTGTCTTCCTGAAATATCTTCAGCTTCAGTTTCTTCATCAGCAGTGAGGTATTAGCTTCTAGGTTATGTTGATAGAAAGCTGAAGCCATTCTTCCTTCTCTGTAGACAATATATTGTGGCACTGGCTCCTGTATAACCTCAAATCATAATAGAGCCACCGCTATGATAGCTAAGAAAGTGTTCATTTTTTTTCAAATGTTTTGTCTTTTTTCTCCAAATATATCTTGTAGTTGTGGGCAAACAGTTAAATGTTTAGTTTTTCTGTCCAAAGCTCTTCATTTCAAAAACATTTTAGGTTTGCCAAGGCTTACATCAGTATATGATTTTTGTGGTGAGATCAGAGTACTTTTTACTGATAATTGTCTCATGCTCATCATTGTATAAACAGTGTTGCACTATAAACCTGCAGATGAATATTCCAGTATTTTGTTTTTAGCTTTTCAGCATGTCAGTAGCAATGATCTGTGAGTTCTGTTTTAAAGAATTGACCACTTTTCCAGCAGAATCTTTTTACAGATCTTGCCATAATCTCAACAGTTTCAAGTAATTTCCATTTCTTAAACCTATTGTTCATTGTTAAACTTACCAGATATGGTTACAGCCTTCCTATACTTGATAAGAGTGAATTGTCTTCGTTTTCAAATGCTCGAGACAGCTGCTTAGATGTTCCCATAGTTGTTGAAAATAGACAGAAGAATAATCACAATCAGAGAGGCTAGAAGGTTCAGTATTTATTCAGCTGTGGAAGTGGGTTCACCTGGCTAACTGTAGGTCTAAAGAATCAGTTAACTTTTTGGAGCCTTACTAACAACTACATTTTTAAAAAAAGTATTACTGTATCAACTGGAAGGGCGTCCAAACCTTTTTGCCTGCCCTACTCTCTTTTTAAATTGTTGAATTTATAAATGACTTCCTTTATATATAGATGCATTCTATATAGATTTGCTGAACTATGTTGTTTACAAAGTTAAACTTTGTTACTGTGTAGAGGTATTAGCTTCTTTTTGCTTAGAGGTTCAGTGGAAAATATGATTTGACCAAGGATTACTTTTTCATGCAACTGTAGAGATGTAGGGAAGTTTATTAGAACCATCAGCAGAAGGTAACAACATTGGGAAAGGGCATTGTGTAGTTGTTTTAAAATGCATATTTTGTGCACATTTTATATATTTCAATGTTAGAAGCCTGTAAATCAAAGGGTATCATTGGAAGACTTGCAGGACCAGGTTGGGGATTGATCATTTTAGAGAAAAATCTGTCCATGTGGTCACTAAAAGTTGACATCAGCCAGAACAAAAATTATTTTAGAAATGTATTAGTGTAAAAAAACATGCAACCATGAATTTTTGGGTTTTGAATACTTTCCCACTTGGTTTATCCTTCCTAAACTTCTATTTTAAATTCTATAGACATTCATGGGTTACAAAATGTAGCATTCAATTATAATTCCAATTTTTGATTTGTGAACAGAGTGTGCTTTCAGTAAAATACAGCCCTACTTTGAAGGATCTAATTTTAAGAGATAAAGAAGTCCTTTGCATATCTAGGTTGCCCCATTGCTGTCGTCTTGTATTTCCCTTAACTGCTGCTTCCCATAATGTGCAATGGGAGCAGATCATTAGGAAACAATCCTAAAGCCTCTTTTAAAAACTGGCTTCCAAATTGTGATTTCTTTTTTAAATGCTGTTTGCTACAGCTTTTATTTCACACATTATAGAGTCTTTGGATTAATGGCAATGACCAGAGTTTAAACTTGCATGAAGGGAATGAAGTAGCAACTAACAGTTGGACATCTGAGTATAGGACATTTTTTGAAATTATCCATGAGCTAAGAGCTTTGTCCAAAGCATAATCAGTATTAGCCTTCAATTTCATATTGATATTCAAGGACTTTAAAGCCAAGGGCTTGCTTCTGCTTATCTTCTGAATTCTAAGCCACAGTTTAGCCTTTGGTCTGGAGTTATACTCTTTTTCTGAGTAGGTTTCTTATTAAATGTATCAGAATATTTTATCAATTTTAATATTGCACCATACAGTTTTTGAAAGTTAAGAAACTGAGTTGTGAAGTCAGCTGTGAACTTACACCCCAACAGATAAAACTTAAATAGATTTCATGTTCTGTTTTGAAAAACGCTAAGTAACCTTTTAATGTTTTCTTCTGTAGAAAGAGTCTACAAGAGGGAGGCACAGGGGAAAAGAAGATATTAAAATTACTAAAGAAAGGACGCCAGAAAGTGAAGAAGACAATCCTGACTGGGAAACAAATAGAGACGGTAAATAGAATATGCCATTAAACCTTGCAAACAAATTAACATGTATTTTGACTTGCCATTCTAGACCTTGTATAAAGGCCAGGCAAAAGATAGATTGCCTACAGAAATCCTTTGATTTTTCTTATCTCTCCCTTACCCCTGTAGAGTGGAGAAATGGGAGGAGAAGAAAGTTCAAGAGAATACTCTAAGCTGCTTACATTGTGTGTCCACAGCTCTTATCCCCAGTTGCCAGTGTGATTGCATTGCTTTTGATGCATAGAAGAGCAAACAGATTATTCTCTTCCTTTCCCATTTCTCTACTTTTCTTTATCCCACAAAGTGCTCTGTTTTGGATTTCAAAATAATATTATAAGCTATTTATGTAGCCTACAGAAATCACTCCCCCATCACACCACAGAGCAGAGAGATCGGAGAGAAAGAGATTTCAAGTGAGTAGTGCAAACTGTTTGCATAGTGCACCCACGGCTCCCAGTCCCAGACTGCCTCAGTCCTAGACTGCCGGCATGATTGCATTGTTTTCAATGTGTAGAAGAGCCAACAGTTTGCTTGTTTGCAGTCTCTTCCCTACAGTCCATCTGCTTTGCAATGTGTGTGTGTTTGGGGGAGAGGAATGCAGTTCAGGCACAGGATAACACATACTGACTGAGGGATTGTTGTGATGATTGTAAATGATCATAAAGTTATTCTTTCAGTACCATCGTAACATTGCTGAACAAATGGTCGGTAAATGAGGATTACCTCTTTGCGTAGTACCATTCATTTATAGATTATTTAATGAAAACCCTTGGATGCACTAGGATGCACTCCTGGTCTTGTCTTGTTTGAGATGTCATTAGTATGCAAATTTCTAGAAGAGCAAACTCTTGTATGCTGTTGCTACTTAACTCAGGAAAGCAAAAGCAGCAGAAAAGAGGGCAAAAGGAGGACCTGGGAGGGGATTATGTTCACGTATGAAGAAGAGGACAAGACTGAGGGATTTAATTGCAGAGGTTACTGATTCTGATTAATATACTGATGGCCTCTTTAGGGCTAAAAGAGCCAATTTGGGAGTACAGAAGCAATAGCAAAGGGACTTGTTTCTGTTCCTCTCTTCCTGTTATAAATATTTTTTATTTCTTTTCCCTTTGGAAAGAAAATTTAGATTTGCATTTAAGTCAGTTTATGGCTAGACTATGAGAATACAGATTGTTTCAAGGATTAAATGGAGAAAACACAATATTCTCTTTTGAATCTGCTTACAGTACTGCCATCACATTCGAAAATCATGTTCACTGCGTAATTGGAATTAGTCTTAAATGAATCATGTGAAACCATAATGCCAGTATATATTGAATTATGGCTACTTTTTAAAGTGTATTTGTATAAAGAAAGGGTTCACTAACTGGCTTTGTTCCCTTCGCCCTTCCTGCCTTCTTTTTCATAACTTAAGATTCTGATAACGGAGATGTTAATTATGATTATGACCATGAATTGTCTTTGGAAATGAAGCGCCAGAAGATCCAGAGAGAGTTAATGAAGCTTGAAGAAGAAAACATGGATAGAAGAGAAGAAATAGTAATCAAAAAAGAGGTTTGTATCTTGAAAAGAATCGCTGCATCGTCATAAATAACTAAATGAGTGGACATTATTGAACAATATAATTAACAAACCTTCAGAGTAATATTTCCTGTTAGTCAGATATATATACAAACATGTGTGTGTGTGTGAAAAAATGATTGTTAATGCCATATAGATGCTATAAACACATATAGCATCTATATGGCATAGGGGCTGCCACAAAGAAGAGGGAGTCAAGCTATTCTCCAAAGCACCTGAAGGCAGGACAAGAAGCAACGGGTGGAAACTAATCAAGGAGAGAAGCAACCTAGAACTAAGGAGAAACTTCCTGATAGTGAGAAGAATTAATCAGTGGAACAACCTGCCTCCAGAAGCGATAAATGCTCCAATACTGGAAGTTTTTAAGAAGAGACTGGACAGCCATTCGTCCGAAATGGTATAGGGTTTCTTGTCTGAGCAGTGGGTTGGACTAGATGACTTCCAAGGTCCCTTCCAACTTTACTATTATTATTATTATATTATTATTATTATATACATACCCTCGCCGTAGTTCTGCATCTGAACTGTTACAGGACTCCTACCAGAATGAAAAGCTGAGGACATGTATTGATATTTTAATCGACTACATTTTAAAATATCTGATGAATGCCTGTATCAATTTGTTTTCTTGCCAAATACATAATGGAATTTAAAATTTACTGAATTTTTGTACTTCAGTGGTTGTTAGAGGCTACATATGCATGTGCTGTGGATCAATTTCACTGATACCTGGTTCTCATCTATGGCAAGATCATTATAGGTTTTATAAAATACTAATTTGTTTCCTTTTAAGATTTCTCCTGAGGCGGTTAGATCAAAATTATCATCCTCGCCTTCACCAAGAAAATCAAGTAAATCTCCAAAATTAAGGACAAGCCCTAAATCTTCCTCCACGGCCACTAAGAGGGAGAAGAAGGTTTCAGCGGTCTCTTCCCCACTCCTGGAGCAACAGAGGTAGGTAGATTGGCATATTTTATAATGAAATGGCTACCTCTTATCCTGATTGTTGTTGTTGTTGTTGTGGGTTTGTGCTTTTGTTTGCCAAGCAGTCTTATGGCTCTGTGGGGGGTATTCCCAACGTGGAGATGACCAGCGATATTGGCAAGCTAAGGTTTTATATGATGTAGGATTTTTGTGAGGGAGACGTTTACGAAACTTGTAAATGCCTGGTGTTGATTTTAGATCTGTTTTTAGATGAAGACCGCTTATATCAGGGGTCCCCAACCCACAGTCCGTGGACCGGTATTGGGCCGTGGCATGCCAGCAACCGAGCCGCACAAACAAGCAAAGCCCCACCTGTGGGATGCAGGCAGCAGACAAAACCATGCACTCTCCAATCCTTGGAAAAACCTCTCTCCAGGGAACCAGTCTCTGGTGCCCAAAAGGTTGGGGACCTCTGGCTTACATGACAAGGGTTTCTCCTCTGCTTTTCCCTCAATGCAGTTCCCTTCAGATCTGCTTTGGCATATACTCCGAAGCAAGTTCTGAGGATGTATACGGGAAATGCCTATGGAGATTCCCAGTCATCCAGGTCATGGTTGTCCCAAAAGTGCTTTTTTCAGGAGGCAACTGGACTCCCTTGTTTTTCTTTGAAGACGTTTCGCTTCTCATCCAAGAAGCTTCTTCAGCTCTGACTGGATGGTGGGGAATGGAAGGATTTATATTCCTTGCAGACAGGCTGGTCATTTGCCTTCTTTTAAAGAGTCACTGAAGCCGTTTGGAGGTTCACCTGTGTCCTCAGGGTCACCTGAGTGGTGCGTCTTCAAAGAAAAACGAAGTCCAGTTGCCTCCTAAAAAGAACACCTTTGCGATGTAAATGGGAAGTTAATTTCTTTTCTCCTCAGTGATTGGATTTCACTCTTAATGTGTACAGTTTTGCCAAATGGAAGTTTGTGTAGCAGGTAGGCATATGTAACCAGCTCTTGGGCAGAGGCACATGCAGAAGATTTATCCGCGGCAACCCCATCAAGGACTGCAATTGTTCGTTTGAATGACTGTGGGAGGTCTCAGGCAGACTTTTAATGTAATGTTTAGATCACTTTTGTACTTTAGATGTTAGAAAATGCTGCATGGGCACTCAGGCATTGTTACAATACAAGCTGATTTAACTTTTTAAAATGCCGGTTTGTGTATTGGCTTTTAGAAATTCAAAAAACAGCCACAATAAAAAGAGAGGTCCTCGCACGCCTAGCCCACCACCTCCAGTGCAAGAAGAGTCTACCCAAGGGAAAAAACATAAGGAAAAATATAAAGCTAAAGAGAGGGTAGAAGAAAAGCCAAAGGAGATAAAAGAAAGAGGACGTGATTTTGAGAGACATAATAAAGAAAAAAAAGAGAAGCAAAGGTAAAATACAGGGTTTTTTTTATTTTTTTGGTATTATCATTTTGTTCAGACATCTTCAGGTTAATCCTGAAGGGCTAGCCCAGGGGTAGGCAACCTGGGCTCTTTTATGACTCATGGACTTCAACTCCCAGAATTCCTGAGCCAGCCTGACTCAGCTTGGAAACCTCTCTGTTCCCCTCACCATGGCTGGCTCAGGGATTCTGGGAGTTGAAGTCCACGAGTTATAAAAGAGCCAAGGTTGCCTACTCCTGGGCTAGAGCAAAACATAATATTCAGCAAGCAGCAATGGTCTTGCTCAACCCAATTTTGTGATCCTCTTTGTCTCTGTGTCATTCCTCATGCATTCCCAAAATGTTCTTCAAAGAATCCCTCCGTTTTCCAAAACAAATGTAAGACAAAGGGGCTTTGTCTGTGAGAAAATGGGAAAGGAAATCACTTCCTCAATGGAAATACCCCTTGGAGTATTGATGCTAATGGATGCCGCTTAAAGAGAGTTGAGTGTGGCTTCTGACATGCAAATGTCTTGCTGGCACCAAACCTTTGGTGGTTTGTCTTTTTTTTTTTTTAATTTGTGGGAATAGATAGCAATCAGTTACTTCCATCTTTAGATCCCTGACAATTTTTTAAAGATTTTTTTTATCCCACCTTTATTATTAATATGTAACTTAATACAACAAGCATATCAATATTCCTTCCTCCTCCTATTTTCCCTATAACAACAATCCTATAATGTGGATTGAGTTGAGAGAGAGGGGGAGGGAGGGAGGGAGGGAGGGAGGGAGGGAGGGGGAGAGAGAGAGAGAGAGAGAGAGAGAGAGAGAGAGAGAGAGAGACTGAGACTCATCCAGCAGTTTTCATACTAATGTGAGGCTGGAACTTACCCTCTCCTGGTTTCTAGGCCACACCTTAACCATAGAACGTAGAATCATAGGGCTGGAATGGACCTCAGAGGTCCTATATCCAATCCCCTGCTCAAAGCAGGAAACCTTACATGTATCTTGGTCCAATGGTTGTCCAATCTATTTTTGAAAACCTCCAGCGATGGTGCATCAACCACTGCAAGATGCAAGCTATTTTATTGATTTCATTGTTTTCACTATCAGAAAAAAATATCTTAAGTTGGATCTCTTTTTAACAAGCTTCCACCCTTTATTTCTTGTCCCGCCTTCTGATACTTTGGAGAAGAAGTTACGCCAAACTGGCAGTTATAGTATGTTTTCTAGGAAGGAGCATGTTTCTCCCTTAAGTGGAGACATGCCGCCTAGGGCTATAAATACAGTATCCATGCTGTTGTTTTAATGACAATGTTCTATATGTTGGCTGTATGAATATTCCCCAGGGATCCCTCAGAAAGTTCCCACAGACAGAGACGTTCACCTAGTCCAGAAGACCATTCTGGTAGCAATTCTTCTTCACGAGAGTATTCTCCTGCCACAAGAAGAAGGCAGACGTCTTGGGCTCCAGCTAAGTCCAGCAGCCATAAGCATTCTTTTTCATCCCCCCGCAGGTAGGATTTTTTTTTTTTTTAAATGTGCTTGTGTGTTGTTATTTTATGTGCATGTGTTTTAGACTTTGTTTATTCATGAGAGTTTTCTCCAGTTTGGAAGCTAAATTTTATTACATTTTTATCCCACCTTTATTACTTGTTATAAATAACTCAAGGCAGCGAGCTTACATAGTATTCCTTTCTCCTCTTGTTTTTCTCATAACAAAAACCCTGTGAGATGGGCTGGGCTGAGAGCGATTAGCCCAAGGTCTTTGATTCTCTTTGTGCAATGATAAATCTGCCTCTCGTTCTCTGTTTGTCCCATATGGTTGTAGGGCAGTGTTTCTCAACCTTGACAATTTTAAGGCATGTGGACTTCAACTCCCAGAATTCCACAGCCAGCAATGCTGGCTGTGGAATTCTGGGAATTGAAGTCCACATGCTTTAAAATTGTCAAGGTTGAGAAACACTGTTGTAGGGTCTGCTTGTTTTTGTAGTGTAATTGCTCACTCTCTACACCTGAAATGTAAAATGTAAAAAAAAACAAACAACCATATTTTATATTTATGTAATAAAACATAAAATTTTGAACATTAGGAAGGATTGAAAACCAGCACAATTTAATCACAGCATACCAAGCGCCAGTAACCTCTGTCCTACACACAACTCATTAAAGTCCCCAAACTAGTACTCATACCTTCCCCTTCCCTGTTTGATATTCTGAGACTCGATACTTTCCTACCCCCCCCACCTCTTTTTTTTTTATAAAAAAAACCATTTTATTTCAGCGGCTGATTTTTTTTTTTTCCTGCACTTCAGGTTTTAATATGGCCTTGTATTGTTATCACTGACAGCTATTTCGAAGTTTTATTGCTACATGAAACAGGTTGTTTTTATATTTGGGAGTGACTGCTGGGCAAGGAGGGTATATTCTTCACCTGCATGCACCAACTCCCAATAAAGAATAAGTGTGTGTGGGGGGGGAGTATTTAAAATCCTTGGTTTTGGGAGAACATTTTTGAAGGGAAATCAGTGCTGAGGAAGAAGGGCTAACCATTCTCTTATCAGCTCCTAAGATTTTTAAAAGCTGATTCTTCCTCAATTTTTATTCTAAAGCCTAATTATGTGGGAGACAGAGTATATGTGTGTTTATTGCAGAGAAGTTTGCAGATTTCCCCATAGTAAGGGATGCCCCCACCTGTTTTGGATGGTAGCCTCTTCTCATAGTTGGGATGCAAAGCCTTTCATGGCCGCCTGAGGCAAGTTAGAAATAATCATCCTGTACTGGTCATAGAAGAAGTAGTGCTATATATATGTAGGGTGTTCTACATGCAGGGTGAAACCATGAGCTTTGAGAAATGCTTATAGGTAAGAAGATGAAAATTGATCTTTAATCTAACAGAATTTGCCCAGGGAACGTCTGTTGTTTGGTATGCAGTATATGGATATTTAAAAATGATTTGAATATTTCTTATTTTTAAACCACCCAAAGCCAAACATACTGTTCAGATATTAATGAAAGCAAATGCCTAGCAAGGAAAATTGCGTGCAGGGCAGGAATCGGCTCGGCTATGGAACGTCTGCTAGTACTTTTGGAACCGATCTGAATGCCATTTTAGCAGGGAATAATTATAAAGGTGTGCATGACAGCGCTCAAAATGTAGGTAGCACCAAGATGTTTATACAGTTTTGTGTCTGCAGGTCTGCTTCACCACCGACGCAGCATCATTCTCCTGTGTCGTCGAGGCATCATTCCTCTTCATCTCAGTCGGGTTCTTCTATTCAAAGACGTTCCCCGTCGCCACGTCACAAAAGGACTCCTTCCCCCTCTTATAAAAGAACAACTTCCCCACCTGTAGGTCGATCTTCCTCTCCTTATCCTCACCGAGCATCACCTTCTCCACAGCAAAAACAGGCGTCTTCCAGGCGTCGTTCACCAGTTAGAGAGAGAAGCCGGCATGATCACGAGCGGATTTCACAATCACACGATCGTCACCATGAAAGAAGAGATGGTATGAATAACCATAAAGACAGTCCCATTTAATGGAACCATTCTGTTTTAGATAACCTCACATAAACCAGTCTTGGCATAAGAGGGATTCCTGTGCAATTAATGTAATTATTTTTTTTTAAACAAAACAAAACACTGGTAATATAAATGTTATATACTCGACTAAAAATGTAGCATAGATTTAAATATTTGTAACCTTGAATTTATCTAAATTGAGTCTTATAATCCAGGGATTGGAAAGCTTGATTTCTTCTGTAAAAATGAAAAAAATGTTTGTTTCTGCTATTCCTAGAAATTTTATCAGCAGGTATAAAATTGTAAGCAGCATCATTTAGTTGGAACACAGAATGCCACTATCACGTTGTCAGTTTCTTCACCAAATTTTGAGAATAATGGACATTGATCAAACTCAGACTTTCCCTGCATGTCTGCAAAACATCATGTTGAGGTCCCATCTTTTGTAGGAAGCCATTATTAAAATGTATATAATACAGGTAATCCCTGAGTTATGAGCATTCACTTAACACTCATTCAAAGTTATGTGATAAGTGCCCTCTAGTCCTTACAAGCAAGTCCCGAAGTTACGAATATTGCAGCACCACTGCAGTCGTTCGCCCTTACGAGCGACCGCAGTGGCTCAGCAACATTCACCCTGGATATTCTGTCCCTCCCCACCCCCAACCCGGGTCTCCCTAGGCACCAGGCCTTCAATACTCACCCTGCAAAGATTGAGATCCTTCGCTTTCTTGGCTGGTCCAGGCCTTCAGTGCATTCGCAGAGAATGGAGGCCTAAAGTAACACAAGATGATGCGAGGTCAGTGGGGCGAGATCTCACACTACTGATCTCGCGTGATCTCATGGTACTTTAGGCCTCTGTTCTCTGAAACAGAGAACTGAACCAAAGCTGGGGGATGCTTCCATGTGCCTCCAGAGGCTGGATCGGGGCTCCAGAGGCCTTTTCCAGGCCGCTGCGGCCCAGATCTGAAGGCTGGGGGGTGCTTCTGTGCCCCCCTGGGGCCCAATCCGGACTCCAGAGGCATTTTCTAGGCCCGATCGGACCACGGGGGGCTGCCAAAGCATTCCCTGGCCTCAAATCTGGGCGGCAATGGCTTGGAAAAGACCTCTGAAGCCTGGATCGGGCCGCGGGGGGGGGGGGGCACAGAAGCATTACCCGGCCTCAAATACAGGCAGCAGCAGGAACCGTGGCTCTTTCAACAATACTGGTAGTTTTACGTACAGTGGATACATGGTATACTATTCTTAACCTGCATTGTGTGAAGAATCTGGAAAACTCTCAGAATAAACTCAGGAGTTATGTACACAATGCCAACTGCTGCTCTTTCTGGGCCCTTGTAGATGTATTATTTGCAATGGACTCTTTCCTTTCCTTCCAAATAGATCCTCTTTTCCAAGATCTTCAGAATTTTCTGGGTCCCCAGAAAAGCTACTCTCCCCAGCCTCATCCCTGTTTGAATCATATATCAGTGGAACTACTCCATGCATCTGGTGAATTGAATTGGGGTTTATGAAAGTTTATTGTTAATTGTTGTTTAGTCACTAAGTCTTGTCCAACTCTTCACAATCCCATGGACCAGTGTTTCCCAAACTTGACAATTTTAAGGCATGTGGACTTCAACTCCCAGAATTCCACAGCCAGCAATGCTGGCTGTGGAATTCTGGGAGTTGAAGTCCACATGCCTTAAAATTGTCAAGTTTGGGAAACACTGCCATGGACCATAGCACGCCAGGACCCCCTGTCCTCCACTGTCTCCAGGAGTCTGCCCAAAGGCATGCCCACTGCGTCAGTGACCCTCTCTAACCGTCTCATCCTCTGCCGTCCCCTTCTCCTTTTGCCTTCAGTCTTTCCCAACATCAGGGTCTTTTCCAATGGGTCCTCTCTCCTCATTGGTTTATGCCTTTAAATTAAATTTGTTAGTTTGAAAAGGCACTGCTAGAGCCATGGAGCATCTGCTTTCCAAAGTGTTTTTCAGAACCATTTTTCTACCCTTATTCTGAATGTGGACATTAAATAAAACGTTCTGCAGACTTTTAAAGTGGGGAAGTAGGACTTTTTAGAACTTTTTGGATTAGGGAATAGAAAGGTCTTAAGAGCAGCAGCCGGTAGAACAGTGGTTCTCAACCTTTTTAATGCCGCGACCCCCAACCAGTCGTAAGTCGAGGACTACTCAACCGGTCGTAAGTTGAGGACTACTCAACTGGTGCAGCACCGTTTGCAGAATGGGACTGTTGGTGGGCTCAGCAGGGCAGAGACAGCCTGGACAATTCCTATTGGCTTTTGAAAGCCAATAGAATTAGACTCTATTCAAGAGAGTCTATTCGATTGGCTTTCAAAAGCCAATAGAATAAAAGGGAATAGCACAGCTAAGGAAAAGGGGGAAAAAATGGCGGACTGCGTTGTTTGACGACCCCCGTGAAATGGTCGTTCGACCCCAAATGGGGTCCCAACCCACAGGTTGAGAACCACTGCGGTAGAAGAAGAATTAGGCTTAATTAGCATGAAACATAAAGATGTGTTATCTACTACTACAAAAAAAAATCCCTTGAAATGTTTTTTCTTTTTCATGTTTTTCTCATGCATTTTAACACTGTTAAGTTGATCATATATCCACATGTGCATTTATTTTACTTCCAGAAACGAGAGGAAAAAGGGGAAGAGAAAGAGACAATAGGGATGAACGTGACTATGACCAAGAGCAAAGCACCTCCAGAGACCACAGAGATGATCGAGAATCCCGGGATGGACGGGATCGGAGGGAAACCAGAGATAACAGAGAACGCAGAGATCCAAGAGAATCCCGGGACGCGAGGGACGCGAGGGATTGCAGTAGAGACAATAAAGAAAGTCGGGATCAGAGGGACCTGCGTTCTACACGCGATTCACACGATTACAGAGACAGAGAGTGTCGAGAACATAAGAAAGAGGAGCAGTATTTGGAGGAATCGCGCAGCTATGGAAGAGCCCACGGCAGAGAAGACAGTTCTCGTGCTGAAACTCGGACGGACTCAAGAAGTGAAACGAGAAATGAATCCAGAACATCTGGAAGAAGTAGAGGGAGAGGTCCTGAATTAACAGACAAGGGTATATAATACATGAAATAATCGGGAGTGTTACACTGTTCATTTACACAAATATCTGTTTAATCAATAGGGTAGAAATAAACTAATCTACAGCTAATTGTTTTTTATGACTTCACCAAATTTAGTCACCATTATCCATAATGCAACTGGATCCTGTGTGTATTTCTTAAAACTTATTAAATGATGTGGAATGGATGGCAGTAATTATCACATGGATTTCGCCTTTTAATAAGAAAGAAAATTGCCCTATTTATTTTAAAGGAAGATTAGTTAACTTTAGTCAGACACTGCTGTTGAGGAGATTATCTTCTTTAATTCACTGAAATGAAATGAATTGGCTCTTGAAATGGCAATTCAGGAGATTGAGTCAGTGCAGGCTTCTTTGCTGAAACAAAACTGTTGAAAATTAAAGATTAGCTTTTGCTTAAGGAAGAATTGTTTGACAGATGATTTTAAACCTTTCTGTTATGGTCAAACAAGGCTTCCCTTTTCATAGTACTGGTTTTTGTTTCGGCCTGTGATTTTTTTTTTTTTCTGCAGTATTAGTTTTCTGAATCTGAATTCTTTTTAATTCACCACAGAGTTTGATCTAGGCTCAGTTGAGGAGTTGCAAGCTCACAACTCTTAAGTTGCTTAGATTTCTGCATATGGATTTTTGCAGTTTGAAATTTATATTAATTGAAAAGGACGGGGCTTTTAAGCAAAACTTTCTTATTGTTAGGCCTTTTATGGCAAATGTATTCCACAAATTATCATCCTAGATCAGGAATTGCATTTTAACTTGCCTGAGGGTGTACTGGCAGTTCTCGTACATAAATTTACAAATCCTTTTATGAAGTAACAGTTCTTTTAATAAATCTGTAGTAGCTAATTCTGGCCGCAGAGGTTCTTCCATGTTTTCCTGTATCTGTTTTCAACAGGCAGTCGAGGAACAAGAGGCTCTCAAGTTGACAGCCATAATTCTAGCACTAGCTACCATGAGAGCTGGGAATCACGGAGCAATTACCCTGAAAGGGATCGCTATGAAAGCCGTGAACATGCAAGAGATTCTTCTTTTGAAAGAAGACATGGAGAAAGGGATAAGCGTGACAATAGAGAAAGAGGCAAGTACTCTTCAGGGTTGTTGTTGCTGTTTTACCATTAACCTATTGAGTCTTTCTAAAAGGACGTAATAGTAGAATAGCGTTAAAGGTGAATGTAGCTGTGAAAACTTAGGGCTCACACATGCCACTCTTTGCAGGATCGAGGTAGCAAAACCCAGAGTAGAACCGTGAGCAAAGAAGCAGACTGGGTCTGATAAAGCAACAAAGCTTTGTCCTTCTCTTGTCAGGAGAATGGGTAATAGGCTCTATTGTGGGATAAATAATACAGATAGTCCTCGACTTAAAACAGTTCATTTAGTGACCGTTCAGAGTTAGAACAGCACTGGAAAAAGTGACTTATGACCATTTCTCACACAACCGTTGCAGTATCCCCATGGTTGCACATGATCAGAATTCAGATGCTTGGCAACTGGTTCATACGTACGACGGTTGCCGTGTCCCGGGGTCATATGATCAGCTTTTGTGACCTTCTGACGAGCAAAGTCCACGGGGGATCCACGTTGCTAACTTAACAAGTACAACGATTCACTTAACAATTGTGGCAAAAGTCGTAAAATGGGGCAAACTCACTTAACAGATGTTTCACTTAGCAACATAAATTTGGGGCTCAATGGTGGTCATAACTCGAGGACTGCCTGTATTGCAATTAATGTGCCAGATTAGGATGGCACCGAAGTTCCATTTCAAATATTTCGTTGTCTAAAGTTCGTTCTCCAAAATGCACATGTGTCATTAGCTAAGAAGGTATACGGTTGTCCCTGCTTTTCTATTGATGAATATAGTTCTTATAAGTTAATGTTGTAGGGCTAATATTGGGGATGCTAGGCATTGAATTTAATAGCATCTGGAGGACTACAAGTTTACCATGTTGTATCCTGATTTTTTATTGGTCTTCACAAGTAGCTTATAGTAGTTTGCTACTAATTTAAAACTGTATAAAACAAAAGTAATCTAACCAGGTATGCCTCACAATTTCTTTGAGTGCATCTTTTATTTTGTCCCATGAGACCTTTAATATAGGACATTTAAAGGGGATTTCCCAAAGTGAGAGAGGATTTATTTGTATTTAATTACATTTATTTATTTTAAAAAATTACGTCAGATAGATTGTCAGAGAATAATATCGTAATGTTTTAGGAAAGGATAAAAAAAAAGATTAAACCATCATTTAATAGGTATGGCAGCTTTACCAATAATCTTTTCATTGTATTTTGATAGCAGACTATTTCATGATTTAGGCTTCGGATTAACAAAGTTAAAATTGTTTCAGTTATTCATGAATTATGATCTTTCACTGTCAGTGATCTTGGTTGCAGGAGACAACACTGACTTCATGAACTTTAATTACAAACACTACTAATTAGCCAGCTCATTTAGCACAGTATCGTTTACTGGGCAAATTTCCTAAAGAAATATCAGATGCAGGGTGTTTTTTGCTCTACACTGGGGTTGTCATTTCCCCCTCAACCTTCCATCTCTATAGATTTTTATCGTTATGGACACCCAGCCTAAATAACATCTGCAGAATTAATTATTTTGAAACTGTGGCACTGATTTAACATCAAAACATTAATGTACACAAATATTGGAAACTGAATTAGATGATTATAAATTGGAATTAAAACCTGTTTATCATTACAGATCAGAGGCAAAGCTCACCCATACGACACCAGGGAAGAAATGATGATATTGATCGTGATGAAAGATTAGAAGAACGAAGAGTAGAGAGGAATGAAGATAGGAGGGATGAAAGAACTAGGGAGCGAGAAAGGGAGAGGGAAAGAGAGAGAGAAACAGAACGTGATCGGGCCCGTGAGCGAGAACGTGAGAGAGAAAGAGATAAGGACAGAGAACGTGAACGGGATAGAGACCATGACAGAGAACGGGAGCGAGAACGGGAAAGGGAGCGAGAAAGAGAACGGGAAAGAGAAAGAGAACGAGAAAGGGAAAGAGAGCGTGGCCGGGAAAGAGATAAAGAAAGGGAACGACAGAGAGAGTGGGATGACAAAGAGAGAGGAAGAGAAGAACGCAGGGACAAGCGAGAAGATGTCCGTGAAGAAAGGCTCACAAGAGACAGTCGTGAAGAGAGAAAATCAAAGTGAGTATTTTTTAAAGAAAATAATTATGCAGCATGAGACAGTAAATGGAATGAATGAGCTGTAGACAACATTATCCAAACATTGATAGTTCATATGTCTTCCTGTAAAAGTTTTTTTTTTTTTTTTTTTTTTGAAAAGAGGATTTTTGACATTCAATTTAAATTTTAAAAGTTGGTGTGTAACAGTCCTGTTTGTATTTATGGTGAGAACGGATGATATTCCTTAGAACTTAAGTACCTGGAGTTTAATGACTTACGTTTCCTTTTTATCTAACGCAGAAAGCGTCACAGAAACGAAAGTAGCCCCAGCCCTCGGAAATCTCCTAAACGCCGCCGTGAACATTCACCTGATAGCGATGCCTACAATAGTGGAGAGGATCAGAGTGAGTGAAAGCATGTACTTAATAGCAGGAGTTAGCCACACAGTTCCTATGAACACAACACCCACTCTGTTCTAAGATAGTGCCTGCCAACCTTCAAAACTTGTGAGACTGCAGCCTTTTCAAATTTACAAGTTTTTTGAGATTTGGCAAGATTTTTCACCATTTATTTATTAATTTGTTGGTCCCTTATTTTGGTACCTAGAACATCATGTGACACCAGTGGCCATCTGCAGCTGAGGAAATTAAGCTAAACTGAGCAGTTGAACTCTTTATAAATAGAAGTATTTACAAGTAGTCCTCACCAATGGTAATTGGGACCATGAACTCCATCATTAAACAACATGGTTGCAAGGCACAATGTGACATGGCTGCTTTGACTTACAAAGGCAGTCCCAATTGCCATTGCCATTATTAGGTGAATTCTACGTGTTCACCATCCCAAAGTCAGATGATCACCATTTTCAGTCTCCTGCATGCTTCCCCATTGACTTTGCTTCTCCAAAGTTGGCAATGAACATTGCAAATGGAGATCACATGACCACATCCTAATTGTGAGCTGCTTGCCGAGTGCCTAGATTACAATGACATGTTTGTGGGGATGCTGTGGTGGCTCCAACTATGGCCTACCTCCTTCTTTCTACTTCTCACAATCTTAATGTTTAGTTCATTCATATAATGTTGTAGAACTTGATTTCATTTCTTCTTTGTCTTTTCTCAAAACAGTTTCAAAACTTTAACAAATTTCTTTCGTAAATCCAATGTAAATAATAATAATAGTAATAATAATAATAATCCAAGTCACTCTTGCTTTATTGTTTGTCTGTCCCTTTTAATTACATTGTGGAATAGAGTAATTTTTTGATATTGCCATTGTTAAGAAGGCCAAAGTTCATTCTATGAATCAGTAGTGTTTAACAATCTGACTTTAGAACCGATTTTTTAAAATTCATTTGGCTTTGGAGAGGAGGGATGTATTTTTAGGAGGAGGAGAAGAATGTGTATACGTGCTGATGATTTTCCTACAATTAACTTTCATGTCAAGCCTCCAGTCATACATAATAATGTCCTCTTCTCACAACAAAAAGTTCAGCCGGAATATTTTCTTGTTTGCTGTAAGTTAAAGAATATTCCTAGATATAAGGCTTTGTTCCAAAATGGTGTGCCGTGACGCATTTTCTTTTTTGTAGATGAAAAACGGCGTTTATTGAGTCAGGTTGTGCGTCCTCAAGAATCACGCTCACTTAGTCCTTCACACCTTTCGGAAGAGAAGCAGAGCCGGTGGAAAGAGAGTGACAGAAAGCCAGAGCGAAAGGAAAGTTTGAGACATTATGAAGAAACCGAATACAAAGAACGGGTTACGTCTGGGGACAAACAGCGAGAGCAGCGAGAGGCAAATGAGAGTTCAAGGAGCCGAATCCAAGATAACGTCAGTAAACGGGATTCTGAAGAGCACGAGGCGGTAGACCGCCTGCACGAGGAGAAGAAGAAAGCTAAAATACAGAAAAAAACAGCAAAGAAGAAGAAAGAGGACGACGGTGGGTTAGAGCGCTATATCAGTGAACCCCCGGCAGAGAAAACTCAAGTGTTTTCTCCCAAGAAAGGTCAGAAAAAGAAAAACGGTGAAAAGAAGCGCAAGAGATCCAAGGGAGATTCTGAGGCTTCTGAGGAAGACAGTGGCCCCCATCAGAAGAAGAAGAAAGGTCCCAGGACACCACCCGTAACCGCGAAAGAAGAAGTGGTGGAAGCAGCGCCCGAGAAATCCGCAGTAGCGGAAGTGGTTCCCAAGAGGGAGGACACGACGTTTAGTGACTGGTCAGACGAAGACGTTCCAGAGCGTGGGGAAACGGTTCTAGAAAGGACTTCTGAGGAGCCCCATAGAACCAGCCACCGCACGCGAGGCGAAACCATGGAGGTGGTTTCTCGCGGGGTTGAAGAAACCTCTCACCTCCGCCCTGCGGAGCAGAAGCGTAGCAGCAGCCCGGGTAGCAACAGGAGCCGTACTTCAAGTAGACCCCGATCGCCCTCTAACGATTCTGCCCATCGCAGCGGAGATGACCAGGCTGCGGTTAAGAAGATCTTGCACAGCAGTTCCAGCGACAGAGACAGGAGATGCCTTGAAATCGCCGGAGAGCGGAAGTCCAGAATCGATCAGCTGAAGCGAGGGGTTGCCAGCCGTAGCACCTCTTCCGGTAATTGCAGTTGTGTTGCTTTGTTTGCTCCTGGGCTTTTCTGAGACTCAGTCCTTGGGAGGCCCACAATTTGAGGTGGGGGTAGGACAGAGATTCGAGGAGCTACTGTGAGGAGGGATTTGCCTGTGTTGCCGGTGTACAATGGCTAACCTTATAAAATTGCTTTAAAGGGCTTAGTAATAACTTGTTCAGGGATAATGTCGTTCAAGCAGAGCTTGGCAACCTTCGGCCTGCTTTCTGCATATCCTACAGTTAGCCTGTTTAGAAGTTCATTTTCTACTGGTAGCAGTTTGCAAAAAAAAAAAAAACAAAGCTAATTAGTAGTCCTAATGCGTCTATTTTAAGTGAGGGAATTGGAAAAGAAAGCAAAAGTTATTTTCTCCAATACGCTTTAGTTCCTTGGCTCCTTGGCAAGGGTCATTGGGCTCTTAAAAAGCTATACTTGGGATCACTTGAGACTTCCTAAATTTTAGTTTGGGGATGAGTATGACTCAGATGAGAGAGGAAACGTGAAAGCATTTGTGGAATGGATGCACGAGGAAGGTGAAACAGGAAGAGCTAGACATTGATACTGTTGGCTTCAGCTTTTTCTACCAATAGTATCATCCCTGGCAGATTTCCTGCAAGGTAGGAGTTATAAGGAAAACAGGAGAAGGCAAAGGCATTTGTTTTAAGGTTTGCAAGTTTATTAATCCAAGGTTATGCCATCTGGTGTAGTGTCTGGATTTGTCGTCTTTCTAAACCTTGCTTTGAATTTTTTTCCAAACGAAAGTCTGATCGTCTGTTTTGATGGAATGGATTGTGTATTCTAGACCGGCAAGATTCAAGGAGTCACAGTTCAAGGCGAAGTTCTCCTGAATCTGATCGCCAAGGCCATTCCAGATCTGGGTCTTTTGACAGCAGAGAGAGAGTGCAAGACAGAGACCGACATGAGCATGACCGTGAACGGGAAAGAGAGAGGCGGGACGGGAGGCAGAGAGAGTGGGACCGAGATGCAGCTAAATCTGATTGGCTGAGAAGCAGAGAGCGGGATAGGATTCGGGAACGAGACAGACAACGAGAAAAACGAAGAGATCTGGACCGTGAAAAAGAACGCCCGCTCTCTGAAAATCTGGAAAGAGATAGAGGTGTCAGTGCTGCCGCTCAAGCAGAAATATCCAAGCACAGTGAGACAAAGCCAAGTAAAGATCATCAGGCTTTTGAGGCCATCTCTCTGGACTCTTCTTCCCAGGAGAAGGAACGGCAGGATAAAGACCTAGGTTCTTTGCAAGGATTTGAAGATGGAATCGAAGCAGAGAAAGTGGAAACCACAGAAGGTAAGTCATTCTGAGAATACAATGCTGGCAGTTTTCCTGTTTTTAAACAAACCTAAGCAGTTTCATTTAATAAATCTTCTCATTTGAATGTTGTGAATTTCAGGTTACCTCATATAGTTTTTGAGCAACCTAGTTACTGGTAGACTCCAGACGAAGCAGGTTCTTTAGGAGATTGTACAGAGTAGTTTACTTTCACAACTTTTCCCAATACGAATTGTATTTTTGCTCTTGGTGAAAACTCTGAGGATGGTGGAAGAGAGACAAGAAGAAAAGAGACAGAATCAGGCCATACACATACCTGCCTCCCATCCACCCTTCTCCAGATAATTGCAGTTTTGATGGGATTATATACTGCGTAGAAAGGAAATGAATAAAAGGGATTAAACATGGGAGTGCAATTTCTCTGATCTGGCTCCAGACACGAAGAGTAGGCGAAGCTAATTAGGCCTTCTGCATCATCTCAATTCGGCACGCCATTCCTGTTGGATCTGTGGAGTTTGACAGAATAAGTGCATGTTGCAACATTTCTTTCTTTCTGTAGGTGGAGATGATGAAACAAAAATAGATGATATGCAGTCAATGGAATCCGGTGCTGGAGAATATGAGCCAATCAGTGATGATGAATTGGATGAAATTTTGGCAGGTGATGCTGAAAAAAGGGACGATCAGCAAGATGAGGAGAAGATGCCAGGTAAGCTCAGCAAAATCGTTTACATCAGTGGCCTAGGCACTAGAAAGTCAAATTATTACTCCAAAAGTACTATTTCTGACTTAAGAGCCTGAAGCCTGCACGACTTAACGCATAAAAGGAAGCGAATGGCCTTGGTTTGATAAAGTTATGCTGTTCCAGTTCAGCCGGTTATGAGAAAAAGGGGCATGGAAAACTATGGCACGGTTTAAGTAATATTAGTACCATAGCCAAGTAAATAAGAGGCAGGCCAAATGTGGTGCACAGTTGTCCAGATTCTCTGATCAGTTTTGTTTGGATTAGGCTATGATACATGAATCCATGCATCTTGTATTTTTATTTTTTATTTTTTTTAAAAAAAGGTTTTATTGAGTTTTAGAGGGTTAGGGATAAAATAGGGTCGGGATAGGGATTGAGGTTTAGGGTGGGGTTGGGATCAGGATTGTAGGATCAGGACAGGATTGGGATCAACATTGAGGTTATCCCCCAGTAACATTTTCAATATTTAGCAAACAGACTATTGTCCGGGTACATATATTCAGCTAACAATAGTTGAAATAATAATAGATAGATGAACATTTTTAAAACAGAGACAGGCCTGGCCCAGGGGTTCAGTCCCTGGGGGGGGGGAGGGATCCTCCTTGAGAAGTGACAGGGTCTTTTCTTAACTGAAGAAGGCTGACTGTTGGTGGGCTAAGGAGCAGCTCTCATTTCTTCCATAAGGTTGCTTTCCTTTTGCCTCTGCAATGGTTGGGAACAGGTCGGCGTCTACTTTCTTTCCTGGATCTACCCCAGGAAGCAAGTGTGAAAGAACAGAACAAAAATGGTCGTACCCTAAACAGGGAAAAGCAAGTTTCCTGCAAGTGTCCTAAGCCAATTCAAAGTGGGTCTCATCCCGCTTTGTTTTTCTCTTTGAGCAGCAGGATAGCGATTGCCTCAAGAGTGAGATTTGCAACTGATCTTCCCCGCTCGCAGCCAGGAAACAGTTGCAACAATCTCTGTGCCAGCCTAATGGGTACTTTGGTATCTTTAAAGATACGTCATTTATGAGTAAACCTTGGCGTTTGTCTTATTCTACAGTTTCTGCCTCCTCTTAGCTTTTACTCGTTTGCTTTAGTTATTGTACGCTCAGGTTTTCTGGCCGTTTATTTAGAAAAGGACTGACACGATCAACGAAAATCTCTTCAGATTTTATTTATGTATTTTTTTGTATGCGTTTGCAGATCCGGTGGATGTCATCGATGTAGATTGGTCTAGCCTGATGCCAAAGCAACCAAAAGAGCCCCGAGAACCGGGAGCTGCTCTTTTAAAATTTACCCCAGCTGCTGTTATGTTAAGAGTTGGCATTTCCAAGCAGCTGGCTGGCCCCCAGCTCTTCACAAAGATAAAAGAAACGTGCCAGAGATCTTTGGAGAAACCTAAAGGTAATTTATTCCCAGCAGATCACGGAGAGAGGTTAGAGAAACCTTGAAAGTTTGTATTAATTTTTCTGTTTTTGAGCCCTCTTCGTCACTCTGAAAAGACTGCTACTGATTGTGCAAGGTCCGTTTATAAATCAGAGCAACTTGGTTCACCGGGATGTTGCATACTGTCGTTCTGTTGTTGTTCTGTTGAAGCAGTTTTTTGCTCTGCGTGTATTAAATCTCCCTTTTTCCAGAGGCAATCGGGTAGTCTGTTCCTCTTCCTGGCCACAAAGAAGGGAGGTGCTTTGAGGGCAGTGGAGGTTGGGCTAGATCAGGGGTAGGCAACCTTGGCTCTTTTATGACTTGTGGATTTCAGTTCCCAGAATTCCTGAGCCAGCCATGCTGAGGAGAAAGGGAGAGGTTTCCATGCTGAGCCATGCTGGCTCAGGAATTCTGGGAGTTGAAGTCCACGAGTCATAAAAGAGCCAAGGTTGCCTACCCCTGGGCCAGACTCAGGGAACTAACTGGCTATTGGGAGAGGAAGCAGTGACTTCACATTACTCTCTAAGACAGTGGTTCTCAACCTTTTTAATGCCGCGACTCCCCAACTGGTCGTAAGTCGAGGACTACTCAACCGGTCATAAGTCGAGGACTACTCAACTGGTGGAGCACCGTTTGCAGAATGGGACTTTTGGCAGGCTCAGCAGGGCAGAGACAGCCTGGACAATTCCTATTGGCTTTTGAAAGCCAATAGAATTAGACTCTATTCAAGAGAGTCTATTCGATTGGCTTTCAAAAGCCAATAGAATAAAAGGGAGTAGCACAGCTAAGGAAAAGGGGGGGGAGGAATGGCAGACTGCGTTGTTTGGCGACCCCCGTGAAATGGTCGTTTGACCCCCAAATGAGGTCCCGACCCACAGGTTGAGAACCACTGCTCTCAAAGATGGACGACGTCTTTGCTGACACTGGAAATCTGAACCCACATTTTAGAAGACTCTAGTTCTCATTGTCACACTGCCTCTTTGTAGATGCCGAGAGCCTTTTTGAACATGACTTTGGGGCTCTGAATATGGCTGCTCTGCTGCGGAAAGAAGAGAGAGCTGGACTGCTGGGCAACCTGGGCCCTTGTTGCAAAGCTCTTTGCTTTAGGAGGGATTCTGCGATCCGCAAGCAGCTGGTGAAAAACGAAAAGGCGAGTACCTTAGTTAACCCCTTGATGCAGAGCCCCTTGAGTCATCCAGTGACACAGCAAAGATATTTTGCTCATTTATTTTTAAAGCCTTTTCCCCCCTCATCTTTGTGAAAGCAACAGGAAATTAATGAAAGTCCTAAAAATGGGATTGTTCCACTGAAATAATATACAGAGTCTTTCTGGGAAATCCATGGTATTTAGAAATGCTTTTTAAAAAAAAAACTCTAGCAAGCATAATCTGCAAAATGTATGTATTTATATATCCACTTATTTATTTGTTTTCATGTGTCATATGTATATGGCTGTCCATCTCCCACAAGCACGACTGTGTTCTCCTAGAATCCCCAGGTGCTCAGGACTGTGAAGCAGGACTGGAAATATGTGGCCCCTCAAGCTAATGATGGAGCCCTCAAAAACCCCTGCCATATTTTTGGGTGAAAATTAGCAGTTCTGCTATATTGACTGCTAGCTGCATGATACTGAACTATAATAATCCTGCCAGTGTAGTTAAAGCTGCCTAGAATCACCTTGTAGGGGAGATGGACAGCATAAAAATCTAAATAACAGCAACAACAACTATAAAAAAAAAATTAAGCTCAGTGATATATGTGAACGCAGCCCAAATGTTATTTCTCCCAACAGCGACCCAAAAAGTTAGGTTGGACTGAGAGAAAATAGCTGTCTTTAAATTGTTCAACATTTTCATTGGTCAAATGAGGATGTGCTGTTTAATCTCCAGTTTAGTAGTACTCAGTAAAAAAAAAAATTACTAGGAAGCTTTTTCTGGAGTTGTTTTTTTTTTTTAAATGGATTTACATTTAATCTTGTGAAAAAGGTACCTGATTCTTTTTTTTTTTTTTTTTTTATTAAAAGTTTTATAAATTTTACAAAAAAAACAAGAACAATACAGAACAAAAAACAACATATACAAAAGAAAAAAAAAATTAAACAATACATATAAAAAAAAAAAAACCCCACCCCACACCCCTCCCAAAAACCCTCCCTTCCCCCCCCCTGAGCTTCCCAGAGCAGAATATAGGCTTAAGAAATAATAAAAAAAAAAATAAAAATTAAATTAAAAACTTTATATTTATATATATAAAAAAGATATCTATAATATATATAAAAATAAAACTTATGAAAAAGCTATATGATATTTTTGTATACCCAATCTAAATTGTATAAATTTTATCCATTTGTCCCAGATAGCAAAAAACTTCTCTTGCGTTTGTTGCTTTAAGAAAGCCGAAATCTTTGCCATTTCCGCCAGATAAGCTACTTTAAAAAACCATTCCTGCAATGTAGGCAAAGATTCCTTCTTCCAATATTGTCCAACTAACAGCCTCGCGGCTGTGATCAAGTTTAACATCAATACAACCTCCTTTGTATCACAATCTGTAACAATACCTAACAAAAATAATTGCGGAGTAAATTTTACCCTCCTTCTAAAAATTCTCTGGATATTCCACCATATTTTGATCCAAAATGCTTTTATCTCTCTGCATGACCACCAAATATGATAATAGGAAGCCTCCTTATAACCACATCTCCAGCATTTAGGTTGCACGTCAGGGTACATGTAAGACATTTTTTGTGGATCAAGGTGCCATCTATAAAACATTTTATAAAAATTCTCCCTTAAATTCTGTGCTTGAGTAAATTTGACATTTCTCACCCAAATAGTTTCCCAGGTGTCCAATGAAACTGGCTCACCAAAGTTCTGCGCCCATCTAATCATACAATCTTTAATTAGTTCCGTTTCTGAGTCCAATTCAACTAAAACCCCATAAATTCTCTTAATGTGGGTTTGTCTTTGATCCTTCAGTTGCTTAATAAGATTTTCATCTTCTCTAAGAAAACCCACCTTACAATCCATCTTCCATCTATCTAGTAGTTGCCTATATTGGAACCAAGAATAAGTAAAATTTTCTTGTGCTAATTCTTCCCGTGATTTTAATTGCCAGTTTTGTCCATCCCATTTAAGTAACTGTCTATAAGACACCATATCCATTTTAACCCCTCTTTTTATTCCTTCTATCGCATGCCAAGGTATAGCCCATAATGGTACTTTAAAATCACTTTTATAATATTTTCTCCAAATCCTAAGTAAAGAAATTCTTAAAATATGAGATTTAAAAGCCCAATCTATTTTTTTATTAAATATTAAATAGGCATGCCACCCATAAAGTAAATCCCATCCCTCTAGATAAAGTATCTCAGAATTTGTCAAATTTACCCAGTCACTAATTAATGTTAAAACCACCGCATCATAATATAATTTCAAATTTGGTACCTTGAGTCCACCCCTCTCACGGAAGTCTTGCATAATTTTGAACTTAACCCTTGGTTTTTTCCCTGCCCAAATAAATTTATTGAGACCCTTCTGCCACTCATTTAAATTAATCTCATTTTTCAAAATTGGTAACATTTGAAACAAAAAAAGAAACTTGGGTAGAATATTCATTTTTATCACTGCAATTCTTCCCATGAGGGATAATTGCAGCTTTTCCCAGTTCTTCAAGTCTTTCTGTACCCCGACCCACAACCTTTCATAATTATTTTTAAATAATTTTGCATTAGAAACAGACAGCATCACCCCCAAATATTTTACCTTATTAACAATCTCAAAACCCGTCGAGTTAACCAAAATCTGCTTCTCCTGACTCGACATATTTTTAGGTAAAATTTTAGTCTTATTTACATTAATCTTAAAACCCGAGACCAAACCATAATGGTGAATCAACTGTAATAAGTTTACTACAGAATAATCAGGTTGCGACAAAGTAACAACCAAGTCATCCGCAAAAGCTCTCAACTTATATTCTTTTTTATTAACATATATTCCTTTAATTTCCTGAGACTCTCGAATTTTAATCAATAATATTTCCAATGTTAAAACAAACAACAATGGCGATAAAGGACACCCCTGTCTAGTACCTTTCTCTATTGTGAAAACCTCCGACAAACCTCCATTAACAATAAGTTGTGCTGTTTGTTTTTGATATATTACCTTAAGGGCTTGTAATATGTTTTCACCAAAATTCATTTCTTCCATTACTCTTAGCATAAAATGCCAATTCAGTTGGTCAAATGCTTTTTCAGCATCTAAAAATATGAGCCCTGCAGGAACTTGGTTGTTCTTATCTAAGTATTCTAATAAATTAATAATTTGTCTAACATTGTTTTTCATATACCTTCCTGTTATAAACCCTGATTGATCTTTATGCACAAGATGATGCACCACCCTCATAAGCCTATTTACCAAAATTTTTACAAATATCTTATAATCCACGTTTAAAAGAGATATAGGCCTATAATTTTTTGGTAAAGTAAGATCTTGATCCTCCTTTGGAATCAATGATATAAAAGCACTACGCCATAAAGGAGGAATCTCTAAACCCTGTAAGATACCATTAAAAAGATCATTTAATGGTTGAATCATCTCCTCCATTAAGGCTTTATAATAAACAGCTGTTAACCCATCCGTACCCGGTGCTTTCCCTAATTTCAATTGTTGAATTGCTGAGGCAATTTCCTCCTTAGTAATTAAACCATTAATTTCATATTTCTGATCCTCAGTCAGTTTAGGAAAACTTGCCTCAGCTAAATATTTATTTATATCTAACAGTTGTACATTAGTAGATTTGTATAGGTTTTGATAATAATCCAAAAAAGATTTTTTAATTAATTCCTTCTGAGAAACTAGTTTACCCTTATAATTTATTTTCTCTATTATTCTCTGTCTCTGTTTCTTTCTTAATTGATAAGCCAACCATCTCCCCGGCTTATTAGCATTACAAAATGTATTTTGTTTCATAAATAATAAATTGGTTGCAGCTTGATCTGCTATCAACATATTAAATTGTGACCTTAATAACTTTACAGATTCTTTAGTACTTTCATCAGAAGGATTTAAAATCAAAGCCCTTTCTTTTAGTTTAATTTCATCTTCAAGTTCTCTACGTTTCTGAATCTGATTTCGCTTATAAAAATTATTCATTTTTATCAAAACACCGCGCATAAATGCTTTACCTGCATCCCATACCATTGACATTGAAGTCCCCTTGTACATATTCAAAGCAAAATAGTCCTTTAAACACTCCTTTAGTTTTTGAACATTCTTCTCTTGTCTAAACAAATTTTCATTAACTCTCCAGGATCTTCTTTCCTCTTTCTCTTGAATCAACTCCATCCAAACTGGACTATGATCCGTCAGTGATCTAGGAAAAATCTTTACATTCTTTACTTTATTATACAAATCCGTGGTAATCAAGAAAAAGTCAATTCTTGAAAAAGATTGGTGTCTGTCAGAAAAAAAAGTAAAGTCTCTCTCCTCTTGATTACGTTCCCGCCAATAGTCCCTTAATTCCCAGTCTTCTTTCATATCAAAAAAGGCTTTAGGTAGCCTTGCTTGTTTAAGAAAAGGAGAGGAACCTTTCTTATCCCTTTGTGTGTCTAAGACACCATTCCAATCACCCATTAATACCACTGATCTATAATCAAGCAAAGTTATTTTTTGGTGTAACTGTTTATAAAATTGTTCCTGTTGTTGATTTGGAGCATAAAGTCCAACTATAAGTACTTTCTTACCATAAATACCAAGTTCAATCATCACATATCTCCCCTGGGGATCTGATTCTACCAGACAAGCTGGCAGGTTTTGTTTGACATATATAACAACTCCCCCTTTCTTCCCAGGTGCAGGAGATATAAAATGAGATCCCAAACGAGCATTAACTAAATATTTCTGATCTTTAAGTAGAATATGAGTTTCCTGTAAACAAATAACATCATTGGTATGTTGCTTCAAATAATAAAAGATTTTTTTCCGTTTCTGAGGAGAATTCAATCCATTAACATTCCAGGTCAAAAACTTTGCCATCTCCCTTGGCACGCAGCCTGGAGAAGACACCATCAAACTCTGACAGAGCTGCGTGTGTTGCATAACTCTTGGGTCTTGCTCCTCCCACCGGCGGTGATGCACTTCCAGGAGAATTCTCTTTGGGCTCTTTTTTACGTTGCTCTTTCTCTTTACGCTTATAAGCTGCACGAGTCATCCTCTGCTCTTTAGCCTCCGTTTGGCGTTGCTTTGCCACTTCTATCATCCCTGCGGAAACCAAATCTAGTGCCTCAGATTGCTGCTCAGGTTCCTTAGCACTCAAAGATTTCCGACCAGATGAAGTTGAGCCTGCACTCAGGACCGAAGTGTAGAAATCTCTAGCTTTGTCAACTGTGTTCAATCTATAACGTGTCCCAGCATGGCTCAAAACGATACCCATCGGAATTTCCCATCTGAATGGCATCGATCTAGCTTTAAGCTCATTGGTTAAAAAAGCAAAGTCTTTCCTATTTCTTAAGATTTTAGATGGGATTTCCTTTAGAATGATGACATCTTGGGCGGCAATCTGAAATCTTTTGTTGTAAAAAGCTTGTATAATCTCATTCCGCAGGGACTTCTTTGTAAAGTAAATCACCACATCTCTGGGCAAATTCTTCTGCTTAGCAATCCAGGAGTTGAGTCTATAAATTTTTTCTACTTCTCTCTGTAATTCTCCTTTATCCATATCCAAAGCCAGCGCCAGATCACTAAGAACCACCTCCATCAAATCTTGATTCATATCTTCCTTGAGGCCTCTAATCCTCAGAGCATACTCCATCTGTCTGTACTGAAACATCAAAATATCTTCTTGTGAGGAGTCCACCTTCCTTTCCACGTCTTGAATTTTGTCATCTAAAGAGTCAACTTTGTCTTCCACTTCCTCAAGCCTTGCATCGAGCTTAACCACCACAGTAGCCAAACCTGAAACAGCTGCCAGTATATCTTGTCGTAATTCATTATTATTTTCTTGCAATTTAGACTTTATCCCCGTTATCTCTTCTTTGAGATCAGATTTAATTTCTGATTTAATCTGTGATACAAATTGAGTCATTTCCTCTCTCATTTGAACTACAATCTCTCCCATTATGCCTCTAACCTCTTGCACTGAAAGTCCAGGTAGAGGAGGGGAGGGTGGTGGCTGAGCCGGTGGTGCATGTTTAGATTGTTGTTGTAGCTGTGCAGTGGAAGTTATAGGAGAAGAAATAACCTTGGGTATTGAGGAAGGCTGCTGCCTCTTTGAAGCCATTTTAAAAAGCACAATTGTCACTTCCCTTTCCCCTCCAGCCAAAAAGGGAGGAGGAAAAAAAGAAAAAAAGAATTTTTAAAAAGAGACAAACTATAATCATTAAAAGTCCAGAATAAATCCCAAGAATAAGTAGTAAAAGAGCAAACAATTCAAAAGAAAAAATTCTAAGCCAAAAGCAAAAGCAAAAGCAAAAAACAATCCTTAAAAAGGGAAAGTAAAACAAAAGAGAAAGGAAAAAAAAACTCCGACACTTTCAAAACGCCATCTTAAGTCCTTTCACTAGTATAACAAAGAAAAGGAGGAAAAATAGTAAAAATCAAAAGATAAAAAAAATAAACACCTAAAATATAACAAAAAATCCTTTAAACTGCTCCGTCCGTTTAAAAATTACTCACCAAAATGCTGTAAACACGGAGATAGAAGCGGCGGTTTCTTTTGCTTCCAAGGAAGCAAAAACAGCTGGGAGGCGGAGATCAGCAAGAGCTCCGAGGGAACACTCCTTTCACCCCCTCTAGAAATAAATCCAGAGGGGGTTCAGGGGTTCTACCTCTACTCTTGCGTTCTCTATCCCTTCCCTTTGCCCGGGAAGGGATTTCCGAGCCGCGGGCCAGCTGATGCGCGCTGCGCTCCGCGGCTCTGACACTTCCCCAGCTGGACGGCTAAAAGCTAGCCGCCATCGCCGTCGCCTCCCACCGGAAGCTCGGTACCTGATTCTTAATATTTGGAGTTTCCCGCTTTGTCTTCTTCTTCGGCTTAACTGTCTGCAGAAAGCTTATGATTCTTTTAGACATCTTCCATCTAGAACTTTTGGTGCTGTGCCTCCAATAATCTGAATGGTGAATGTATTTTTACAGGAAATAATATATGCTGCTCCCGGAATGTTAGTAATCATATACACCTATCATGCTAATATATGATATTACCTATTAGCTGATTGCTAATATACAGTCATATTCTGTCCAACAGGGCACCATAAAACAAACCTACACAAATCCTCCAGTGGTGGACAATGAGTTGCTACGACTGAGCCTACGATTGTTTAGACGCAAGACTGTGCAGCAAGGGTCTGGACCAGATAAAACAGAGGACACTAAACTTTCACAACCATATGTTCCAGAAATGTGTCTGTCCTGAGCCAGAGTCTCCTGGCCCTATGGTTGTGTTGTTTCACTGTTTGATAATATTGATGTTTTCATTCTTATTTCCTTTCAGTGTGATGTCGCCACAAGAACGAAAATACTCTAAAAGAGTACTTGTGTGGATTCTGAGAACGACAAGGAAAAGTGTTTAGTACAAAAAACAAAGACCACTTTATCTGGTTTTGCTGCATGTTTCACAAAATTGCGTTCTAACCATGGGTTTTATTTAAAAAAGTTTAAGTATGTAAAAATGTCCATTTTGGGATATCTGTTTTATCACCTATTAAATTTTTAAAAAGAAAACAGTTCTGATTTTTTTTTCCAATTCCTTTTTTCTCCTTTCCGTAACATTCTCTCTGTAAGATTACTATTCAGTAAGATCAGTAAGCTGGTAATCATTACCATCCGAAAAGAATCACGACAAATGCAATGCATGTTATCTACATAAAGTTGATTATTTTTAGTTACAAAGATGAGTTAAATCCAGAGGCATGCTCAATGGAATTCCTCAAATGCTACAGGAAAGAGTATTATTTTTCCCAATTCTTATTATTTTTCCCAGGTCAGGTCTTCATTAGATCCCAGAAGGGTTACATCTGAAACTGACCCTCGGTGTTTAGTTTGTGGTTAACATGCTTATTTGAAAAAAGATTCCATTGGTAATATATCTAGACATTCTCACCAAAGGTTCTTGAAGTGTACCATTTTGTAATCTAAAAGTGCAGGTGCTAATATTGTTGTATATATTCTTGTTTATTTGAGCATGCTGACTTTGTTATTTAGCTGCTTGTTTTTACCTGACTGCAATCGCCTCTGCAACCAAGGATGCTTTCTATGATCAGCCAGTAAGAGGCACTTGCGTTCCAAAAGACATAGATCAGTTGGCAAGTTTAGTTTTGGGTGAGATGTTTCTTCAGTGTGCATTTCAATTTGGCTTCACCCAAGACTAGGGGTAGGCAACCCAAAACACTCAAAGAGCCACTTGGACACGTTTCCCACCAAAAACAAAACACTGGGAGCTGCAAAACCCTTTTGATATCTAAAATGAAGATAACACTGCATATATCCTTTTTTTACCTTTAATGTGTGTGTGTGTGTGTGTGTGCTTGTGGGTGTATATATAAAATAAAGGTAAAAAAGGATATATGTAGTGTTATCTTCATTTTAGATGTGAAAACGGTCTCTCTCTGTCACTTTCCTCTCTCTTTTCTCTTTCCTCTTTCTCTCTTTCCTCTAACTTTCTCTCTCTTTCTCTGTCTCTCTTTCCTCTTTCTCTCTCTTTCTCTCCTCTTTCCTATTTCTCTTCTCTTTCTCCTTTCTCAATCTTTTTTCTCTTTCTTCTTTTTCTCTTTCCTCTCCCCCTTTCTCTCTTTCTTTTTTCTCTCTTTCCCTCTTTCTCTCTCTCTTTCCTCTCTCTCTTCTCTTTTTCTCTTTCTCTGTCCTCTTTCTCTTTCCTCTTTCTCTTATTTCTCTTTCTTTCTTTCCTCTAATTTTCTCTTTCCTCTCTCTTTCCTCTCTCCTTTCTCAATCTTTTTTCTCTTTCTTCTTTTTCTCTTTCCTCTCCCCCTTTCTTTCTCTTTCCTCTTCCTCTTTCTCTCCCTCTTTCCTCTTTTTCTCTTTCCTCTCCCCCTCTCTCTTTCCTCTCTCTCTCTCTTTTTCTCTTCTCTCTTTCTCTTTTTCCCCTCTTTCTCTTTCTTCTTTCTTTCCTCTAACTTTCTGTCTCCTCTTTCTCTTCTCTTTCCTCTCTCTCTTCTCTTCCTTTCCTCTCTCTTTCTCTCTCTCTCCCCCTCCCTCCAGATGAAGAGAGAGAGAGAGAGAGCGAAAGGCAGACGGCGTCAAATGGACGGGGAGGGGGAGCAGGATGGGCAGCAGCAGCTCCCAGCCGCCCCCCCGCCGCATTCTCAGCTGAACAGACGGGGAGGGGGAGCAGGACAGGAGGCAGCGGTTCCCAGCCACCACCCCCACCGCGTCCACAGCCGAATGGGTGGGGAGGGAGAGGACGGGAGGCAGCAGCTCTGGTGGCGGTGGCGGAAGTTCCGGCAGCTGCCACTGCAGCAAGGTTGGGGTCCCTGCCGCCCCCTGCCCGGTCCCCGGCCCACCGCATCCTCAGCCACTTCGCCATTGCAAGAGGAGGTTGCCAAGGCGGGTGCACCATGGGCGGCCGTGCTGGCAACGGGGAGTGCCGCCACGGGGACAAAAGGGGGTCCCGATTGCCGCTGGCCTCACAGCCCAAGGTCTCCTCCTGCAGCGAGGGCGGCAATGGCGGCGGCTCCCCGAAAGCGGCCGAGGAAGGCACCACGAATGGGGCCGGGTGGTAGAGAGCCCTGCGGCAGCCAGGCAAGCTTCATGCCTACCTGCCGCCCTGCCTGGCCTGGGGAGATATGTGGCCGGCTCGGCTTTCCAGGGAGCGCTGCGGCCGCCGGCCCAGCCATGACTGCCACCCGGCCTGGCCTGGGGAGACATGCAGCTGGCTCAGCTTCCCGGGAGCAATGCCTGTGCCGGCTGCTGCCCCAGAGATGACTGCCGCCTGGCCCGGGGAAACACATGGCCGGTTCAGCGGCCTGTGAAGCGATGCCTCCGCTGCCCCAGCCAACATTGCCGCCCGGCCCGGGGAAACACATGGGCAGCTCGGCGGCCCGCAAAGCGATGCCTCCGCCACCCCAGCCAACAGTGCTGCCCGGCCCGGGGAAACACATGGGCGGCTCGGCAGCCCGCAAAGCGATGCCTCCACCGCCCCAGCCAACATTGCCACCCGGCCCAGGGAAACACGTGGCTGGCTCGGTGGCCCAGGAAGCAATATCCCCGCCAGCCCCCAACACTGCCGCCCGGCCCAGGAAATACATGGCTGGCTCGGGGATGGCCCAGGAAGTGATGCCCCCACCGGGACTGCCACCTGGTACAAGTAAGCCGGGGGGGGTACACCACCTGCCCCTTGGCCGCTTCGCAGCAGCGCTCTGTGGACTCGGAGCTCCCTCCCTCCCCCCCCCGCCACTGACTGTCCATATCCAGCTCTGCTGCTTGGCCAATGGTCGCACTGGCTGGGCATCGCAGGGGCTGCTCTTCCTTGGGGCTGCGGCTTGCAGGAGGGCTGGCCCACTCAGCGGAGGCTCTGGCAGGCCACTCCCAGCGGGGATCCCAGAGCTTCCTCGTGTGGCTCCCCAGCCACATGAGCCTTGGACGGGGCCAGCCCTGGAAAGGGACTTCCTGGCCACCCTTCTCCCAGGGGGCGGGGCACCCGGGTGCAGGGCCAATCAGGAGCCCGGCGAGGGGGCAAGTCCGCATGAGAGAGAGAGACAGGGGAAGCACAAGTGCCTGTCTGTCTCTCTGTAAATGGCAGAGGAGGCTCGGAGCCGCAGGAGATGGCTCAAAGAGCTGCATGCGGCTCCGGAGTCACAGGTTGCTGACCCGTGCCCAGGACCATCCACAGATGGTCTTCAGCCTGTGACCAGAACGTCAGAGTGTGAACCATTCTGAAAATGAGGTGATTCTGTTTGCTTGTTTTATTTCTGCCTCTTCCTTTGTTTTCTTTCTCTTAAATATTCCACTCCGTTACTGGTCCTTTCAGTTTATCTGTGTTCTGTGCCGTTGGATAACTTGGGGAATATTTTCCCCCTTGAGTCTTTTTCTTTAAGATTTGTTCTACCATCTGCAGTGTTAGATTATAATTATCTCTTGCTCATAGGTGGTGTAATTTAGGCTGTTCTTTAACGAACATAGGAGGCTTGTATTGTAAAGAAGATGGATGATGTAAATATTCTCATTGTCTATAATGGACAAAAGATCCAGTTGAAGGTGTGATCTATTTGTGCTATTAAGACCATTATAATTATAAAATGTTAAGATGGTTCTGTTTAACTTTATTGGCTCTTGTTAAAATTGCTTACTGTTGCTGGCTGAAGCACTGACAAGAGTGTCTCAGCACCACACGGTTGCCAAATTATGAAGGAAAAATATTTTATATTCCTCCTCAGTTGGGGATCAGTACCACTATCAAGCCTCATTTTCATGCATGTTTGATCCTCTGCTTGCAGGTTCTGTGACAGTTTCACATAGTGCACTGTTAACAACACAAAGCTGGAAGGCTGGGTTCTTCCTTTCTAGAAAAAGGCCTAAAATTTGGCCGTCTGCCTTTGAATGTACTTACATGGAAATCAATTATTTCTAATAGCGCTGTCATACTTCAGAAATGATCTAAAAGAAAGGTTTTAAACCTTGCACAAGGATAGCACTACTTTGCTATTCATTAAAGCAGCCACAAGTCATTTTAGGCTTCCAGCTTAGCAATTCCCTCCCTCCCCACCCCCCCAATGCAGCTATCTTAAAAGTCCCAACTGACCCTTTAAAGCAGTCACACCTTTCTTCAGGTTTATATGGGGGGGGGGAGTTGCAACTTCTTCAACAGAGTTGAACATAAGCTATGTTCATGGGAGCTGGGAAGCCATTCTTCACAATCAGGTTATCACCTTAACACCCATACTGTTAATCATAAATAACATGAAAAATAAGTTTTATTTGAAATTAAAATAGTAACCAGCATGTACCAGGTGGTCTGTGTATAATGCTGCGCTATATAATGCTTAAAATGGAATTACGCGTTTTACATATTTGTATTCACGTGTGAAGCTATAATTTTGATTCCGGTGATCGCTTCGTAGCAGGTCGGCTTAATGAGATGTTGAGGAAGTAGGAATCCATATCTTCCCCTGTCCCGAAGCTCAAAAGTAAAAGAATACTTAATGCCATGGTCGTAAGCCCAGTCATCTGAACCGCCCGGAGCTAAATCTAGGAAGGAAACCGGAAGTATTAGTGACCCAAGCTCAGCAATGGCCTGTTGATAAAAAGAGGTAGTTCATCTTCTTACTTCTACTTACAGATGGTTTGCGCACCGGAGCCTGCCACGTAGCGATTGTGGTATGTATTTCTAATTGCATTAGTCACTTGGTTCGCCACCAGTTGCTGAAAAGTAGAGAATTGGTCAGTTAAGTCATTGAGAACTTATTGGTCAGTTAAATCATTGAGAACTTATGTTTCAGTCTGACTGCAAAAAAGAGAGCCGTCCGAAAAAGACTTTGTCTTGTTCTGGATGTTCGTGAGCTGCCTTTTACGTTCCCAACGATGGGAAGAGATGTTGAATTCTTCACAACAAAATTAAAAGTTGTACATTTTTATAGAAAACATAAACGCGAAAGCTGCATGTAGGCAGAAAAGATATGTCAGTCCTAGACTTAGCATGCTTGAGATTAAAATCCAATCTGTGGCTTGATGTAAAAACTAGGCTATTGTGTGCCCGTGGGTTTTTATTTATCTCCCTATTTCCAATGGTTGCATGCTTTTGAACGTTACCCTTTGCTTTTGTGTCCTTTTCACAAGTTTTGTTAAGTCTGTCTGCTTTGGTTTGTGGTCTGAAATCTCCTTTGTTGTATTATGGCTGACATTGTTTTCTGGGGGGGGGGCAAGGGGGCAATCTAAAATGTGCAAGACAACGTTGACTTCGATTTATCAAAACCAGCATAAAATGTGACTGTAGAAATAAATTTGATTTTGAATATGGTTATATTTGTCTGATAGTAGAACAGATTCTGTTGACAGACAAACATTTGGGTTTCCCAAAGCTGAGCCTCTGCAACAGATTGTGAGATTACAGGAGGAGGAGAGCAAAAGAAGAGCATTGTCCTTGTGGAGCAGCCCCTTTATCTTAATTGAATGCCAGCAACAATGGAGAGAAAACATGACACTCCAGGTCTCAAACTTGCAAACATTTAAGATGTGTGGACCAACTCTCACAAATGAGTCCAGCTCTGAAAAATGCTGGCTGTGGAATTCTGGGAGTTGAAGTCCACATGCCTTAAAATGGTCAAGGTTGAGAAACACTGGTGTAGACTCCAATAACAAAAGCTCTGCATCCTTAAAAGATGCTATTATTGCTGAGAGCAATTAATTGCAATCTGAAGTCTGATGTATTTGCCATTTGATTATTTGGTTTTCTTTATAAAAGATAAAGATTTGTTTACTTACTTAATTACTTACTCTCTTTGACTCCAAAATTGTTTATGTGGGCATTCAATCTAATGCTTTTGGCATTTTAGTTCCTGATTTTTTTCATTATTTGAAGTAATTAAAAAGTATTACTTCATGACAAACAGCATCCTCGCTTCCTTTTGCATTATACTAGTTTAATATAATGTATTAAAATAATTATCTGTTTTAATATATTACTTCTGTTATATGTTGTAATCTGTCACAAACATGCAACAACCATGGTTTCAGTTCTTGATCCATTCTGGTGCGATAGATTCCCTGGCGTGGTTGTTGGATAAAGCGTGGCTTACAAACATTCGTCTTAGGAGAAATACTCAACACACGTGTTCTTGTTTGGATCTGATTGACATGCATCCATCATACAAACGTGTGTCATGTTGCCTAGCTGCTATTGTGCTATATAACCTTCAGTGTAATCCCCCTGTACTTAGATATGAAAAGTGCAAATGCACTACGAATGAACTCTTACAAGAATCTGTGTATTTTATACACTTGTTCTGGATATTCTATATTCCTCTCAAACTTGAAGCATCCTTTGAAATGATAAATAGAGCAGATGCATGGATACCGATGCAAAAGTCTGTTTTCTTGGTAAATACATAAAAGCCAAAAAAATAAGGCAGCTGTGTTATGATTCAGTTAGGATGTGGGGATAGATAGTTGCGTGTTATGAGAATGATCACACAGGGGAAGAAGTTAGAAACTCTGATTATAGCTTATGGCAATTTTCCATTTCAGCTGACTGTAGCCAACTATTTTATAGAAAGCATGTTGTGTTTTCAGACCTTATGATTCTGTTTTGTAAACAATGGCTTGCTGCATTCAAATAAAAGATGTAGAAGAGGAAGAAGCATGAAAACCAAGCTAAGGTGCCATCTCTACTTGCTTTTATAACATAACAATATGGACAGCCACAACTTTTTGTTGACATTATGGGCAGGTATTTAGCGACTCGGCAGTGAGCCACTTCTTTTAAAGAAGAAGTGCCCTTTGTATTCTTCCTTTAAGGAAATAAAAAACCAAGTCCAAAAATAATTGCAAAGGCCCTCTTCAACTCAAGACTGAAAAAGACGGGTTCTTACCAGCTCATCATGATCTTTAGATTTATTTTTAGTATATGAATATGGAAACAGAACCATCTGGGAGTAAGAGTGCATTGTTAGGTACGCTTTAACACGATCCTTGTGCTTTCTGAGAAAATCGGCCACGGCTTTTACTTCTGGCTCAGATTCTGGGTAAGGTCCACAGTAAGTCTCTTGGCAGTCATCTCTGGATCCACCTTTTCCTTTATTTAAGAAAAAATAATAATAAAAGCTTTAATTAGCTTAAATTTATGGGATCCAGGGGCAATAAATGAAAAACATTTTTTTTATTTATACCAGAGCTTGAATCCGAATGAAGTCCTTATAGGTTGTTGGTGCAAAGGGGTCCTCAAGTCTCAAATCTGCTACTGCTAATCCTATATTATCAGAGCGTTCACCCATTTTCAGGTCGAGGCACTTTTGGGCTTTCAATTTACGTGTCTCGTATTCACTGCCAAAATGTGTAAAACTAATTGGAGCCATATTTTTTTTTTTTTAAAAAAAAAGTTTCCCTGCGTATTTAAGCAATTTCCTTCCTGACTCCTTAAAAATTACAAGTTGAAGACAAATGTGAAAGCACATGAATGGGTCCTGGCCTCTGCAGCTTATTTTCAGAAAAATAAAGGTGCAGGGAAGTAGTTGGTCTCTCTTGGTATACTGTGGCTGTTTTGTATGTGACATTTTTCTCCTGAGCTTCACTTAAGAAAAAGGACAGTTTCACTTGAGGATGAAAACAGGGTACCATCTGCCTCCTCCATCTTGCAACTAACTGAAGCTACTGGAAAACCTTCATCACTGGGTGAACCTATAAGCTTTTCTGATGTAATATATGGACCCACATTTTTTTTTATTCTTGTACATTTTCCCAAGCTATTAAGATCTAGTTCAGCCTTCCCCAGTCAAATGTACACCAGAACTATTGTGATGATACCCCTAACCCTGACCATATAGACTGATGATTGTATGTGTAGTCCAACAATCTTGTGGAATGTTATGAGTAATTCTATGCCTATGTATAGGAAAATAAAATTGAATTCAGTGGTGTTTAACATAGGATAGGCTTGGAGAGCATTTTATATTATCAAGTGGAGTATGAAACTTGTTTTCCCCAAATATATGTAGATCAGTTTATACTTTTACTACTGCAATAAATATTTCATACTGCATAGTGCCTGTGTGTATGTACATACAAACATCATCTTACCACACCAGCCTGCATCAAAATTGCGATTCATATCTGTCCCAGTGCACTTGTTGTAGCCATGCTGGGAGCGGCTTTTTCTCCACATTCGATTCTGTAGATAACACACACACATATACACACCAGTCCCCAAGTATGTAAATATTTTAATGTTAAGCTCACCAATACATAATTTGTAACCTAAAACAAATCTCATAGCACAGAACTAACTGCACCTTGGAAACAAGACTTCCAAAAGAACCACCTGTTGATATTGCAGTGTTTTCTGAGCTGGCAAAGTGCACTATTGCAAATTCTAAGGTTGATCCGTGGAAGCAAGTAAATGTGTGCGTCAATGAGTCAAAACCGCTACAGTATTTGTTTTGATTGTGGGCACCGTAGCCAAAGTAATACATACTGCAGACAAAAAGGGGAAGCGCATGTAAGAGCATGAAATCTGGAATCTAGTACTAAGGCCGTTAATGCTCCAAGTGCTGTTGGCAGTCCCAAGCTTGGAAAATAGATGACTGTAGTAAGAAATCCATGCTTGTTAACCAGCAGAAGCATCTTTCTGGTTAAAGTTAAAATGGTGAACATCTCTGTTTCACTTTACAGTAATTAGGCCAAGGAGAACTTGGGACCAACATACCTTTCTCTGTCCATCTACCCCATCTATTTTCCTAATGTGTTCAGGAGAGTTGCTTTTCACCTTTTTCTTCCCTGCAACAATCTGAGTGAGATGGGACTGAGGTTCTAGATTCACACATCATGTTAAACATCGATACAAGGGTTTAGAGCAGTGGTTCTCAATCTTTTTAATGCCGCGACCCCCAACCGGTCGTAAGTCGAGGATTACTCAACCGGTTGTGAGTCGAGGACTAAACTGGTGCAGCACCGTTTGCAGAATGGGACTTTTGGCGGGCTCAGCAGGGCAGAGACAGCCTGGACAATTCCTATTGGCTTTTGAAAGCCAATAGAATTAGACTCTATTCAAGAGAGTCTATTCTATTGGCTTTCAAAAGCCAATAGAATAAAAGGGAGTAGCACAGCTAAGGAAAAGAGCCAAGGTGGCGTAGCAATTAGAGTGCAGTAGTGCAGGCCACTTTAGCTGACTGTGTTCAGCAGGTCAGCGGTTCAAATCTCACCGGCTCAAGGTTGACTCAGCCTTCCATCCTTCCGAGGTAGGTAAAATGAGGACCCAGATTGTTGGGGGCAATGTAAATATATATATATATAATATATATATATATATATATATATATATATACACATTGCTTACTGATGTACACCGCTTAGAGAGTGCTTGCACTTAAAGCGGTATATAAGTCTCATAAATAAATAAATAAATGGGGGGGGGGAAATGGCGGACTGCATTGTTTGGCGACCCTCGTGAAATGGTTGTTCGACCCCAAATGGGGTCCCGACCCACAGGTTGAGAACCACTGGTTTAGAGTTAGAGAAAACTGTAACCATGTGTACAACCACCATGGTAAGGTTCACCATGGGCTGAGCTAAGAACTAGCCGCATTAGAGTTTACCCGATTTCTGAACCAAACCAGAATGTATAGGTTATCAAGTTCATCTAATGTGAAGTGAAGATATAAATCAAGGTTGCTTAAAGTAAACACTCAGCTATTGTTAAGCCCATCTTGCAGATCCAAGTGAGTATCAGCAACCTATTGGAAAGTAGAATTATCTTGCCTTATCTTTCTCTATGGATGTACAGTACACTATCAGGCAAGGTTCCTGTCATTCATCTGTGAGCCAAGATGAATTCCTAGATTTCCTCTGCTTTCACAAGGTGCAGAATTTTGTTGAGATGAGCCCCAGTGAAAGAAAGCCAAATGTGAAGCTCATTGCTAAGTTTGAAACTTGCACCAAATTTGGAAATAAATTGTTCCAACATCAAGCACAAATTTAGATAAGGAATACATTTATAAAAGTATTCTTTTTTGTAAGTATACTTATAAAAATACATTTAATAAATAAATATAGTGAGCATACTTATTTTTTAGAACCAGCATCTAATTCCCGGAAAATAAGGTCAAAGAATGAATCATTCTGTAAAAATTGAAATTAGAAGGTAATGGTTTTTTTTGTGTGCAATTTAGCAGGAAATTTGCATTCCCTCATCTAGCAACATTTAAAAGAAAAGAGGCAATCCTGCAGCACAAACCTTATTGATTTGAATACTGTGCTATGATGCATAACATAATGCAACATTGTAAAAAATCATCTCAGTGTAGATTATTTGGATCAAATTTCATAATATATCTAGAAAAGTTTTATACTTACAGTAGTCCATGTATACTCATAACCATCCACATTCATTATTGGCATGACATAGAAATCAAGGTTCTGTAGGAGACCTGCCATTGTTACATCCCTGTTTAGAAATTGTGTAACCTAGAAGTGGATGCAAAAATAAGGTTTAATGGAAACTGCTGGATAGATTGCTATGTCCAATCAATTATTAAGGCATTGCTATATTTGAGCATAGCTACATTCTAATTTGCATAATTCTATGTAAAGGGGTTGCAACCCACTCTGTCAATGCTGCAAATATTGTATATTCTTGCTTTGACAATATGCAGAATTGTCTGATATTTTGGGGGTTAATACAGAGCAGAAGGGGGGTGGGGATAAAGCCTGGGAGAGAAAGAGGAAAGAAACCTTTGACCTTCACACTAATTGGATAATGTGATATATGACAGCTAATTTAGGGAGGGAACATGCTGATAATTTAACTGCTCAGAGGAAGAGAACTTAGATCTTAGCATAAAGCCTCCGTTATGCCTGTGCCGACATTTTGTAACAATAAATGACTTTTAGGAAAATCAATGCCTGGAAGTTCTTTGAAGTGTTTCATTAGCCGGAACCATAACACACTCATTTTTAGGTTGTCTTTTGCTACCTCTGGTAAACAATTGCGTTTCACCAACAGCATGTGTCTGATCCCATTATTAAATAATTATGGAGAGATTTCTCCTGCACTTGTTGGAATTCTCTTCTCCTTTTTCCTCAAAGAGCTCCTACATAGCATAACTAGGACTGGAAAGCATTGATAAGTGAGAAGAAAGGGTAACTTTATCCTATCACTTTTTGTCCTGTTTTCAGAACTGAGGACAGACTTCTTCTCGACATAGTGCTAAGTCAGATATGTTGAATTACAACTCCCACCATACTAAGTCAATGGATGATAAGGGAGACGATTTAACAGAAGGGGAGTGCAACAAACTGAAGAAGGAGGAGTCTCTGCGGATTTTACTCCGCTAGTTGTCAGCTGTAGGAGGCAGTGTGTTCATCTGTATTTCAAGGCCATTGAGCCAGCGTTGTCTGAAGACATTTTCACGGTCAGGTGGCCAGCATGATGTCATGGAGCGCTGTTAACCTTCCCACCGAAGTGGTAGCTAGTTTTCTACTTTCAGCTGCATGCTTTCGAACTGCGAGGGTTGGCAGGATAGGGGCTCCTCCTGTCATGTGGTTGGGCTGCCAGCTTTCTGGCCAACAAGCCCAGCATCTCAACCACTGAGCCACCACACACACACACCCCCCGCTGAAGAAGGAGAAAGCTTGCCTTTTAAAAAGGCCTTTTATAAGGCTCTGAATTATTTAATTGCCATAAAAATTTCCCACTGTGCCTCAGAGTCACACTCCAAGGGCAAAGTTTAAAGATGAGGAGATCTAGTTGCTTACTAGTTATTGCCATTGCTTCTCACTTCTTGCATTAATGGTTTACCTTACATATCCTGTAGGATCCCAAGAAGAATGAGGAATTCTACCAGGGAATATAGACACTGAACTGGTTTTGTATACTTTTAATCTGTTCCCTACTTTATCCTTTTAAACCGATTTATTCAAAAGCATAATGCCTGGAATTAACCCATTATCTGAATATGCACAGATAAACTGCATGACCTGATGTCTTGTCACACACTAGGCTTAAATGGTTGGCTAGTTTATGGATCAAGGTGTCACATGAACACCATCGTTGTTGTCCTACTGACTTTTTTGTTTTCTGTAATGGTATGTGGGAATGACCTCTGAAGATGGGGAAGACCTGAAGCCAGAGGTATGGTCAGATAAGAGGCAACTTTGCCCACCACAGGGAATGGGAACATGTCAACCATCTCAGAAGAGACCCTAGGTTCTTGGGTTGTAAGGCGACAGGGGAAAAATGTACTTTCAAATATGGTAGCACGTCCAAATAAGAAGCACAGCCAGTTGAATTAATTCTATTTTATTGTAAGTTTAAATTCATTTACAAAATCTCCCTTTATTTCTGTCTCAACCTTCTCCCTTCTCTTTAAAATAAATAAATAAAATAAAATAAATAAAAGACTCCCACATTCCTTGGAAGCCAGAACCCATGTTTATTTATCGAATTCTGAAAAGTATCACCCTTTTTCTTTTGTATCCTTGGTGGATATGTATATGCAACTAAGTAGATGCTTAAAAAACAACAACGTCAACTTACGTGTCCTATAAACCAGAGACAACAAGCTGGTGAAACCCATTCCCTTGCATGGATACCACAATCAATCCAAATGGCGTTTTTGGGAGTTCTGCTTCTACCCGAAAGCTAATAAAAAGAGAATTTAATGGCATAGGTTCCCAAGAGCATACATGGCTACTTGATTATACTTATGATCCTAAATCAACATTACTTGTAAAATGGTTTCCAAAATAACATGTTACTTTCCAGTTTTGATATCAATGCAACCGGCAAAAAATTAAAATGGTCTCTCTCCTGAAAATAAAATCAAAATCCAGTGAAAGAAAAGAGTAGGGGAGTCTTGAGTCCATTTTCTCAATGAATCAAGTCATTTCAGTTGCGATTGGGCATACCCAGAGGGTATGACATCTCCAGAGGGGTTCTCAAATTGCCTTGATTCCATCTCTACCTAATTCCCTGTTTCACTTTCTGAAGGAATTTTGAAGTTTGGCCAAGCATACCTTCAAAACATAAAGCGGACGTTTATCAAACGAATGTCCAATATGTATCTTTTGGATGATAGCAGGATATCTTGCAGCTATTTCATCCATCCATGTATATATCTAAAAGACAAAATGGGTCTTTCAACAGAGACAAGGCATTTTAAATTCTGAAGCAACAACTTCCGACCATTATTCCACCAGTTAATTCCAGATGACATAGATAGGATCCCAACTATTTTTCATGTCCTTCCTAATTTTTCTATATACAATCAGGGTGATTGTACATAGAGCACAGACCATACCAGGGTTCCATGAAGCTGGGATACAACAAATATTTCTGAAGGTCAGAACAGCCATTTAGGCAATTTGTGTTCCAACAATTAAAAGAAAACAATAATGGTAGAGGTAGGAAAAAGCAATTGGTGTGACCCAACTCTGTTCCTGCAATATAGTTACAACAATACCTAGTTAGCTTACTTTATAGGCTTAATGTAATGATTTGAAGAAGATAAAACATGGATATATTGTTGCATATTTTAAACTCCACTTTTTATTGTTGTTAAAAGGTTCTTGAGATGATTAAAAGCATGACATTAGTGGTACAAGATATGGTTTCTAAAACTCAGGATAGTCACAAAATGATGGCAGCACCTAGGGATTTTTTTTTTCCTTAAGTAAATTCTAATGAAAATGGAAATAACTAATCCAAATATTATACCTCGTAATGGAAATCATGTTTATGTTTCAGTAATGCTTGGTGCATTTGTATTTGTTTTTCAGACTATAAGCTTATGTACATTTATCAAGAAGCAAATTTCACACTGTCTGACTAAACTCTGAAGGCACACGCATAAGATTGCTACATATGTTAGGTCTTAGCTTTTAAATTATATCCTTAGTGTATGAACATAAGCATAACTTTTGACTTGCCTATCTGGCATAAAAAAAATAAAGAACAGAATGACAATAATAGGATCTTTCTCTAGCAAACCACCATGTATTTACCTTAAAGGCCTTATGAATAAAAACAAAAACTCAACCTTAACAGTCTTCCCAAAAACCTCCAAGGAAGATGCCATTATAATTTTAGGCTGGGTGGTGGGGGTCAGAGTTTCCTCTTAGCTGCATTTTAGTCTGAAACTAAATCTCTTGAAAAAGTAGACTAGCGTAGCGGTAATGAAGGTATGAGAGTTGTATGGCCAGGATTTCCCACTCCAGTAGGACCCCAACTGGTAAACCAGCCAAATGCGGCCAAAGGTCCCCCTAGTCTTAGTCTCCCTCCATGAATCCAGGAGAACTCCCAAGTTGCAGATCTAAGTTGCAGCCAGCCAGACAGCTTCTTGAGAAATAGCAAATCTGTCTTCTTTCAATTCAGTTGAGTCAATTGCATGGAGCAATTATTCGCTCACGGCATCCAGTGAAGATGTTGGTTGGTTGACCTAAATGACCTTATGACTATTTCACTATGAAATCCTTGGTTCAAAACTCCTTGAGAATCCACCACAGTTTTGGGAATAAAGGAACGAAATACATCAAGTCTTACCACTTTCAGAGAATGATATTGTTCATAAAATGAAATAGAACTGCGGGGTGTAACAGTGTCATTGACAGTTTGTAGGTCAATAATTTTCTGAACATCTTCCAGAGCAATTCTGAAAAGAAAGAGCAAGAAAGCTTCCTTAGCTTTGATGAAACAAACCAACCAAAAAAATGGCTTGATAGTATCCTACTCGCAGGCATGCAGGACCGAAAGTCTCATACCTGAATAAAATGGCAGATCGGTTAAGCTCTGCTTTCACGTCATCTACATCGGAAACATTGACGTAAAAATGTACCTCTTTATTCTTTACAATGTTCTCTGGGGAAACGGGTTGCCAAAGCACAATCTATTTTGAAAAGAAAGAGAATGACATGTAGAATGGGGGTAATTACTTGTTACACTTTCTCATGGCAATCTGTTTCATCTTGCAGCCTTTATGTTATGCTCTTTTCATGCAAAATATTTTGAGAGACGCAGTTGGGGGCTTCCTTTCTACTGTTTCTGGAACTAAACATAAAACTAGTATGGCAGAAAACTGGTAATTTTCTGTCATATCTACCTTGGTCTTGCTACTTCAATTTACATATTAATTCTCATTGCGTGATACCAGCTAGTTAATATAAATTGGATGAAGCAATAATGATTTCCCCCTTGCCATCATCATAAGTATTCCGCATATGCCTATCCCTATAAATACATTAACTAAAGGGACATCACACACCTTTATCTTAGTCCCTGCTCAAAATTGCTAATCCTAATATATGTTTTTGCTTCAATTCTACCTCAGTCTAGGAATAGCTTTCAGCTCCACACTTATGCAAAATCTTCCACAATTCTCGCTTATTCATTTTATTACACACTTTTTTCTATCAATAAATGTATTCTATCTTTCTCACATTCAAACTGTTAGAGAATTTTAATTTCTCTGTTGGTGAAAAAATAAATCAGAAGCTCTCACAGTTGACTGCATTTAGCTGATTCAAAATAACTTCTTTATATTTATATCAAAATATTTACAATACATACCTTCTTCTTTACAGCAACATGGCTTAATGAAGACTTCTTACAGAGCGATACAGAGACAAACCTGAGACTGGAAATCCGGCTCCTAACTCAATACCTTTTTGCACAGACTCAGTAGCACTTTCTTCACATTGGCTGACTGAGTTACTACATGACTCTTCCTGCTCATAAATATTCCAACACTCCTCCCTTCATGACAGGAAGAGACATCAAACCTATTGACTTAATACAATCTCCATAATGAACACCACCCAATGGTTTAGTCATCATATCTGCCAAATTATCCTCAGAAGAACAATGATGTAAACTAATCAATTTTCCTTTTACAGCTTCCCTGACATTACAATACTTAATGTCTACATGTTTACTTCTGTTCTTCACCCTGTCACCAGTTACCATTTTTATACAGGCAGCATTGTCTTCAAATACCTTTACAGATTCTTTTACATTAATATTTAAATCTTGCAACAATTGTACATACCATGTTACTTCAGAACACAATTCAGATAAAGCAATAAACTCTGCTTCCGCTGTTGAAATAGCAACAGTTGTTTGTTTTCTGGACTTCCATCCAATCAGAGTCCCTCCAAACAATATTATAATCCCAGAATTTGATTTCCTTGTGTTTATGTCATTTGCATAGTCACTATCGACATAACACTTTAATTTCAATTCCTCAGTAATCTATATTTGAAGACCCAAATTTATAGTTCCCTTTAAATATCTGAGAACCCTTTTTACACCCATCCAATGTAACTTTGTAGGTGCAGCAGTAAAACAACTCAAAATGCTTATTGCGCAAGCTATGTCTGGTCTGGACCACTGTGATAGATATAACAAACTCCCTATTGCTGAGTGATATATCTCTTGATCACAGGTTTCACCTTTGTCCGCACTTAAACTATTATAAAAATCTGTACTCATGGGTGCGGGAGCAGTATTGCAATCTTTCATATTATATTTCTCCAATAACTGCTCAATTTTTCTCCTTTGACTGACCACCTAACCACCTTTTTCATTTTTCTGTATCTCTACACCGAGATAATTTTTTATTTCTCCCAAATTCTTTAATTGTGAAAAACCTTGTGCCATTAACCTGGCCTTATACTGTACATTATTATTTGGCAATACCTTTTTCTTATATACCCACTTACAACCCACAGCTTTAGTTCCCTGTGGCAAAGTCACTGATTTAAATACTTCATGGTCTCCCATGGATTTCATATCTTTATCCATGGCCTCCTTCCATCTTTCTTGTTCAGCTTTTGGTAATGCCAACACTTCTTTATAACTTCTTGGCTCATACCACACATTGCAAACCTTTACGTTAGTGGCAGAATACCTGTCAGGCAGAATTCCTTTGTTGCATCGCTCTGACCTACATGGTATTAACTGCTCCTGTGTCTCAAGTCTTTCTGGTTTCATGTCTTGTTCAGCCTCTCCTCTCTGAACATTGACATCTTCAATAATCATTTTTCCATCATTAGATGAGTTATTGTCATTAAATAGATCACTGTCATTAAGTGAGACATACCCAGAATTTGCATTAATTCTGTCCCAATTTTGTTCTGCAAAATTAGCAGACCTTGAAATTACAATTCTTTTACTTCCATTGCTAAAGCGATATCCTTTTGACCCTGGCTCATAGCCCACAAACCTGAGCTTTCTTGCCTTTTGCTGTCCCTTTCTTCTGATTGCTTTTGGTATATGTACCCATGCAGCACTTCCAAAAATTCTCAAATGTGCCAGTGATGGCTTTCTCCCATATAGAATGGCATATGGAGTATTATTAATGGAGGAACTCCACAGCCTGTTAACTATATAATTGGCAGTCAATAGGCTTCTCCCCAATATGACCTGCTCATACCAGAATCCTCTAATAATGAATCTTTCATTGTTTGCAAAACACCATTCCTTCTTTCAGCTACACCGTTCTCTGCTGCTGTGTAAGGATTTGTACGTCTGTGTCTTATCCCCAACTGCCCCAACCATTGTTGGAATTTAGTTGACATAAATTCAGTACCTCTGTCAGTTTGCAACTGACACACTTGTTGTCTGTACCTTCTCTCTACAAAACTTACCCACTGTTTGAATTGTTGTAGCACCTCTGTCTTTGCTCTAAGCAAGTAGCAAAAACTATACCTGCTATAATCATCAACAATTACCAGTGCATATTTTGCTCCTCCCAAACTGGCTTGCATAGGTCCCACCAGATCTGCATGGACCAGCTCTAGAGCTCTTTTTGTTTGTCTTGTGCTATGTTTACTAACTGGGAATACCTTTGACTTTGATGCTTTGCATACTGCACAGTCCAAATATGTTTTGCATCCCTTCAAATTTAGCCCTTCTGCAAACTCTTGCATTTGCTGCAAAACTTTAAAGCTTGCATGGCCAAGTCTTCTATGTAGAAGATGAATACATGAATCATGCTCTGCAACATTCTTAAATATATGGGAACATTGAACCTTTTGTCCCTGCAATACATATAGATTATCTTCCTTTATGCCTTCTGCACAAATATTCCCATTCCTCTTGATGAGACACTTCCCATTTACAAAAATGATCTCAAAACCTTGTTTGTCTAAATTAGACACACTTAACAAATTATGTTCCATCTCAGGTACACAAAGCACATTGATAAACTTTAATTCCAAATATGGAATTTTTACATCGCCTCTTCCGATGACTTTTGCTTTCTGGCCATTTGCCAAAGCTTCTTGTGCTACTGGAACAAACCTGCAAAATAATTCAGAGTCATTAACAATTGTTTGACTTGCCCCACTATCTATTAGCCACTTGTCTCTGTTGTTGCTATAACAAACTTTTGCAATACCAAAATGTTCCTTTTGCAAATCAGTCTTTTTTGCTTGCACAAATGTCCTTCGCTGTAAATTGTTCCTCTGCAAAAAGTTCCTTTTCAGATGTGTGTTTGCTCCACAAATGTAGCAATTCTTTTCTTGCTGAGCTCTCTGCTTGCAAAATCTCTCTTTTGATGCAACTTGGTCCCATCTGCTTGTTTCTTCTCCAGAGACTTGCAGTCTGGACCCCCTCCTCAGGAATTTCACCTCCTCATGGCTGTTCCTAAAATGTTGCTTTTCTTCTTCATTAAGCAAACATGTCTTTAAAGCCTCAAAATTTAAGTCTTGCTCTTCTTTACACTCAAATATCGCAGAAACTGTGTCCCAGGTTTTATCTAAACTGTTCAACACCAATAAAACCTTCTGGGACTCAGGGAATTTAATCCCACATTGTTCTAAGCCCAAAAATAAACTTTGCATTTTATTTAAATGCTGTTCCACAGATTCACCTGGTTGCAAACAGGCCCTGTAAAGTTTTCTTGACAATTGCACTATATTGCATGCAGAAACATTCACGTGCACAGCTCTCAACTTCAACCAAATCTCCTTTGCAGTCTTTAAATTTGCAACATTTAGAAATTGTTCATCATCTACATTCAATATGAGATAAGCCATTGCTTGATCATGACTTTTCTGATCAGCAGCTGCAAACACTTGTGGTGGATTTTCTACGATATACCACAGCTCTTTTGCTTTGAGCAAACATTCCATTTTTGGAGCCCATATAATGTAATTCTTCTGGCCTAAACGAGGCACAGAGCTTTCCTTAAATTCCATTGCAGCCATTCTGCTTATTCTGCCTTGTTCTTATACTTTCTAAACACAGGCAATTTCTTCCAGCTTTAAATTACAATGCAGTCCTTAGTAAGCTCTGGGCCCATAACCTGTTAGAGAATTTTAATTTCTCTATTGGTGAAAAAATAAATCAGAAGCTCTCACAGTTGACTGCATTTAGCTGATTCAAAATAACTTCTTTATATTTATATCAAAGTATTTACAATACCATACATTCTTCTTTACAGCAACATAGCTCAATGAAGACTTCTTACAGAGAGATACAGAGACAGACCTGAGACTGGAAGAATCCAGCTCCTAGCTTAATACCTTTTTGCACAGACTCAGTAGCACTTTCTTCCCATTGGCTGACTGAGTTACCACATGACTCTTCCTGCTCATGAATATTCCAACACAAACACTTTTCAGTGACTCACTGGCATAAAACTGCAAGGCTCTTCCTGAATTTTGCTGTCATCTCTTACCATCTGTCAACCAAACTTCTGCAAAAGAGCTTCTTGGGCACACCTAGCTCATTAATTCCCACTCTCACACACCCCCTCCCCCCAGTTTTTGCATATAGTCTTGCTACCTTAAGCTTTGTGCAGGGGAACAATAACAGCATTCTTCCAGTTGCCAGACAGAGATGCAATCTTCACATATACTTTTGGTAAGGGCCGAAGATGGCAATGTGACAAATAAGGATAGGCAAAACCCTTGTGTTAAGATGGAAGAGATGCCAGTCTTAGAGGCTGGGAAACAAATGGCTTAGCATTCATTGGTTCAAAACAACTGGAGGGGAAAAAAGGATTCACTCCTAGGGCTGAGGTACATACATACAGGGTTTCATTCCTGTGCCCTTCTATCTTCTGAGCATGTATGACTTGGTGGTACCTTCCATAAAGCTATCCCAAAGATGCTTTTTTTCACGAGGCAACTGGACTTTTCAAAAGGCAAATAGCTTCCAGAAAGCTATTTAAGTGTCAACAAGTGTCTGCAAGTGTCAACTTACTGAAGAAAGGAGGCTACTCACTGCTGTGATCGGTAGAGAAAATCTGATGCAGGTAAACCAGGTTGCACAGCCAGTTTTCACCTTTTAACCATAAGCAAACCAACTCCCTATTCTTTTCTTTTCTTTTCTCTTCTTTTCTTTTCTTTTCTTTTTTCTTTTCTCTCCTATCCTATCCTATCCTATTCTCTTCTATTCTAATATTCCTCCAGCTTCTCTCTCTATATCTATAGCCTTCTTGCTTTTTAACTTTCTCACAGATTATTTTAGTAGTAATATTTTCTTGGACACTAACAATTGTAGCATTCATTTCAATTCCACTCTTCAATATATCTCAATCATTCCCTTAGAAAGCTCTAAAATACTCTTTCTGGCATTCCCTGTTTGAGTTTCATCCCATTTTTTAATATTATTTTTAATTTCATTCATTCTGCCACAGGCTCCTTATTTTTGCCTTATTTGGCCATTTCCAAAACAAAATGTCTGTTTCTTGTGATCCATCAGGATATTCTTCTTTTCTCAGTACACATCGTATGTATCTTTTAATCTTTTTTGCAGGAATTTCTTTTCTATATGCTCTTCTTCATCCTCTTTTATATCAATTTTCTCAAACATATTTTCTCATATAGGCCATTAATGTAACTCCACATATTTCCATGTGATGATGATTTAGATTTAATATACAGTAGCTGCCTATTCCAGTGGATGTACAGTATAACTCTTTGTTTTGTTCCAAGTAATTTCTACATCTTCTTTAAGTCTACTTACTATGCATTTTATTGAGAGATTAATTTATCCCCCAATATATTTATAGGGAACCTATATAAACTTTCTTTTCTTCAGTTTTTCTACTTTCACTCCTACGTTTCATCTTTTTTCCTTTCCTTCTTGTCCATTTTTTTTCTTAAGCTCCATTCTAAATACAGATAGTCCTCTACTTACAACCACAATTTTCTTGTCAGAAGGCCACAAAAGATGACAACATGACCCTGGGACACTGCAACTGTCATAAATATAAGTCAGTTGCCAAGCGTCTGAATTTTTGACCATGTGACCATATGAATGCTGCAACGGTCAAAAGTGTATAAAATGGTCATAAGTCATTTTTTTCAGTCTCTTTGTAAGTTTGAACAGTCACTAAATGAACTGTTGTAAGTCGAGGACTACCTGTATTACTTTAAATGGTCCTAAGTGAATTCTGTACTCAGACTAAGTTTATCTATCAACCTAAGCTGTTGATTATTAATCAACCACAACTGACTGGGTTTGTGCTAAATTGTTTATTAACCTACATGGTTCATTTCACATCACACTAAGCCAAAAGCAAATTCACCCCATTAGTTCAATGCAATGTGAGAACCCAGCATTTCTGCACTATATTCATGGCTTGCCAAAAAGCTATTACCTCAAAAGCAGTGGTCAGATTCCGTAGAATGTCTGCTTCTTTGTCAGATTTTGGAAAAGCCCACAAAACCTGATCACTGAAAAAGAAGGAATGAGAGTGCAAAGATCTGAGCTGCAGAAACCATGAACAGAAACTATGAGTTTCCCCACTCTGAATGACTGAGCAGCCATGAATGTACATAGACTCCCAATAATGTTGCAAGGAGCCATTCCAGGAGCTTTGGCCCATCTACCATGTTTCTCCAAAAATGAGACTGAGTTTTTTTCTTTTTTAACTTCCAAAAGAGGCACCAGGTCTTATTTTTCCACTCACCTCTGGCACCGACAGCCCCGCCCAGCCAGCCCACTTCTTCAGCGGCTAAAGGAGCAGCTTCATTCTGCAGCTCAAAATTGAGCTCAGGCCTGCCTTTGCAGTCAGTCAGGCCTTTCCAGAAGGCCTCTGCAGCTGAGAACTGAGCAACAGATTCAATCCATAGCTCGGTTTTCAGTTGCAGAGGCCTTCCGGAAAGGCCTGACTGCAAAATGCAGGCCTGGGATGCCACAGAAGAAGTGGGTCAGCGAGGAGAGGCCTAGCTGCAAGGTAAGTGGGTGCAGAGTGCATGGGGAAGTTCCACCTGCCCACCCCCGCTCTAGCTTGATTTTTAGGTGTGTGCCTCACCCCAAAACTAGGGCTTAATTTTGGGGTAGGGCTTATATTAGGCCCACCCCCAAAATCAAGCTAAGGCTTATTTTCGGGGTAGGTCTTACTTTCGGGAAAACACAGTAATAGGTGTTGGAATAGCCCATGTTGATTGGGACAGTCCTACTGATCAGCTGGAATGGAGTCTGTGTGAAACTAGAAAAATATTGCGCATTTCTCACGGTATGGTTGCATGCAATGATTTAAGCCTCTGCATGCCTTTTTCAAGGGTCCTTAATGTCAGCGACCCTACATAGATATAGAAGCCTACCAAACTGGAAACTCACTACAGTCAAATGAAATGTCTGAAGGAACCACATAATTTTGAGGATACCGCTAAATATACCGCCCTGCAAGCCAGATAAATCCATATTGGCTTATCCAAGTGTAATCTTGAAGAGAGTTATGATTACATATATGCCAAAAGCCCAGCTAATACCATATTACCATATGTCAGCTTTGGCAAAAGAGGACACTTGAGTGAGGGAAGTGCACATTTGCTTTCGTTTTCCCATCACTGTGAAACTGCAAATAGGTCATTAGATCTGTTTTATTTCCTATGGCCATTTTCATTTGAAATGAAAAATCTCTACCACTTATAAATTACTTTGTTGTGAAATCAAGAGTCAGTACTAGCTAAAAACCATGATTCGTATGAAATCAGAAACCATATGAAACTCCATTACTGAAACTCTTGTTTGTTAAAGGAGTGGCCACTGGCATCTTTTCCTGAAAGCACCTAATCCCCAACTCTGCTGCCTGGAACCACGTAGCTATGAACACTTCTGTTTTTCATTTTAATTTTTATTTGTAAGATAACTTGCCAAGGAAATCAGCTTGTTTAATAACTAGCTAATAGGCTTGAAGTTTCAAGTCAAGAAACTAAAATGCTGGGTGTTGCTTTAGCTTTGTGCTTGTTATAACAAATCTCTGCTTGCCATCTGAAGACCATTTTCTGCCCAACAGAAGTAGGGTGGGTGGTGAAACGAGTTAATCTGGGACAAGGTTTTGACTAGTGAAAAATTAGGCTGTCTGGCAAGTCCTTTTAGGCTTCAGCTGAAGTATAAAGCAGAATTTGGCGTGAACTGTGGTTCATGACCTCTCCTCTTTTGCTCCAAGTTCATGGGAACTCTTGGGGACATCTGGTTCTTCCAATGAGAAGGAAGAGAATGAGAACTATTTCTTCTGATTATGGTTGGAAGTACTGAAGGCCACCAAGGTCAGAAGAATCAAATGGAAACCCGCCTTTTCCATGCCCTCACTTATATCATCACTAGGGTGGTCAAGACTGTTTTCATCCCAAAATTGGACAAACTGCTTGGTCATAAATAGATTGAAAGATATTTAATAAGTTGCATCCCAGATTACTTGGAATTGAGATGACATGCATCCCCAAACCCAGGGCTTTTTTCTCTCATAGAACGCCCAGAACGGAGTTCCGGCACTTTTTTGGGATGGTACCTTGTAAGGTAGGCAAGGCGGGTTGTATGACGTGTGTGAGTTCCGGCACCCCTTTTTTTTTTTTTTTTTTTTTAGAAAAAAAGCACTGCCCAAACCTATAACATCTATATAGTCAATTTAACATCTACAAAAATGTTGAGATTCAGTATGTTATGTTAAATTTAATTTTGAAATATTTTTATTGCTTTTATTATCCTAATGTATGTGGACTCAAAATCTAAGTCCTCAATATGGTACCAGGTTGGCGAGATATTTGGCTTGAATTTCATTTGAGGCTGTTGGATAACTTTGTAAAAATAATGGAAACTTCTATAACTGAAATTGTTCTGCTGATGGAACAAATTTTGCCACTGAACCTCAGAGCTGAGTAATATCTCTTCCTGATCATATTCCAACTTTGAGGAATCATTTGGTGTATTTCTCGGTATAGATTCATCAGAAAAAAGGAACTGAAGACTTCTGGAGAAACTGGAGACTGCACTGATGAATTGATTATCCTGGTTTCAAAACAATGAGCTGATTCTAAAACTGTTGATATCTCATTCTCACTATTATATGATTCACATGATCTTTCAGAAAACAGTCATGCAGTCTGTTCTTGGGAAATTTCTGGATCAGCCAAATTTGGGCAGGAAGAGCACGTAAGTGATAAGATTAAGGCTGCATCACTGAATAAACATACAAAATGCAGGGATTAGAGAGAGTAAATGCATTCACTCATGCAAAACCCATTAGCAATGGTTTTGAGCAAAAACAAGATTTAACATCCAAGGAAAAATTGTGCATGTAATAACTCCTTAATCCACATATAAAATGAGTTTGAGGATTTCAGTTTTGATGGCTAAGTTTATTTTTTATCTATTGAAGAGAATATACCCTACTGTGATATAAAGTTTATTATTAACTTATTAAATTTTGTTTTCTTTTGGAAAGTCTCATACAATGATTTATCAAAGATGTGGGACCTGAATGTTAGAAATCATTGAAGACTTGGATTACTACCCTCACATAATTATGTCATACAAAATTAGCAGAAACCTAATTGCTCAAGAGAAGAAAAACAAGAGGATATAGTATTGTCTATGGAGATTCTCAGTCATCCAGGTCATGGTTGTCTCAAAGATGCTTTTTCAAGAGGCAACTGGACTTTCTTGTTTTTCTTTGAAGACCTTTCCTTCCATTATCCACCATCTAGTCAGAACTGAAGAAGCTTCTTGGATGAGAAGCAAAATGTCTTCAAAGAAAAACAAGAAAGTTCAGTTGCCTCTTGAAAAAGCACTTTTGGGACAGGATATAGTATTGTTTTTATCAAAAATATATTCTGTTTCAATCAGAAAGAAGAGAGTCGTTTCTTCATTTTAGTTGGCAATTTTTAAAAACATTCTAAACTGACTTGTTAATAGACAGTTGTGCTCTGTCTTGAGTTTAGTCTCACTGTGGCATATATTGGCATTAAATTGATATATAATTTGTCTATGCTACAAGCTTCTCATTATGACTCTTCTCCTCACAATAATTTGGCAATATACAATAAAGTTCTGATCTCTACATCCATTTGGGCATATGTCCTTATTTTCTGGAAATATTTCCTATCTTTTTCACTAAAAGATAAATACATACCTCTGGGAAGCAGAAACAGAGGTCTGTTGATTGAAGATTGATACCAAACATAAAAAGAAAAACTTTAGAGCAGCCATTTGCAATGAAACCAAGAGAAATAGTAAAGGTTGGTGACTTTGTTGATTTTCTAAAGTCTATATTGAAAGAATGGTTAAAATTTAATATTCTCTCTCTTTCTCTCTCTCTTTCTCCCTTCTGGCAACTCCCTTTTCCTCAATCTGAATCTGGGCAGTTCATATTTTTGTTAATAATGATAATTGCTAGCATATGCAATTCTGATTGATTGCTAGAGTTAACGAAAATTATACTTTGATCTCTGTAATGTGAATCTTATGCTTATCTTTAATTGGGCAGGAAGCAAAGCACATTCTCTTCTCATTGATTAATTTATTCATAACATATATGACATTTTCCCATTGGCATTAGATGAATCACAATGTCCTTATCTAATAAAATGTTGTAACCATGCTTTGAATTCAGCAGGTAGGTCTGGTCATGGTATCTCAAATACTGGAAAAGGGGAAGAATATACCGTAGTAACCAAAATGATTAAGGAGCTGCAGCAGAAAGATGTAAAATGATCCATCAGCCTAGAAAAAGAATGAAGATTTCTTTTTCTGAGAATGGTGTGAAGATCAACAAATTCATGGAGAGGCTGTGTAACTCAATTCATAGTCTCTCTCTTTCTCTCTCTCTCTCTCTCTCTCCCTCCCTCCCTCCCTCTCTTTCTCTCTCTCTGTTCTGTTTCAGGAAAAGAGGCATTGAGACGAAGCAACGAGTTCCAACAGTCTCCTTTATTGCAACAACAACAGAACAGGTTTTAAAATGGTGTGGCCCCCTTTTATAGCCCCCTTGCACAATACCTTGCTGACCAATCATTGCAAAGGCTGGAAGCAGCCTTTCTTGTTCCGGGGAATCCACATGAGCTGCCCAGGCCAATCGCTGCAGCCTGTGCCTGCCAGCCCAGGACATAACACTCTCCTTCAAATCAGTGTTGATTCCTGGCAAGTGTCTGGATTTGTCCTTCAGTTTTTATGGCAAGATTATGGCAAGTGGTTTGGCATTGCCTCCTACGACTGAGAAACAGGAACTAGCCCAATATCACCTAGCTGGCCTGGTGCCTAAGATGGAACTGGAATTCACCATCTCCTGGTTTCTAGTCTGGTGCTTTAACCGCTACACTAACTGGTTTCCTCTTTTATACATTTATGAGCTGGATTTTACATCAATCAGGGCAGTCGTGTGTGAGCAAGCATTACTAATCTTCATCTAACAAGCACCTTTGACATGTTCTCAACAGTCCAGATGGTCCCACTGCTCCAAAGGGCTTGAAACTACTAATATGCCAGTATGTAATTTATTCTCCCATGGGAAATCATATTTATTCAGGACTTATTTACATATAAATATTGTATGTAAGATATAAGCAACAATCTTTCTTTTGGTTTCATTTTTTTCTGACCCACTTGGTTCCTCAGCATTTTTATACAGTTCTTTCTTCTGAAACAGCTAAAACATTTCCCCTGCACCTCCTGCCCAATAGGTAACAACTGGAAAATGAAGAGCGGCATAGGCGCATACAAGCCTACGTGGACAACCAAAGCGTGTTTCAGCGTGGGCAGGTGAGAGCACCACAGCCAGCCACAAGTCCCCCAAGAACGAGTAGGTGAACAGAAGAATCTCAATGACCAGATGCGCCGGTCAGCTAGAGAGTTGATGTCACGACACCTAGGTCACGAGATCTTCCCACCGTTGCTGCCCCATTGAACCCACTGAACCACACCCTTGATGGCAACCGGAGGGGTCCACCAGCAACGGCAATGGCTACACGGCGGGCAGTGCCGCAAGATCTTTCCACTGTTATTGCCCCACGGAACCCGCCGAACCATACCACTGATGACAATCGGATGGATCCACCTGCAGCGCCAACGGCTCTGCAGCAGAACCAGCCGTCGCTCGGGGAAGAGATTGAAAGAGCTCGAGCCACACTAGAGTCTGTGCTGCGCCAACCAGAGGCAGCAAGAAGAATACCTCACTTAGCACACATAGGCGATTTAATCCCTCCTCTAGATCCTGAAGCTGAAATCCTACTCATGGTGGGAAGAGATGCCCCAGAATCCATTGGCTCTGATGAAAGAATCAAAGGTCTACTAGGAACCCCAGTAGCCATTAAGACGGAACTCGGATGGGCCATAGGAGGGATGGTTTGTGTTGATCAATTGCAAACCCCAACCCAGGTGAGCATCTCAAAAATCTCCATTCCCAGTAATGGAACAGCACCTCACCTAAAACCACACCTAGAACACTGCATGCTTGTGACAACCAAACCTGTTTTGGAAGCAACAGTGTTCCAGCCACACCTAGAACACTGCACGCTTGTGACAACCAAACCTGTTTTGGAAGCAGCAGTGTTCCAGATAAGCAAGAATTACAACAACTTAGCTTTGTCCATAGAGGACAAACAAGACAAACAATGTCTCCAAGACTGGGAGTCATGGAGCGTACTCCCAAGATGTCTCCAAAGCATGCAAGTGCAGTGCACGTATGTCTCCAGCTCACCCACCACAGTGCAGAAGAAAGAATTGTACGCTTCCTTAGATGTATCTATAAAGGTAAATGCAGCCTTAAGATGCATCACAGTCCACAGCGGGGAGAGCCACACTAACGTCGTCTTATTTGCAACCATAAGATACATCAGAGTCTACAACAGGGAGTGCTGCAATCTCAGTGTCTTCTTTGGAAAAGCGAGACTAACAATGCAAGAAGGCCACACCGTACCAAGGTTAGAGCTATGTGGTACCACTTTGGCTGTAAAATTCACCAACTCGACAGCGAAGACGTTGTGCCTTGAACTACAGTCTACCACCTTCTATGCAGACAGCAAGATGATGTCAAGCTACATCTGCAAACAAAGCAGCATTTCTACATCTATGTAAGCAACAGAGTGAAAAGGATTGAAACATCTTTAAGCCTTGAACAATGGCAACATGTGCCAACAAATAAGAACTTTGTTAACCAAGTGAAGTGGCCCAATCTTGCCACACAGTTAACAGAATTGATCTGGCTAGAAAGTCTTGAGTTCTTGGCCTGTCCAAACAGACAGATGCCACAGAGACCAAAACGTTATGCACTTCTAGCTTCAGATCAAAGTGCCAACCTTCAACCTCAGACACCCAGTAAACGTCAACCAATCCGCTTCAAAACCCTGTCTAAGTGGAGACACCTGAAATTAGGCATAGTTTTGATTGTCTTGATCACTTGTCTCAGCACCCCAAGAATTAGTCTTGTGGGAGCCTGCAAGGACTTACTGACTATTGAAGATATTTGTCATGATCCGATGATTGACAAATGTCTGAAGGCCAAAAATTGCCTTCCCCATGCATCTCACAGGGGTGAAGTGTGCATAGACGAAGCGTGGGAGCACATGATTGGTGCACCCCATGAAATCATGGACTCTATGTTGTCAAAGACACCCACACCCACACATGAAGTCCTCACTAAGCTGATGACAACAGTAGCAGCCATCTTCAATACTCCATTGGTGGTTCCAGACCCTTCAGTTCTTAAGTATCCTGAGTCTTCTGCAGCAGCTGTTTTTCCTGATTCTTCGGTTCCAGCTGTTGTTCCTGTTTCTTCACTTCCAGCTGTTCCTGAGTTTCCCACTCCAGCTGTTCCTGAGTTTCCAGATGTTCCTGATCCTGATTCTTCAGCCCCAGCTGTTCCTGTGTTTCCAGGTTCTTCCGTTCCTGAGTATCCTGTGAATCCAGTTCCCTTTGTTCCTGAGAAATTTTGGGTTCCAGTTTTCCAGTTCCAGATTTGGTTCCAGTTTCCTTTACAGGAAGAATACCTTGTCTCACTGGGAGACAGGAACGCATACCAGAACTATTGGCCCATGGGACTTACGCACCGGGTCCACCTGCTTGATGAACTAGTTTGCCCAGCTGAGGTCCAGATCGTGAAGCCACGTGAGTCAGGTCGTGACTCAAAGACTCTTGTACCAGGCTGATCACCGATTTGGTCCTGTTGCTGATGAAGACTGAACCAGAAGATCTAACCTCAAATTATGTATTGTCTTTATGCATTGTTTGATGTAACACTTGCTTGTTTTTTTTTCATAATTGTGCATGTTTTATATTTACTTTATAATTATGCATGTTTCATACCAAGTTTTTACCTACTTAGTCACAAGTTAGTTAACACTGAGTACTGTATGCCTTAATGCTATGTTTTTTTGCTCTTTCAGTTAGTAAGTAGTGGAAATATAAATTTCCAAGTGGGGAGTGTTCTGAATCATATAGCTCTATGTAATCTCGTATAGCTCTATGTAACCCTAACTAATGAGCATGTATCAGTATGTTAGAACAGTGGTTCTCAACCTGTGGGTCGGGACCCCATTTGGGGTCGAACGACCATTTCACGGGGGTCGCCAAACAATGCAGTCCGCCATTTTTTCCCCCTTTTCCTTAGCTGTGCTACTCCCTTTTATTCTATTGGCTTTTGAAAGCCAATAGAATAGACTCTCTTGAATAGAGTCTAATTCTATTGGCTTTCAAAAGCCAATAGGAATTGTCCAGGCTGTCTCTGCCCTGCTGAGCCCGCCAAAAGTCCCATTCTGCAAACAGTGCTGCACCAGTTGAGTAGTCCTCGACTTACGACCGGTTGAGTAGTCCTCGACTTACAACCGGTTGGGGGTCGCGGCATTAAAAAGGTTGAGAACCGCTGTGTTAGAATATCTGTCAGTGGGAGGAGTTTCTAAAGGGCATTGGGAGACTTCCTGGACACAAGCCAGATTGGAATGTCTTTGTCTGAATGAAGCATGGGCCATCAGATGTCACCCAATGAGTCTGCGCCGTTATAAAGATGATATGGAAGAGAGCATCATTCTTTTACCTGTAGGAATGGACAAAAGATGTATTTTCCAGAAGTAACAACCACAGCACGAATGCAAGTAATCTTTCTGATTGAAATATATTTTTTTGTTATGAAATCATTCTTATTGAGTTATCTATCTGACTTGATTTAAAAGAAGGCATTTTTAACTCAGAGTCAGAATAGGATTCTTTTTTCCTAATAAGTTGAGCAATTGAAGCAATACATTTCAAGAAATGGGGAAGAGGACTGCAATACGGATGCAATAAATTTTGTTTCTCTTCTTTATGCTTTTCACACAATGTTTCATAATATCTAAATGGCCCCACTTAGGTGCTGGTTCTACCTACTGAAAAGCTGAAGAACTCTAGAATCAGTTGAAGTAGCTCATTCTAGACTATGGGATCAATATCATGGACTGTCAAGGCCAGCAGTAACTTAATTACCTTGAAACATTTCATTTAATTGCACAGATAAGGGGAAGAGCTAGTAGGCACAATTATGCAAGCTCTCTGCTGATTAGATTTACCAGAGTTTTCAGAAAGTTAAAAGCAGCCGTGTAGGTTTGAAGACACATCCATTTCTATTACACCATTTTCTGATATAAACCAAGAATCATTCCCCTTGAGCTATGATTTGTTCTATGGAAAAACAAAACAAAATATGCACTGCCTTCTTCAAAGTAGTACCTACACGATGCATTCCAAGACAGTATGGGTTGCAAATTATGGGCATTGCAGTCTCAACATCAGCTTGGAGAAGGCTATAGCAGTAGCCTTTATCTTCAATTAATGAAAAAGAGGAGTAAAAAGATTCACTTCCTAGGAGATTCTGATTGAAATGGTAATGATAACACTACATAGAGCGCTCTGCAAATGTAAAACGCTCTAAAGTACATGACAGAACTAGTTGATCTTCTGGTTATATAACAAAGAAAATCCCAGCAATGCTTCAAGTCAAGCAGAAAAACAATCCTGGAACCAAACCGGTTACTTGCTATGTTTGGATTACAGGATTGCCCCCCCCCCCAAAATGTTATCCATCCTGGTATAAGCTAATATTATTTTAATTATTGATTGCAGTAGAGTGCATGATTTACAAATGGATGGATGGTGATGGCAAGGAAAATTTTCCCAAACTGAGTGGAGAGCTAAGATATGGTTGGATTCTTAGATTCTTAATTTCATGCGATGCTGGTGTCTCTTCTCTTCAGAAGAGCTTTTCCTTTGTCACACAGTGGCAAATATTCTTTGGACCATAGCCAAGTAGTTAACTCTTAATTTTATTGTCTAATTAATAGACGGCTAGTTAAAGAGCTACTGAGATGGACTTTGTCCTGCACATATAGCAAAGTCTTCATTCCTTGTCTCTGAGTCTCGACACAGAGAGCTTAAATATTTCTTGATTGTAATGGACAAAACACTGAATGGGTAAATGTGAGAATAAATAATCCCCCCCTTTTTTTCTCTGTCAATTCCCCTGTGAATACCCCATCTTATTTTTCCACTTAAACTTGTCTTACATAGTCAATTTCTTTAATCTCAGTAATACTATGAAACCCTTTAATATTTCAGGATGGTGAGCATTTTGTTCTGGCCAACTTATTGAAAGGCTTGTCAGCTATCCCAGCTATCCCAGTCCCTCTATTAATTCATTACTCATCTCTCTACTCATTAATTCAGAGCTGGATGCCCAATGATGAGAGAAAGTGGTAAATGCAATTCAGCTAAGGAAGGGTTCAGATTTCCTGTCTCTGCATAGTTAGGATTGATTTTCTTCTCACGCGGGTGCTTAATTCGCCAGTCTTGTCTGTTTACCTTGTTCTGTGCCATATTTTAATTAAGATGGAGACCATGTGTTTTTGACACTCCCCTCATCCTTCTGCTTATGCAAGGAATATCAGTAAGAGAAATGTTGAAGTGATAGCTCAACGTAGCTGCTTTTGGGGTACAGGATTAGGCCATATTTCATTCAAAAGACTAACGCAGATTATATGGCTTCACAGAGGGCAGCAAGATTGGTGGAATGATTGAGATTCCTGGGCTAGAATCCAGGTGACTATGAGTTCTAGTCCTGTCTTGGGCAGAAAGCCAAAGAAGTGACCTTGGACCAGTCTCTCTCTCTCAGCAGGCAATGGTAAGCCACTTCTGAAAAAGATTGCCCAGAAAACTATATGGCCTTGTCCACACAGTCGCTAGTAATCAAAAGTGATTTGAAGGCACACACACACACACACACACACACACACACACACACACACATCACCAGAAACTACCCCAGTAACCTGACCATTTTTGCACAATTTAATAGGATTAGCTAATATTCCTCTAGATCAGAACAAGAATAGAATGGAATGGAATGGAACGGAACGGAACGGAATGGAGCTGGAAGGGACCTTGGAGTTTCTAGTTTAGCCCCCTGCTCAAGCAGGAGAACCTATACTATTTCAGACAAGTGACTGTCTAGTCTCTTCTTAAAAACCTCCAGTGATGAAGCACCCACAATGTCTGGGGGCAAGCTGTTCCACTGGTTAATTGTCCTCACTGTTAGGAACTTTCTCCTCAATTCCAGGTTGCTTCTCTCTTTGTTCAGTTTCCAACCATTGTTTCTTGTCTTGCCCTCTGGTGTTTTGGAGAATAGTTTGATGCCCTCTTCTTTGTGGCAGCCCCTTAAATACTGGAATACTGCTATCATGTCACCCCTGTTTCTTCTTTTCTTTAGACTAGCCAAACTCAAGTCCTGCAGCCATTCTTCATATGTTTTAGTCTCCAGGCCTTTGATCATCTTAGTTGCTCTTCTCTGAACTTTTTCCAAGGTCTCAACATCTTTTTTTTTTTAGTATGGTGACCAAAATTGGTTGCAGTATTCCAGGTGTGGTCTCACTAGGGTTTTATAAAGCGATACTAATACTTTGTGTGATCTTGATTCTATGCCTCTGTTTATACAACTCAGGATTGTATAACTACTGCATACTGCTGGCTCATAGTCAAGTGATCTCACAATTACTGTTTTTGAGCCAGGTCTCACCTAGTCTGTACCTATTTATTTTTCCTGCCTAAATGTAAAACTTTGCTTTTCCTCACATTAAAATTCATTTTGTTGGATAGGGCCCATTGTTCAAATTTGTCAAGATCTTTTTGGATCCTGAGCTTGTCTTCTGGGGTGTTGGCTATTCCTGCCAGTTTAGTGTCATCTGCAAATTTGATGAGTTCCCCTTCTATTCCCTCATCTAAGTCATTTATGAAGATATTGAAGTCTACTGGGCCTAAGACAGAGCCTTGTAGTACCCCACTGCTTATTTCTCTCCATGTGGATGTAGTACCATTGAGGACTATTCACCGAGTAGGGTTCGTCAGTCAGCTACAGATCCATCTGGTGGTAGTGTTGTCTATCCCACCTTTTTCTAGCTTACTAAGCAGCAGGTTGTGGTCTACTTTGTCAAATGCCTTACTGAAATCTAAGTATACTATGTCCACAGCGTTTCACTGGTCTATTAATTTAATCACTTTATCTAAGAATGAAATAAGATTAGTTTGGCATGATCTGTTTTTGACAAACCCGTGCTGGCTACTGGTTATAACTTTATTTGCTCCTAATTGTTTGCAGATCTGTTTTTTGATTATCTTTTCCAGGATCTTCCTGGGTATTGATTCCCAGTACAGAGCTAGTTTACTTAATCAAGAAATTCCTTAACATGGAGAAATCAGATTTAGCCATAGTCAAAGATATACAAGTAACACAAATGCCCAACCTTTTTTGATGAATGTGTCAAGGTTTATGTAAGTTGTTAGTAGGTTACAGCTAATGAGGCAGAATCTTTTCTACACACTATGGAAGAGCAATGCCAAGAAATAAGAGTTTGAATCAGACATTTAAGTTCTCTGGTTTCATGGTAGAAGCCCCAGCATAACATTCGGAAAACATACCTTCTGCTAAGCTCAGACTGGATCCCTAAAACAAGGGGAAGGATGTTATTGGCTTTAAACTATTTCAAGGTTATTTCCGGATTTCAGGGTAGATCTCTGGTCTGGATTAGGCAATTTGGCCAAACGAGTATGGATTTGTCTAGATCAATATACAGAGTGAGATCAAGGTATGAATTATAAAGTGTAATTGTCTAAAACTTTACATATGGATTAGAGAGGGTTTAAACTATTCATCATCAGCAGAGAGATATTTTTTTTACAATTATTATTAAGCTATATACATTTCCAAATGGCAAAGCAATGTTATTTCTTCGTGTTGTTTGAAATAGCCATAGCACATCTACAACAAAACCATTCTGCAACTGTAAATACATAGACTCCTGTGTTGATTTCTACATCTTTATGTATGTATCTACCCTTTCTAGGAGCGACATATTTGTGAAGAAATATCACCAGGCCCACTGCCAAGGGTGGATGAAGATAAGGAATTCAGCAGTCATAGGGAGTAAGATGGCTGTGCCAACTGAAGAAAAATAGCTTCTTTAGAAATATATAACTGTGGCAGAATGCCTGCTCATTTGCCCACAGCCATAAAATGACTAAAATATACTTTCTTTGGAGCTTGGGAGAAAGTATCTTCTATCAAATGGGTGTGCAAATCAATTGCACTCTACATGACAATCTGTGTTTTGATCATTTCCATTTTCTCTTTTGAATTACCAGCCAATCCTGGTGACACAATTGTTTGAACTGCTACTTTTAAAACAGATTTTGCCCATATTCCACAATTCCTCCAGAACAGATATCTTATTCCTTTCTTTTGGAGAAAAAAACTACCATGACCATTTCACCATCCCACAATCACATGGAGATGTCTCTATGGCAAATACCTCCCCAGTCTGTAGTGGGTGGGGCTTTTCCACAGTACTGCAAGCCAATTATACTGGCTGGTCCTCTGCATACATATATCTTCTGCTGTTTAAGAAAGTAAAGCCACAGAGTTCATGAGTCACAATCTTGAAAGAAGAAAATTTCTTTTACATTGGAAATCTTCTCCAAGAAGTCTGGTTGCTAAAGAGAGACTGACAAGAAACATCACAGATTCAAGTGTGACAAATAAAAACAGAAAGGTAAGGTAAGGGCTGGTGCAGGTAGGTTGGTACACGTGATAAATTCTCTTAATGTTTAATTGGAAATAAACTTCACCAGTAAAACAAATAATGTCTTTTGACTTAATTTTGGTCAGAGCAAACTTTCAGTTCCTACATTGGTTTGCTTATAAGTGAAAACCGATTTGATTTATTTTGGTTCTGATTAAAATTAGTTTATGAAATTGTTGAATTATTATAATCATAATTATTAAAATTCAGAGGAGGTCATATTACACAATGGACGATGCGTCAATTGTTGATGAAAGTTAGAAAGGATTATCAGATGGGTGATGATGTGTTGGGAGATATAAGTTGACTCGCCACAGGTTATCTATTCTAAGATGACTGTGCTGAGATACTTTCTGAAATACAGATCCCTACAGGCTGCCCTATATGTATTGATTCCCTGGTCCTTACATACCACTGTTGCAGTTTTGTGTAAACATCAGTTAGCAAATTAGTTATCCTGCAACTCTGTTCCTACGTTTTTCCCACAAAGCTTTGGAAAAACTATCATTACTAAAAAGGAGGGACAATCAGTTTCACCCAGTAATAGTCTTATGAAAGTGTGAACTTTCAAGACCATATAATTTATTATATGACTCAACAGCCAATAGCTCCAGTTACAGATTGACAAGCTTTGGTATGTTGTCTAAAGTCCTTTCCAAGGTGATAAATATGCTTGTTACTACATTTTCTCCTCCTTTAGAAAGTCTGATTTTGCTTTGTACAAACATGGGAAGCAACTCTGAAGACCCTTCTCATTGTAAGGTAAATTTAAAGGATAACATTGTTCTTTCTCAAACATATTAAGCACCATTTAAAACAAAGAAGGTGATAGGCTATTTTTATTGACTGTTAACAGAGGAACAAACAGCAACAGACTGCCATAAAGCCATGCTTGACATATTTTCATAGGCATTTCCGTATAGTGTTAATCTATCTGCATATAAAGATATATAGACAATTTGACATTATGTAATTTCTAATGTCACTTTTTCTAGCTGGATAAATTATTTCTCAGTATGTTTGGTGTCATTTAAATGCATGGATTATTCGCAGATTGATTGGGCAGATACCAAATTCATTGCAGAATCCAGGATAGTTGTTTGTACATAGTATACCTAATTGCGATCTTGGAAGAGTAAATTGGAGATATCTAGCTCTGTACTCATACTTCTTTACGTGAAATGCTTAGAGGAATCCGTGAGGAATGACTCAAAGTTGTTGTGTGTTGAAGTTGAATTTCATGTTCATAGTGGATTCTTTAGTTGTTGTGTAGCACTAGAATTTAGATCACAGAGGATGTAATTCTTGAATGTTCAGCAAGTCTCCCTGTATTTATTTTTCTATTGGTTTTATATTGTGGATGTGGCTTGATCTTATTGTTTATTTCCTTATTTATTAGATTTTTACTGCCTTTATTTTTGTCAACTAATGGTGGTGTTCATACTCAGTGCTCATTCCTCCCATTTTCCACAACAGCCCTTAGAGATGGGTTGGGCTGAGAGAGAATGACTGGCCCAAAGTCACCCAGCCAGCTTTCATGCCTAAGGCAGGACTAGAACTCACACGTTTCTGATTTCTAGCCAAGGTTTTTAGCTACTAAGCCAAACAGGCTCTATGGTCTTCTGCAATGGACAACTGGATGGAATTATTTATAAGAATTTGGGATTTCTCGCATAAACTCTGGAAGTTGTAGTAAAAAAATATACCATCACCAAAAATATTAAAGTTCATGGTTGGATAAGGCAGAACACAATTCTAAATGCAGCATGATTAATACAGCCAGTTTTGCTGCCCACATCTGCCTCCCAGATCCTGTTTGCATCTCTCATAAGTTCTCCTTTCAGTTACGATGGAGGCAATCCTCAGAAATCCCAGCCAACTCTAAAAGCTGTAAAACTGGTTTTTTTTTAATATGTTCAGCATATTCCAGGTTGAGGAAAGCCATTTTTGAGAATTTAGGAGTTCCTCCATGACTACACTCTACAGAATCTGACTGTGGTCATACTCTCTTTCATTTTCAGCAAAAAGCAGCAAATGGGAATTATGTTGCTCCACCAGTCTCCGAGGAGCAGAAGAATTTTGATATGCTCTATACAATCGAAGATGCGCCTCCATGGTATCTTTGCATCCTCCTGGGATTTCAGGTATAATAAACTGGGTTAGCTCCTTCCAGGCTCTTTTGCTGTTCTCCCTGGCTTGTTTAAATTAACAAATATTTGGCATGGTGATTGTTTCTCCGCCCACAATAACAAACTGATTCTTTACAAGTATTTAGATGTTACTATGTGTGTTCCTTCATTAATGGTGCTATTGTTGAAAAGGTACAAGACGTACCTTGACTATGAATCTTATACTGAATGGTGATTGCATCTTACTTCTATTGTTCTTTTATCTCTGCAATATTAGCTTGTATAGAACTTTGCACCCCAATCACATCTTGGGACTATGCTTCCGTACGTTTATTTCAGATGCATTTTTTAAAAAATTGAAAAATTTATAGTGAGAAGGAAAATATGCTGTGTCACTCTTACAAAGCTACCAAGACTAGGATCTCATCTGTTGGCTCAGTGCTAATAATGGATCTATAACAACAATGAACCCAACTTTGTGTGCCCCATTCTCTACATAGGACAGGGGATTCCTGGTGGTCTGTGTCCCAAATAAGTCATGTATAATTAGAGAGGAGGGGGAGGGAAACACTGAACTAAGCATGGTGTGATATTTGTGTTGCTTGCAGATGGTGGCAGTTGATATGCAGAGTCCAGCTTTTGTTTAATCTGAATCAGGATCAATCAAAACATTTCATTTTCGGTTTTGATTTTGCTGAAGAGTAGCTGACCTGAAACACTGATTAATTGTTCTAATTTCTCCTTCGTTCTAGGTTGGTTCATTCCTTGATTAGTTTCCATCCATTGCTTCTTGTCCTGTTTTCAGGTGCTTTGGGGAATAGGTTGACCTCCTCTTCTTTGTGGCAGCCCCTTAGATATTGGAACACTGCTATCATGCCATTTTATTACAATAGGAGCAAAAAGTGACTGTTGGAAAGGCATTTGGGCATTAAAAAAAAACATTCTTGCCTCTTTTAGTTTTTTTAAAAAAAGATTTCAACAAAGCTCAGAATATGCCAAACATGATTAATCCTCTGTTTTTGCATGTCATTGCCCCCATTTTGCCTACACTCTTACAGCCCTGGCCACTGAATTCACAGATTAAAGAAAGGTCACAGAACTCTCAGGAAATGTCTTTGACTACTATTTTACAGGGAGAGGATAAGCCCTATTTGGAGAAATTACGATCTGTATTAGAACAACAGGTCATGGCTTCAGTTGTAAGAATTTTAGCATTTCTACATAACCAATAAATCCCAAAGTGGTGATGTCTGTATGTCAGTTTGGAGACATCATCTAATCTTATGCTCATTTGACACATCCTCCACCCTAATCTTTCTTCCAGCACTACTTGACGTGTTTCAGTGGCACCATCGCTGTTCCCTTCCTTCTGGCAGAATCTCTCTGTGTAGGGAAGGACCAGTACACCATCAGTCAACTGATTGGCACCATCTTCAGTTGTGTGGGGATCACCACCCTCATCCAAAGCATTGTGGGCATTAGGTATGCTTCAACTGGCTTGATCCTTGGTGAATGTAACAGAGAAGACTGCAGTGAGAGGGCAGCTGTTAAGATATTTAAATTTAGTAGCTGGAATAGTGGGGTTGTACAATGAGCCAGAACATGCAGTTATAATTGATTGGTTGGAGAGTGCTGGCTCCTGCGTGAGGCAATCTGTGCTGTGATTGGTTGCTGCGGGTGTGGAGAGGGAGTTTCCCTTTTTTCCCGCCTTTTTTTTCTGTGTGCCCTGTTTGCTCTGTGATTTACCTCATGATGCCCCCATTTGCCTGACCACCTTGTTTGCTGTAAATATAGATGTAAAATATATTTATTTATATAAAACTACAAGTTCATGTCAGCCTGACTTCATTTGGACACCTGCTGCGCAATTCCCTGACAGCAGCACTGAATCCATGCACTGTTGTTTCCCCTCCCCCCTTCTGTAAGGCAGGCTTCCTCTGTTTCAAGCCAGTGCCCTGGCATTCCTGGTTCCTGCCAAATCCATCTTGGCCCTGGAAAAATGGAAATGTCCTCCAGAAGGTAACTGAAACTTGGATAGCCTATAAATTGAGAGGAGCTAAAACAGAAATATCTTCAGAAGCCTTTCACTGAGTGAAGGAAATCAGTAGTTTTTCAAATGGTCATACAGATAGTCCTTGACTTACAAATATTTGTTTAGTGACCATTCAAAGTTACAATGGCACTGAAAAAAAGTGACTTATGGCTGTTTTTCACATGATCGTTGCATGGTTACATGATCAAAGTTGTCCCGTGGCAACTAGTTTATATTTATAATGGTCGCAGTGTCCCAGGTGATCACTTTTTGTGACCTTCTGACAAGCAAAGTCAATGGGGAAGCCTGCTTCACTTAATAACCATGTCAAAAAAAGTCATAAAGTGGGGCAAAACTCATTTAACAACTGTCTTGCCTAGCAACAGAAATTTTGGGCTCAATTGTGGTCATAAGTCAAGGGCTAACTGTATACAGTATGTGATGTGATGTGATGTGACTATAAACAAGAACTATATATGGTATCCTCTGTGATACCATGCCTTGCAGTAAGAGGACTTAACAGTCGCCTGATTATGAAAAATTCTTGATTTTTTTTGTATTTGTTTTGAAGTAGCATCCCAGAAGTAAACTTGATAGTTCTTTCAATTTTGATGTGCAGAAATCTTTGTTGCCCCAAAAGATTAAATCAAAAAAGTATAGGGAAAAAATGGATATTTAAAAGAAAACAGCACTAGGAGTATTAAATGTGTGCTATAGGAATGAGGAAGTTGTCACACTGTTAGGACATAATGTGACATAAAACTATCTGCTTTAACTTTCCAGATGAAGATAAAGTTCAGGATAGAAACTTTGCTGAGATTGAGGTGTACAGCATCCTCTTTTGCATTGATTGGGTGAATTTAGGCTCCAAAAATTGCTGAAAGCCAACAGGTTTATTTATAGAATTATATATAGGTCCCAGGCAGACCTCTGACAACTCACTTTTTCTAATGTCATACAGTAGTAGACCAGTGTTTCTCAGTCTTGGGAACTTTAAGATATGTGGACTCCTAGAATTTCCCAGCCAGATGTCCATGTATCTTAATGTTGTCAAGGCTGAGAAACACTGTAGTAGACAAATTGGTTGCCTTCCAGATTTTCTAATTAGAATTCCTAGAATTCTTTACCCTTGACTTTGGAAAGATAGCATGTAGGAGGTCTACAAAAGTTCAAAATACATACATTCAAAACCATCTTGGGGTCTGGATACAGACTTTTGGGGTTAAGTAATATTATGTAGAGTCTAAAAAGTAAGTAATTAGAAAGACATTAAGGGCATACAACCAAAGACATTAAGGACATACAATAAGAAAAAGCAATGCAGCTAGATTTAGTTCATACAAATCATTCACAAGCTTTCCATAGCTTTCTGTCTGTAGAATCCAACCTTGCATCCACCATGGTCGCACACTTTCCTATATTACTTTTCTCTTTTTTTAATTGTCATAAACTCCATTCAACAAAGACATTCTCTGTCTTCTTCTTCTCAGCCCATTCATTCAGTCTTACTTTATAAGTTAGGGTTGGAATTTGGTCCGTTCATAGCATTTCATTTACCCTAATCCCTCTGCTTTCCATTCAGTTTGCATTCAATTATCAGCCTCTTCATCTTGACCCAAGCTTTTCCTGTTTTACTATGCTTACTTCTTAAGGACCCTGTCCTCATTGCATTAAATTGATTTTGTTTCTCGTGGCATACCCGACTATCATTTCTATCTAACAAAATCAGGAGAAGCACACATTTATACACAACTTTTAAAAATGTTTATTCCTCAACACATACTACCTACCACCATAACATCAATAAATTGAATAGAGGGAGAAGAAATATATTGGCCCACGTTCACTATATGTCTGGGATTCAGGCTGTTCTGAAATAGATTTACCTTCCTCCGGAAAGAGAAAGTGTATTGTCTAATTGTGCACTTTAACCCTAATTTCTTGCTTAATTCATGCAGACCAAATCTACGGCAACTGGACATTACCACTAAACACTTCTCACATATGGCAACCAAGAATGAGAGAAGTAAGTTTGATCCCAGCCTTCCCAGGTGTACAACTAGCCACATTTTTCAGGATATCAATCATCAGTGGGAAATAGTGAACAGGAGGAACTCTTTATAGCCTTCAGAGGTTTTTTTTATGGCTGGAAACCCCCACATCTTCTGTTTATAAGTATAGTGTCAGGGTTCTGACAGATGTTACTCTTCAAAGAACTTCGAGGCATTGTTTACCTTAAGGAGTCTTTATTCAAATAACATGGCATCAGCACGTACATGGTCGAAGCCAAAATCTGAATTCTTCTGTTCTTGCTTTGACATACAGTCACCAGATGTTCTTTATTTTAAGGGACAAACCTTCAATCCCGAAAGCTGTCCTTTAGATTTATTTGATTTAGTTATTTATTTTCCTGGTTTTGCTCTTGAATTTTCCCTTGTAATACAAAGTTATAAACAAAAACATTTTACCGTACTTTCTGGCATATAAGACGATTTTCGCAAGCGTTAAACTCAGTGCCGAAGTCGGGGGTCGTCTTATACGCCGAGTCATCTTATATGCTGGAATATACGGTAATCCTTATGAACCTCTTTTAGATTTGCCTCTTTTTCAGGTTTGTCTTTTATTTATTCCAAGAAAATAGGATCATTGCACTTATAAGTAATTTTCCATACCCATCCAGGAAAGCAAGTATCAGATTTTAACTTTTTCTATTTCTTCTTTGTTAGCTAGATTGTATGTTAAGCAAGATGAAGCCATTAAAATGTACTATTTACTAAGACTTCAAATATGTCCCAAAGGTGCTTTTTGAAAAGGCAAGTGGACTTTGTTTTTCCTTGAAGACCTTTCGCTTCTCATTCAGGAAGCTTTTTCAGTTCTGATTGAACTGAAATCAGAATTGAAGAAGCTTCATGAATGAGAAGCGAAATGTTTTCAAGGAAAAACAAAGTTCAGTTGCCTTTTGAAAAAGCACCTCTGGGACAACCATGACCTGGACGACTGAGAATCTCCATAGAGAAGATTTCAAATAATTGCTTGAACTGTGTCCTACTATGAGATGTTGAGCTTTATTTAGTATGTTTTGGGGAGGAACTAAGGTATACAAGGTTAGGGTTAGGGTTAGGATTTAAGGTTAGGTGACCAAGAAGTTTCCTGGAAGTTTCTATTTTGCTTGGATTTTTTTTTTTTTTTGGCAGTGCAGGAACAGGGAGGAAACTTTGTTGGAAGGGACCAATACAAGTGTCAGGGAACTCCTATGTACCTCTCATCAAAATACCTTTCATGGCTGTCAGAGTGGATGAAGCTTAACATTTGGATTCTTTACAATCGGTGGGAGAAGTTAATTTGATTTTAAACAGATGCTTTGACTACTTTGAGGCATCCATTCATTCTTTAAATCCCCAAACCCTGATTCTCCAGGTTTAGAGTGCAACCCTTAAGGTGCTATGCACCTTATAGTTTTACATTTATTGCTCAAAGCTGGTTGGCAAGTAACTATACTGGGAGACTGCAGGACTCAGATATGGAGGCTCAGCTGGGAGGATTTATGTATCGTAAGTTCAGGATTTGCTATGCTAGGGATTAAGGTTGCAGTGAATAAGGGCAGGTTAGAACCCAATTTGTACAAAAATGTGTCTTTTATAAAGGGTTATAACCCAACCCAAACCAGCTGGGCACATAAATGTGAAAGACCAAGAAAGTTACATACATCTTTGCAAGAAAGCAAGCATTTTGTCCTAAACTATAGTTGCCAGCTATGCATTTCTCAAGCAGTGACAATGAAGAATATCATAAAATGCATGCATTCTTCTAAACATTTCTGTCTTTTTTAAAAGTAAGATGTTCATCTTACCATGGGGGTAGAGGAAGAGGATAACCAAGTGACTGTATTGGCTTCCTTAGTCTGTTAGCTCAGGTGCTGACAGTTTATAGCCAATACTGAAACATCTGTTTTCTCTTCCCACTTAGAGGTCTTCCTCTCTAAGGCTTCAGGAAATCAAGTCAATCTATGAAATGTCTAATCTCTTTAGATAGAGAACTACCCTTCCTAAATTAGGATTATTACAAATAATCTGAGGGAAGTATTTGCAATGCATCTTTGCCAATATAATTAATCCTTTTCCTGTTTCTATTCTAGATTCAAGGAGCTATCATCATTTCCAGCCTGGTGGAAGTGGCAATTGGATTGGTGGGCATTCCTGGGGCCTTACTCGGCTACATTGGGCCCCTGACAGTTACACCCACTGTCTCCTTAATAGGTCTCTCCGTCTTCCAAGCAGCAGGGGATAGAGCTGGATCACACTGGGGCATTGCCACATTGTAGGTGCTCCTTTTTCAGTACAGCAGATTTTCAGACTGATGCAAGAGTGGAGCAAAGCCTGTAGAGTTGCAGAACTACTGTAGTATCTCAGAGGAGTGAACTGCAGAGATACAAACTGGCCCGTTGGCCAGATGCTCTCTCATCTCCTCACTCAACTGCCAGACCAAGCCAAGTGAAGCAAAGAGTGAAGTTCTGGATGGTTGGCTACCAGTGGCTCAAATCTTCAGAAAGACTGTGCTTGTGTACACTTACGGGTGTAAGTGTGCATGATAAGTAGAATAGGACAGTGGCATGGTGAGAACATTATAAATCTCTTGATCTCTATTCCTAAGGGGTTTGTAGCTCTGCAGTTCTGCTATATGGTATGACCAAAGAAAGACCATATAATTTTACAAGTGATGGAATAAACCACATATGAGTGTTGGCGGCTGAAGTATCATAATTCACAGTTTGAAGGGTCATGAATTTACAAAGTGGATGTTATGAGCCTTTCAGTCACCACACTCATTCTATGTGATTCTCACTGGCTTCAGGGAAGTTTGTTTTAGGGACCTAAATTGGAACCTTGCATTTTATACTCATCCATTGGCTCACTGTGGTTCTGTCACTCTAGACAGGCAAGGGAGCAAGGGCTGAAAGAATATGTTGTGGAAAGAAGCACTGAACTTTTCTTGGTGAGACTGTTGACAATTATCTGAGCTCAGTTCAAGTACAACCGATACATTTTTCATATATTTGCTCTGACCTCAGCAGGTCTCAGCTGAATGCTGCTGGACTTGGAGTCTCCAGGCAACAATACTCCAAGTCTGGTGACAGCCTTGCCCATGGATGCTGAGTGATGAGTGATGAGCACAGTCAGAAGATGAAAGCAGATTCTAAACCAGCCATCCAAAACCCTGGCTGTGCTGAACCTCAACTCTCATGATTCTCAGCTAGTATGCCTGTTAGCCAAGATTAGATTCACCTATGGAAAAGGTCATCTAGTCATTAGATGCAAATTCAGAAAGAAGTTATGTTAAGGTTTACACACTGTCTCAGTTTTAGGACTTGGTGGTGGGAGGGAATGAAGTACTTTTGTGAAATTATTCAGCATAAATCAGAAAATCAGATCAAATGCTCTCTGAAGAGGTTAACCTAGGGTAGGGGTAGGCATCCTTGGCTCTTTTATGACTTGTGGACTTCAATTCCCAGAATTTCTGAGCCAGCATGACTGGCTCAGGAATTCTGGGAGTTGAAGTCCACGAGTCATAAAAGAGCCAAGGTTGCCTACCCCTGATCTAGGCCATATGAGGGCCAGTTCATGCGACAGACTGCTGATCCAACTGGTGGTTTATTAAAATTGCAGAACTGCCTTTTTTTTAAAAAAAATCTGAATGCCCTCCAAATCATTTTGGACAACAACTCCCAAGAGTTTTAAAAAGCATAGCTGCTGTTCTGCTATCCAGAATTTGGAGAGTTGTAGCCTAATATAACTTGTGTATCAGATTTGTGTAAGGAAATGCCTAGATAATGGTAAATTCATGATAAATAACTCCCTAGATATAATCCAATAAATCCAATTTGAAATCATATGAATAGATCCCAGGATTTCTGCATCAAATTGCTCCTAATCTGTTCACTCATGTCTTTTCTCTCCTTTGTACAGGTCTATTTTTTTAATTGTTCTATTTGCTCAATACCTACGAAATGTTTCCTTTCTCCTTCCTGGTTATAAATATGGGAAAGGCTGCATTTTGATCCGGATACAGATCTTCAAGATGTTTCCAGTAAGGAGATTGTCATTTGTTCATCATTTTGGTGTGGGTACATTTTGTGTGGCCCTCACAATTTGGTCAGAATTTGCTGATTTTTATCCTGCCATGTCTCCCAGCTGCATCAGTTAGCATGAAACAGCTTATTCTTTACCTGCACAGAGGGTTACTTTGAGAAAGAGTAAATAATCCATTCACATGTGTACTCTCTCTTATCCATGATGAAAGGTCAATGGACACAGAAACTTCCCATGCACCAAGAAGGCAAAATGGGACAAAGGAGAGATTAGAAGTAAATTAAAACTAAAAATAACAAGGAGAGGGGGATTTTAAAAGCTTTTGCAAATCAGTTGTATACATTTGTTTGATTTTGGTTGAAATACTCAAATCTGCATACTTGAATATTTGAAATTTTCAATCTGCAATTCTAGACAATGCTGCAGGAATAAAGCTTCCCTAGCTCTATGAGATTTATTTGCAGTAAATACTCCCAGGACTGGATTACAGGTGGTCCACAGACATCTTGAAAGTGAAAACTAGGCAGAGCAGCACAGAGTAGCTGGACAATAGTTTAGACCTGTGCTCTTTTCCTACAGCTGCTTCCTGTCTTCCGACTTTCTTTCAGTGTGGATGTATAGCTGGGAGATTATGACCTTCTACCTTTCTGTATCTCCTCTTCAGATCATACTAGCCATTTTGGTGGTCTGGCTGCTTTGTTACATTCTGACAGTGACAGATGTGTTTCCTCGGGATGCCAATGCCTATGGATTCAAGGCCAGAACAGATGCTAGAGGAGAAATCATGTCCATAGCACCTTGGTTCCGCTTTCCCTACCCCTGTGAGTTGGCCTCACAGCTCTCTTCGCCTCACATCAGTCTTGGGAGGGGGCAATGTAATATGCATCCACATGACATGCTAAGCCCCACAAGATTGCACTGGCAACAGGTCTGATGCCCTCGTATCTCCGATCCCACCTTACCTGTTATTCTTTCTCTTTTATTTGCCTGTTTCATGAGAATGGGCAAGATCGTCCTTCTTTTATCCCATTCTGCTCCTACATGCTCCATTTCCATGGAAAAGATCTCCCTCCCCTGGGCTGATATGAGTTTGACTTTGAACGCTGTGTGTGAACTCAATCACGTGCAAACCATACTTTATGGCTTGGTGTGGGAGCATGAACACAGCCAGCTGCGGCTTATTCAGCCAGTGATGGAACTGCTGCCTTTGGTGTGCTAAGGCCTTTTCTGCAACAAGGCCCTTCTAGGAACAGGCTGAATGCCAGACTACATTCTCCTGAGAGAGCCTTATGTCCCAAAACCTCCATCACCACCTGCATCCCAAGACTTGAATTACACATGGGAGTTGGTGGCCTGGAGGAAAAAAAAAGGGGGGGGGGTTTCTCTCATCTCTTCTACCCTTCAATGCTCCCATTTGCCTTCCAAAATGACAGTTGGCAAACCATGTATCTACATTTTTACCTCCACTCCTTTGCTCTTTACATTCCATCCTAACATGGATGCTAGGAGAAAAATAAATAAATAAATTTGGAGATTTTAAAAAAACATCCCCCCCAAAGCCATTTCTTTCAGCTGGAACTCAGCAGCTTTAAGAAGTGTGGACTGGAACTGAATTCCACAGGCTGGGAGTTGCAGTCCACACATCATAAAGCTGCTGAAGTTGAGAAACACTGAGCCAGAAAGTCACAAAAATCTTAGGGTGGAACCCCAAGGTAGAACCCCAAGAGCGCTTAGGGTAGAACCCCAAAATGTTCTACCGTTACCCCTTGTACTCTGGGAATGTTTCAGACTGTGCTTCACCCTGCAGGCAGTTTTAAGTATGGCTTAATTTGTCAGAGAATTCATACGGGCTGGTGTGAACGTGTGATTGAAAGAGGCACACTCAAAGACAGAAGAATCTGGGCATCATGATTTTTATTCATTGGACTTCAGTCTTTGCTCCTCCTGAAGAAAGCAACATTTTACAGCCCAGCTGATATTTGTTGTGTTGTCTGTTTTCCCAGGTCAGTGGGGGATCCCCACCGTGACTGCGGCTGCTGTGCTGGGAATGTTCAGTGCTACGTTATCTGGCATCATTGAGTCCATTGGAGATTATTATGCCTGTGCCCGACTTGCAGGCGCTCCCCCGCCACCTGTGCATGCCATCAATAGGTAGGGTGCATCCAGCTTAGAGGGAGTCTATATTTTTTAAAAAATGTCTGTTCTGTTTTTCACTGATAAAGGTAATATTTTAAGCACATTTTTATGAAAGCGGCGGGGGATGATACTTCAGTAGCTAAAGGTTCTTAGAAAAAATGGTTTCTCATTTTGTGATGACAAAGGTTAGAAGGGGGGGAAATGTCAATTTTTGGTACACTTCAAATGCTGATTTCTGTACACATTTAAGATTTTCGAGATTTTTTTTTTTGGCTATGGCAGCACACTGCCTCATTAACATATTCATGAGACCTTCCCTTTATCATACCCTGCCCAATCCAGGGAGATCCCTGTACAACGTTTTCTTGACTGTGGAAAATGTGGGTCATGTTACCACCATCATTCCAAGGTATAGAATTTCCACCATGTTTGCCTCTGGATCGATCTTTGGGTGACATTTTAGGGGATTTAATTCTTGCAGTGCCTCATCTCTTCCCATTTCTCGTGCACAGTTCATTCTGACATTCACACTGTATCCCACAATGTGGGATAGGACAGCTTTGCTGGCTGGCTCATTTTACTGATTAAAGTTTGAGACCTACTCAGCATCAGTGTGTGTGGTACGGATAAGCCTTGAAACCCTTTAATAGCAACCGCTTCCTGGCATTTTCTCAGGCTGCTTTATATATTGTATTACATAACAACTTCACTTAGTCTCTGAATTAATTTGTTTTCTTAGTACGCCGACTACTTGAACTGTAAACATTTAAGCAGGCTGGGTTTACAGGATTTACTAAGTCAGCCATCAAAACAAACAATTTCCCCACTTTGCTGCTAGACTAGAATAAAAGGGCTTACAATATTGTGCAAATACAGCTGTGAGGCTTGCAACTGACCTGGTCAAGGTTGTCATGTGAGCATAACCACCAGCACAGACCAGTAGGTCAAAGCGGCTGTTCCTTGGAACAGCTTCAAGAGACCATATTTGTTTCACTGCCGAAAGCAAAATACGGTTAACTGCTCCCTTCTTAAGAAAGAGGCCATCAATACTTGAAGTCTAACTTTAGATTTAAAATGTGTCTCATGGGTTTCTTTTGAAAATCTTTCAGGGAGTCAAGAGGCAACGTGTACATTAGTCTCGCCTATACCACACATCACCTCAGGCTGCTTCACAGATTGGCTGGAAAGTTTTAACTTAAGCTTTCCTCTAGGTACAGTGTTTCCCAAACTTGACAATTTTAAGGCATGTGGACTTCAACTCCCAGAATTCCACAGCCAGCAATGCTGGCTGTGGAATTCTGGGAGTTGAAGTCCACATGCCTTAAAATTGTCAAGTTTGGGAAACACTGCTCTAGGACCAACCCAGTGAGGCCTTTTTCTTTTTAAAGTGCACACACACAAGGTGGTGCCCTTACATCCAAAACTGAGAACGCTCAAAACTGTGGGTGTATGAAACTCCAATGGATTTTTTTGTGGCATGAGCAGAGGGGGAATATTGCCCCAGGAAGACTGAGCCATCAGGCCAAAAGAATTTAGGAATATATCTAGTCAGGGAACCTATTATCTCCGTGAGTACCTGTCGGTGGGCAGTAAGTCTGTATGGTTCTGTGGGCTCGACTCCTCTGATATTTCCAGTAACTCATGATGTGGCAGCTACCTACATATGACATCCCCAAGAGCTATAACCAGCAGGAGGAAGTATCACAAATGTTATATTGGGTGGGGCAAGACAGGATTTGCTCATTTATTTATTTATGAGTCTTATATACCGCTTTAAGTGCAAGCACTCTCTAAGCGGTGTACACCAGTAAGCAATGTATATATATATTTACATTGCCCCCAACAATCTGGGTCCTCATTTTACCTACCCCGGAAGGATGGAAGGCTGAGTCAACCCTGAGCCGGTGAGATTTGAACCGCTGACCTGCTGAACACAGTCAGCTAAAGTGGCCTGCAGTACTGCACTCTAACTGCTGCGCCACCTCGGCTCTTACATCTAATTTATTTATTTTTTAAATAAATAAATAAATTAGATGGCTTTGGCCTGCCAAGGTCAGGGAATAGGATGAACTATGGTGCTGATGGGAATGCGAAGCGCCACAAATCACCAGACAGCCATATCTGCGTACGATGGACCGTCATCTACTTGTTAATTCTAATTTTTGGAAGTTATTCCTTTAAACTATTTGACAAGATTTTCATATAATTTGCTGAGTATCCATCAGCTGAAATGCATCACCCTAACATTGCTAGGAGAGAGACCAGGAACACCTAACACCACCCTGAAGACCCTTCTTCTTCTTCTTCTTTCTTCTCAGAGGCATTTTTACAGAGGGAATCTGTTGCATCATTGCTGGGTTGCTAGGCACTGGCAACGGTTCTACTTCCTCCAGCCCCAACATTGGAGTCTTGGGCATCACCAAGGTATCACCCTTCACTGTTCGATAACATCTTCTGCTTCTAGGCTTTTGATGGATATGCCTGCTTCTTCTTGCATGCTGGGAGAAGCACAAAGCTTCAGTTTATGTGCAAAATCTGCCACTGAGATATAGACAGTATTTTGGCATCACAAGATAATTTCAAAGGATGAATTCTGAGTCATTTGTAAACAAGTTCCCTTATGCCAAACTGTCATTTTAGATTCCCGAGAGACGTTTTTGCTCCAGCATTAAGGTAGTCTAGCCCATTTTTGTTGCTGTGTTGTTCACATCATGGGCCCTGTTAAGTATGCAGAATTGTGGCCACCTTTGCAGAAGTTAAATTATAGTATTGTTTTCTAAAAATGAAAGAACTTCAGGTTCAGGCAGACTATTCAGCTAACCTGAAAAACATCTAGTCAGATTGGTAGTAACTTTCCAGGGTTTGGATTAGGCAGAGAGACTCACCTTCTTGATCCTCTTAACTGGGGAACAGTTAGGCCTCTGGAAGGACCATCGTTTCTCACCAACTGAGCAGGTTTGCACTGCTTCAGTCCAAGTGCACAACCTGTAATTTGAATGGGAAGATTTCCTCTGAGACGTGTCACCATTCTGCTTGGCTTGCAGCCGGATTGACCAGAGACAGCAGCTGTGACAATCGTCACTCTAAACAAATGGGTTTGCTGTTCTTATTTTGCTCTGAAAGCATTCTGGAAACCCTACTGAAAAAAAATTAAAGCTTAAATGTGCCAGATGTTATCAAAGACAAAATTAATCTGTCCTTTGCGGCTCAGCGTGTACCTGCAAGCATCACCCAGACTTGAGTAGAGGCAGCAGAAAATGTAACAGCAGAAGAAGCATATACAGATTAATAATAATAACTCAGTGCATACAATGGCCAACACAAATTAGATAACCTTTATTGTCATTTTTTCCTGTGGGCACAATGGCACACATTAAAAATGAAATTTAGTTGCTTCCTCTCAAAGTGTACACATACACAACACACATTTAAAACATACTATATACAACATATGTATAGACCTACATCCTTACACAAAAGTAACATATAAATATTAATCAGCTAAAGAACTGGCAGTTGTGATTTCATATTGTGTACAGATAATAATACTGAACATCTGGCTGACTGTGCAACAAACCATCATAATTTACTTTACTTTACTTTGAACTTTACTTGAAACAACTTACATCTTCCAACAATATCTGTAACATCATCAAACATCTACATCTGCCTATCTCAGGTCCTTGGTAAGGACTCGATAGGGGGACAAAAATGCCAGATCCAGTCTGAATATCTGGCTGCGTGACAAAGTGTAATAATTAATAATGAATATATGCTAATTATTTGTACTACTGCTTTTCCTCCACAGGTGGGCAGCAGGAAAGTGGTACAGTATGGTGCAGGAATCATGCTTATTTTAGGAACCATTGGCAAATTTACTGCTCTGTTTGCCTCCCTCCCTGATCCCATCCTTGGAGGGATGTTCTGTACTTTGTTTGGTAAGTCATTTGTAGAAATAGCTGTGTCAATGACACAGTAACTTACTGATTGAGGGACAAGGTTGAAATGAATTGTTTACTTTTAAAAATGAGATTTTTGTAATTCCATGCAGCAACAGAAACTGTGGGTTATCTTCTACATCCCCTGTTGCTTTCCAGTTCTAAATATTTGCTTCTCATAAAACATCCTGATGCTATTTGTTACAGTGTAACGCACTGTCTCCACACAACAGCTTTAATTTGCACTTCTAGGATAGCCTTTTCTTTATATTATGTTCAGATTTCAGCCCAGGGATCCTTCTGCTGAAACCATATCCAGGAAAAATCAGTAGACTGAAATAGTTTCTATGGTCTTTTGTTGCCACCTGATTTTTAGTTTGGGGCTTAACTACCTTTCTCAAGCATCCTCTATTTATTTGTTTAGGCATGCATTTATTTATTTTTTTCCTTCCTTTCTGCAGGTATGATCACTGCAGTAGGCCTCTCCAATCTGCAGTTTGTGGACATGAATTCCTCCCGCAATCTTTTTATCCTGGGTTTTGCAATGTTTTTTGGTCTTACCCTTCCAAACTATCTAGATTCACGTCCGAATGTTATCAACACAGGTACTGAAAAATCATTCAGTCTTTACCTAGGGAGATATGAAAACTATGCCAGACTCTTTGAGGTTAGAAGTTTTCCCCACTTCTTGAGCAACTCTGAATTTTTTTCCCATTCTTCTGAACCAATGATCTGGGAGGGGTTATGTTTGTTGGTTGTGTGTGGCATTTCCTAGTTGCCATCTCACAACATATCCTTGTCAGCATCCTGGACTGAGCAGAGAGAGAGAGAGAAGGAGGGAGGAAAACCCACCACGTTTTAAGAAGGACAGTAAAAGAATCATCAAATTGGTGAGGGGGTCATTTAGTGAATGTTATGAAAAACAATAGCAATAATTTAGGCTGGAAAACATATTAAGGAAGGAAGATATTAAATATTTGAAGAGTTGTCATCCAGTGCAGTGGCCCCCAACCTTTTGGGCACCAGAGAGGAGTTTCGTGGAGAGAGGTGTTGTTTCATGTCCTGCCTGCATCCCACAGATGAGGTTTCACTTGTTTGGGCGGACCGGTTTCTGGCATGCCGCGGACCGGTGCTGGTCCATGGACCGGGGGTTGGCGATCCCTGATCCAAAGCACACTGAAGAATACAGGACAGGTGGAAATGTCGAGGATTCTGATGAAACATCTTCCAATGCAAATAAGATGTTCTTTTAGGCAGAGGTTTGTCCTCCAAACGTGCTACTTGGCTCCTCGGTTGGTCTTGTGACTGACTGAATCACAAAACTAGTTGAATCACACTAGTTGAATTGCAAGACCAACTGAACAACCAGAATCTATATAAAACGAACAGGACACTTCACCCAGTGGTGGGATTCATCCGGTTCACACCACTTCGGCAGAACCGGCAGCTAATTTTTTGTTGCCCAGGCCCAGAATGGACTTCCGGAAGTGGCGTCCACACAGAGAACCGGTTGTTTACATATTTGAATCCCATCACTGACTTCACCCCAAAATTCCCTGCTGAAGATATTATCTAGTTTGGTAATGAAACATCTGGGAGCCAAGTAGCAAGGCTCGGAGGACAAACCTCTGCCTAAATCTACAACCAGAGCTACGAATATTCTCTACAAGATTTTTTTTCCAGCAGCATTTAAACCCTTCGAGTAATCTACTATGTAGAACTGTAGATCATCCATTGGATAGTGGCCTAAGAGATTAGAATGAGTGCCCTCTAGTCTTGAAGTTGATCAGGCTTCTCTAAGTGACTTGATTGATTTTCAGCTGATTTTGGAGGAAGTCTCTGTGAGAGCTTCACTAACTCTCCATGAGATAATAAACTGAAATCCCTTAAAATTACAATCCTTTTAAAGTTCTGCCACACTTCCTCCCCTTGCCCCCACCCCCAAATGGACTTAGTGTAAAAACAATGTGATTCAAGGCACATGAATCTGAGGCCTCCTCAGTATATATCCGAATACTGCATGCATCTGGGAGTTGATGGGATATGGGCAAAAGTATGTTTGCTTTCAAGAAACTCTAGATTACACATCCTGGATTGTGCAGAATAATATGAGCATGCTTGGGTTAAAATTAGGGTTTGGTTATGCTTGTGGCATAATGCCCCAAAGTATCAAATCCTATTGGTCCTGTCCTTAATGTTAGCAGGGAATACTGCATATGGCACTTATCCTGGTGACTTATCCTGGACTTTCTTTATCTTACTAAAGGTGTTATATGAAAGCCTGGGTTGACCAAGCCATGAGGGGGCTGACAAGGAGAGTACTATATCAATAGGATCATCTGAAAATGACCATAGTATATAGAATAGATAATTGAGACTTGGCATGCAAGAGGAATAAAAATGAAAAATAAAAGAAGAATAGATGTATGCCTATGAACTAAAAGAAAAAGGAAAGATAGATTTGAATGAAAGTAACCTGATTTTGTGGAGTAGAGTTGATAAATATATGCAAGGGACTAAGGTTTAATTATGCTGAGATAGTTTGTGTGAGGCTGTTGACGTGTAAAGGAAAGTAGGAAGCCATTGATTGATGATAGTTGCGTTCTTCATTCCACCAAATGGTGGAGAGAAAAAAATCCAGTAAAGTTTTTAGAAAAATTATGTATTTCTGAAGAAATTATTATTCTCAGATGATATAAATCAAGGGTGTCAAACTGCCGGCCCATGGGCCGGATGCGTCATCCGGAAGCCGTGCCCACCCCATTGCCGGCAATGGCAAAACTGTCCTGATACGTCTCGCGACGTCACGTGACGTCATGAGTTTGACATGTCTGATATAAATGAATGGATGGAAATAAGATGATAGAATGCAGAAAAGGTAATTGGGCCATTAGGAATCTCAGGGATAATAACAACAATGACTGCTTGGAAATAGGTCTTCTAAATACATGGTTTAAGGATAAATCTTTTCATATGTAGATATGGTCAAGGAATCATGCCAGTGATGAAACTGAAGAGAATGTGAATGGATTCTCTTGGATTAATTTTCAACAGAACGAATGGAGAATAAACGGGAGGAAAAAGAATGTGGAACTTGCTTGGAATAGAGGGAAAAGAAATGCCCCAGAAATGTATAAGTTATGCTAATAGCAACATAAAAGGGACGTGGATAGAATAAAGCAGGGGTGTCAAACAGCCGGTTGCATCATACAGAGGCCGCGGCCACCCCAGCTCTGGCAATGTAAAAAAACTCACGATACGTCGTGACACATCATGTGATGAGGCGAGTTGGACACCATTGGAATAAAATGAAATATGCTATGATGAAAAAAAAACACTAAATATAAAATAACCATTGTTGTAAAAATCAGAATAAATGTATATATAGAGAAAAAGACAATAGAGAGAAAAGAATGCAGAAGCAGAGAAATATTTTGATGGGGAAATACTGTATAGATGAAAAGGGCTAACCCAGGGGTAGGCAACTTTGGCTCTTTTATGACTCGTGAATTTCAACTCCCAGCATGGCTGGCTCAGGAATTTTGGGAATTGAAACCCACGAGTCATAAAAGAGCCAAGGTTGCCTACCCCTGGTCTAGACAAAGAGCTTCCTGCCTGAAATCTGAGTTTTATTTTTTGAGATGGCCACTCTCATTACAAATTCCACATTTATTGTGGATTGGCATTCTTTCTGTGTGGTAGCAACAGTAGGAAATCTTGATTTTATTTATTAATTTATTGTAGCTTATCTAAGTGGAATCAGTTCTGACAATAATCCAGCACTGGGTCCACATGCAAAATAGAAAGCCAGTAAGATCATGGTCTGGAGTTTCTTCTTTGCTTACTTGGATAAGCCAACAGCTGGCTTGTCCAGGGTGGCTATGACTTATGATGGAGCTCTGATTTGTGTGTGTATATACAGTATAGCTCCACAGTATAGCTCCACAGTATAGCCAGAATCCTGTTAATTGCCAGTTTTTCTAGACAAAATTTTGAGTTCTGACAGTGATCCAACTTTGTGTGCATAAATGAGTCAATTATTTGGTTCAGATATGATCCTGCTGTGTGATCCTACTCATCCTAACTCTAACCCCAGGGGATCACAACTTAGTTTGAAAATCTCAGCCCTATATAAAAAGAAAGTAAGAGTCAGTGCAAAAACTACCATTTATTCCATGTATCCTGGAAACTGTTTGCCAGAATTCAGATCAAAAAGATGCAAAAGGTGATAACCTGCATAATTTGAAAAATACAAAATAGACTATTCTAATGCTATGCAGAGGATATGCAGATCAGATTTTTACTCTTCAGCAAGTTATAGAGACCAAAAAGTGTGAGAAAGTTTGCTGATTTAGAGAAAATATGTGACAAAGTGAGTAAGCTTGAGTTATACAATCTGTGCATGCATGAACTCTGAGAAGGATGGAAGGTAAGAATGTGTGCTTTCTTTGGTTGTTAATGTGTTGATAAATCTACAAGGGATACTTGAGATGGTAGTAGAGGTGGATGAATTTGGAATATAAGCCTAAGTAGATTTGTTTTTATGCAGCAAAGACTCCAAGGCAGAAAGAATTTGATTAAGAAGCCAAATGATTTCCTGTGAATCTTAGATTTTATGATGTTGTGAGGAATTAAAAACCAAGGTAACTGTGTTTGAGTGAAAGTGAGGTAAATAATTACAAGTTATGCCTATACATGATAAAAAGTGACATATAATTAATGTGTGTCCTGGTGGAATAAGATGGAAAAACAGATGGATAGATTTAAGATATGTAAATGCTGGTTGAAAGGTAGCAGGTAGCATATGCTGTTGTGAGGAATATAAATGTCACAAGAAGTGATAATGACTACGTACAACAGCTCTGCTCACTTTATTATATTGAAGTGAGAGTTGAGTAGGTTGGATGAACATAAAAGCTATGTGCAATTGGAATGTAGTAAAATGAGAGAATGGGTACTAAATGCAACCATGAATGACAATTATATTAGAATTATGTGGTGGTGGTTTGGTTATATAAAGTGCATGAATGAGGATCAAATTAAAGTGTGAATGAGTCAGGAGGAAAGGGAATTCCCAGAAAGTCATAGTTGGATGAAATTGATGGAATCATCAAAGAGACATGAGAGGTGTTAAAAAACAAAAGTCAGAGTATGTATGAGGTGATATGCTGTATAGACATGGTGGAAGCATGGAGTGGTTTACAAGGAGAGAAAGATATAAAGAGATGTAAGGAATGGTGTTTGGCTAAATCAGATTTAGCTATATTTCTCTTCCTTTTTCTGTCACTTATATCTTGCATTCCTACTTTTTTTCTATGCTTTATATAGTGTTTCCTACTCTAAAAGGGAATACAATGAGATATTATAATCAAGATAAATTTGAGAAATGCAGAAGTATATCAAGCTTATTTTGATCATATTTTGGACTATAAATTATTACTGTTTGTAGGCATTGCTGAAGTGGACCAGATATTAAGAGTACTCTTGACTACAGAAATGTTTGTTGGGGGCAGCATTGCATTTATATTGGACAACACTGTTCCAGGTAACAACCTTTTCATTATATTATTTGGATGTGTTTAGCCTGTATTTCAAAAGATTAGATTTAAGGAACCCCCAAATTCATCCAAAATAATATACACTTTTATCACTTTGAGCTACCTGTGATCATTTGGTGCTTCCTGGTTACTGCATTAGCGCTATTACACTAGATAGAACCTCATACATAGCAGTGGCATAAATTTCAGAATTAGATGTACAAATATTGTATTTACAACCATTTCTTTTTCATATCTGCTTTCCCAAATATATTAGGAGACAGATGACTCCCAACATTTTAATCTCCTATCGTAATACTGTAGCCTGACAGTTTTTGTAAAGGCAGATGTAGTGAATATTATCTTAAAAAATTGATTCTTGTAGTCCTGTCTCATAACATTTGCCTTTTAATATTGTAACTACCTTGTGGCATCATAAAAGGCTAACGAATTTATTATGGCAAGGATTTTCAAGAACCAGTTGCCTCTCAAGTCTATCAAAATATGCCACAATAAATATGCTAAATGTTAAGGGGCAGGAAGTTGTTTTTGTGGCACCATAACTATTGCCCCAGAATTTATGGTAGGGATTTCCCACCTTTCACCTGGTTCTCCACTGGGTAACAAAATCATATTGAAAACAAATGTGTTTTCTACCAGGATTTTAATATTTTTCAAAATGTAGTATTCAATTGATTCATTTATGGGATGAGATGCAAAAAGCAGATGCTTCTTTTAACACTGTTTGAGCCATCACAAGCAAATCTAGCATGCATTTCCCATTAAGTTTATTATTTCAGCTTTTATGTTCCTTGAATCTCATGGCATAACTCTCTACTTCGTTAATATATTATTAGCACAGCTTTCTTTTGTGAAGAATTGGATCATTGGAACATTTTTTCCACAACCACCTGATTTATAATACACATGTTCTTTTCTAGGGACTCAAGAGGAACGTGGCTTAGTACAGTGGAAGGCTGGAGCACATGCCAACAGTGATGAATCTGCAAAACTGAAAAGTTACGATTTTCCATTTGGGATGGGTGTAATTAAAAGGACTCACTGGTTAAAGTATGTACCAGTGTGCCCTGTTTTCAAAGGTTTTAAGTCAAGAACAAAGAAAGATCCCACTCTATCAGAACAAGTAGAGAATACAGTGGATGCACCAGAGATGTGTACCAAGGTTTGAAGGGGTTGTCCATAGTATAATAAAAAGTTAACAACAGAGACTGAAGAAAGGTTTAGGTGTATTTAAAATATTCCAGTGAAAATGTCTCAGATCAGTCAAGATCAATGAGTGAATCACATCAGAGGACATTTGTGTGGCTATTCAAGAACTTTTATTTTTATATATATTCTCTTAAAAATGTGATTTAAGAGTTCACATAAGCATTGTCAAAACACACTCACTCAGAGACAATAATTTCATTCATTTTCATTTGCAAATATCTAGTATGAGTTTAGAAGGAAAAGAGGTACTTGTACTTGTATATGTACCTAATGCTGGAAGACATCTATTCTAAGACTCTGAGATCTGGGCCACAAAATCCAGCAGATGATAAAAAGATACACAAAATAATCTTTGTTCCCATCCAGATTTTAATAGCCCATATCTGATCATGTGTCATCCAGGGTCAAGCTATTGTAGTCAATCCCAATTATGTGACATTTGTTCATACTTACATGCAAGTAAAACCTTGGTTTTTACTGACCAGGGTTTTTTTTGGGAGGTGGGGGGGGGTGAGGGGACAACAATGTCCATAAAAGTGAAATATCTGTAACATTCAATCTGATATATTTATGTCATTGGTTATTTCTGTCAATTTCTGTCAACTGTGTAATGAAGCAAAATATGTCAATTGTTGGCAATGTGCCATAAACAACAGATTTTTCCTACTATTTGAGGTAATATCTGAACTAAAATATTATCCGTAATTCAGAATCAAAAATTGAGGTTTAGCAGTCACTTGTTTCGCTTTGGTAAATCAGGCACTTTTATTAAAATAGTAATAGGTGGTAGATAATCTGATGAACACTCTTATCAAGATTTTCTTCACAAGTATAGGAATTAGATGTAATTCCAAGAATCAAATTCTGTTTTTATATACACATATATGAAATGGTGCAAATATCCAAGATCCATTCATCTTTTTACAATTATCATCCTTTTACAATTATTAACATGTTTGTCTTATAGAGACAACCAGTAAAGGCTGAAACCTAAAATGAAATTTTAGCAAATCTGAACTGAGTAATTTAGCAGTAGAAAAAGGAAATTGGAAACTTGCCCTTCCAAGTGTTGCCAGATTAAACTTTTAGCATCTTTATCCATTAACATGGTGGTAAGGTAGCTTGCGTTGAGATTCAGTGACATGTGGAGAGGCCCAAACCCCCATGCCATACCTATTCAGGTATTTTCTTGTATACTTCTCAAGTATGTACTAAAAATAAATAAACAATACAGCTACAGTCCATTCAGAAGGTATTCAGACCCCCTTCACTTTTGTCAATTTTGTTATGCGGCAACCTGATTCTACAGTTGTTGAAATAGATTTTTTTCCTCATTAATCTGCACTTAGTACCCCATAATGACAAAGTCAAAAGAGAATTTTAGAATTGTCCATAAATTTATTAAAAAGAATGTCCTGGAGTGGCCCAGCCAGAGCCTTGACTTGAACCCTGTTGAACATCTCTGGAGGGACCTGAAAATGGCTGTCACCAACGGTCACCATCCAGCCTGATCTTGAGAGGATTTGCAAGGAAGAACGGCACAAAATCCCCCAATCCAGGTGTGCAAAGCTTGCTGCGTCATACCAAAAAAAAGACCTGAGGCTGTAATTGCTGCCAAAGATGCTTTAACAAAGCACTGAGTGAAAGGCCTGAATACTTATGCCAATGTGATATTTCAGTTTTTTTCTTTTTAATAAACTTACAGACTTTCCTAAATTTCTGTTTTCACTTTGTCATTATAGGGTACCGAGTGTAGATTAATGAGAAAAAGTGAATTGCAACAACTGTAGAATCAGGCTGCAGCATAACAAAATTGACAAAAGTGAAGGGGGTCTGAATACTTTCTGAATGCACTGTATATGGCTTCTAAATGTGAAATTGTTAAGGTCAGTCTCCTTCAAGCTGAAGTCCCCCATTGTTTGGGCTATAGTTTTCTGCAGTTGCATGACTACTGGGAACATGCTGTAGTACATGAAGGGAATTATAATTCAGAACATATGAAGTGCAGCACATTGAAGAACAGTGACGTAGATTATTAAAATACAGTATCTTCATGTGATTATAACTGCTATTTTTAAAATTTATCATTAAGCCACCACCTATGTTCTGGATTTTTCCAGTTCATTTTTCCCAAAGCCACTTTTCCCAGAACTATCTTTTGGTGTATATCTGAAACAAACCAGCCTTGTTCTGTTTCATGAACAGACTAATATATTCCAAACTATACCAGTTTGGGCCTGGACTACCAGAAATAGCTCTTCTGTTCTTGAAATCTTCTGTATATTCCTAAAAAATCATTAAACAAGGGTAGTACACACAAGCTACCACAAGTAGAAAAGGAGCGGCACTGTTGTGGAATTACACACCAGAGTAACTACTATATGCTTTGGTCAGGTTTTTATAAACTAGCTAATTGGCTTTTATAATTGTCTACTTGAAATTCTGGCATCTACTTTTCCAGGAAACATTCCTGATATTCCACACGTAGTCTTGAATGCCTACATCACCAATGTTGTCATTTCATTGGCAGCTTGCAAAACGATAGTTGCTTTCAATCTCAAAGGGTCACAACTTCATTAAAAAAGCTTCCATATTTATGGCATATAGTACTAAATAAAGACAAACTGGGTTAGTAAATCAAGGGACAACATGAATACACATTTGCACCTACTTGAATTTGCTTCTATTATAGAAGTCTCTCTCTCTCTGACAAGAATGTCATTTGGATTATTTCTGAGAATTGCAAAGAATTTTTCATATTTCCAGCTTTTATCACAGACACTGGATTTGCTTTGGTTGTAAATGTAATGTATGAACAGGACAACAAAGGCATTTTCACAAGCTCCAAATAAGATGAACACTCATTTTGTCATTTCTACTGTTATTTATTTTTTTTAAATATTTTTGAAAAAATATAATTTTTTTACAATATTTTCAACTTAAACACTATTCACACTGAACACATAAGGCAGCGTAAGCTACCCAAATATGAAGTTTAAGAAGCCAAAACTGTACTAGGTGTTTTAAAAAAAAAGTTGTGCTGTAGACTATTGTGTAGTGATGATTAAACAAAGCAAGGGAAAAGCACCACTCAAATCACTAATACTAAATTTTACAGTTAAATCCAATTTTTAAGATTGTAAAATTTTACAGAGGCAGTGCCATGTTTCTGGATTCCTGGAAGAATCTGTGATGTACAACTAAACATCACCTTAAATATACACTCAGAAGTGGGACAAACATTCCAACATGATAACTTGCTGCAAATATAATCTCAATTGCCAAATTTTCTCCCCCCGCCTCCCCCCAACCAGATCTGTAGCCAAGAGAAAGGATTCTATACAGGCCTGTAAAAGTGATTCAGATATTTTTACAATTCACACTTTCCTCAAAAAAGAACAGCATGAAATAAAGTTTTGCTTGATAATGGGAAGAATTCATAGCAGTACTGAAATTCAGCTAATCTGCATAATCAGATAAACCTTGCTTTTATTTTCACATTAAGGCATTATTGGGTGCATATCGACACCGCCATAAGTTTTAATTAAAACAGACCACTCTTTATCAAAGTCTGAATCCTTCTAAAAACAGAATTGCAAGAGTTTCTCAGAAACTTGGTACTTTTCTCAACATGACTGGTGCTTCCTTCCTTATTGTCTCCCTCACAAAAAGCCTGGATCCAATTAGATTTTTCCAATTCATTAACCTCTGACAGCAGTTGACTTAATAACAGTCTCAGCACTTTTATTAAGCATGCAAGACTAACAAAACTTTGGCAATGCGTAAGTGTAACACAGTGACAAGAAGAGAGAGCGTTTTAACAATTAAATCTTCTAATACTGGCTTCACAGTGTGGAAATTGTGCTACATCCACCAAAAGAGGGCCCAGTCTACTCATATATTTAGTACTTCACCCCAGGAACAAACTCCTTTGCATTGGGATTCAGATTACTCTTGACCTGGAAGAGAGAAATTTTAAAAGCTTAGACTGTGAAACCTAAGGTTTTCTTTTGAACATATTTGCACTAAGTTTAACAGGAATTCTTTGCAGTGAAAACATTCCTGAACATAGGCCTCAGTGGAGAAAGCAAGATACTCTTGCCAAGGAAACAGCTTAGAGTCAGCTTACATGCCAGATAGATCAGGATCCCCTGGTTTGATTGATACCACCCAATTCAAGATCTCAATCTCTTCCTTCGATAGAGCTAAACCAACTTTCACAACAATAACTGAATATATTATAACACAGGGGCGTCAAACTGCTGGCCCACGGGCCAGATGCGTCACGTGGAAGCCGCGCCCACCCCAGCTCCGGCAATGGGAGTTTGACACCCCTGTTATAACATGTGGCTCTCCAGATGATGTTAAATTGTAGTTTTCAGCATCATTCTCCACTGGCTATTGTAAGACAAACAAAAGTGGTAATACAGCAGCAGCATCTAGAGCAGGCATGTCAAACTCGCGATATCACGCCATTGCCGGCAATGGGGTGGGCGCGGCTCCAGTATGATGAAACCAGCCCGCGGGCCAGCAGTTTGACATCCCTGATCTAGAGGATCACATTATTGCTCTTCTTAAACTAATTTTCTAAACTTGTTGACAGTATTAACAAAAATGTAGAGGAGGAAATCCATCAGACACTGTATGAACCTTTGATAATGTCCTTTACCAGAGATTCTTGAGCAAACTTGGAAGCGGGGGGGATAAAGAAGGCTTATGTTCTTAGGGATTGGAAATTCTCTTAAGAATTAAAAAAGAGAGAAGAATAAATAGACAATAGTGCAAAGTGAAATTCTCAGGGACTGGGGGTGGTAGATCATTGTTTCTAATTAGTTTATAAATAAACTGAAGTTAAGGACTAAGGTGATCCAGTCTGCTAATGACATAAAGATGTGCATTTTGATTGCAAAGATATTGGGAAGAGCTCCAAAAGGTCCTCTCTCCAAACTGAGTAAGTAGGCCTCAAAATGGCAAATGCAAATCAGTAGGAGCAAGCACAAAGTAATGCAGATGGGTATAAAAATTCCAAAGGTTACCTCCATGAATGGGAGTTGAGGTTACTAAGAGTGATCGGAAAAAGAATGCTGGGAGTCAGGGGTGCACTGCTCAACAAAAAGGAACAACTCAGAGAGCATTTCTTGTTAAAAATGACAAATCTCGTGTTCAGATTTAAGAATAGAAAATGTAAAAAAATTCAGTACAGTAATGGCAGGACTGGAATACACTTGAAAAGGTGCAAAATAATCAATACATAAAAGAGCAACCATAAGTATAAGAGGGGCTCAGATAGGTTTCTTATAAGAAAGGACTACTTTAGGGCTTTTTAACTTGGGCTGAAAGTAAATAAGGAAAGTTGTATAACATCATGCATGATGCAGAAAATACAGATCCCATTCTTCGTTTTATTTACAATACTGGAAGTTGAGGTCATGCAAAATATTTCACACAATGCATATATAAACTATGGAATTTCCTGCCGTAAGATGGAGTCCCAATTTAGACTTAAAAGAACACCAGGCTACGAGTTCTCAATCTGTAGGCCAGCGATGATTATGCTCCACAAAGGTACTCTAGTAGCTTATCTAACGTGCAGGTATCCAATATAAATAAATCAAAGTATTACAATTTTAGAAGGCTGTTATACCTCTCAATATTTGGTAATGTCATTTGAAATTTTGCAAGATTTTGACATTCTCACCCAGAATATGCAAAATCAATCTTATGAAAGTCCTAAGATTTTAAATCTATTATCTTCCTATCCACATGTCTGGATTCATGTGTACTATAATACAGACCATGATACACCAGGGACCCTCATATATTTTTCTTACAATATACAAATCCTACTTTTAAGAAATAGTTTTGTGCTTTATTTGATACAACCCAACTTGTAAATTCAGAGCAGGGTGAACAAGCTTAATAGGCAGGTACAGGCAATCACAAAATAACTTTACTTTCAGTCAGAATACTAAAAAGACAGTAATTTACTTATAATGAAAGCAACTAGATCAGTTCAATACATTTGATATCCACATAACAAAATTGCCCATCCACATTAAATGTTCAACTGGCAAATCTAGCCAAGGTAACAATTCACAGAGAGGGAGGTTAATCTTTCAACGTATCAATGCAAAAATCTAAAGTGCAATAAATTGTTCCCAAGTCTGCAATGAGCTAGGTTTAGAATTTATCAAGTTTTTTCAAAACAATATTCCTGTTAGTGATAACAGGCTGAAATTATAGCTAAAAAAAGTAGTTCATCTTATAAATAAAATTCTAAGCTTTTTAATTACAACCAAAACAATAGAATTTTAAGAATACCTACCAAATGAGAACATCATCAGACTATGATATTGTATCTACTATAATATAGGAGAGTTCATGTGATCTTTAGAACTATTTGTAACCCTGCAGACCTACAACAGGATCTGAGCTTCCTGAAAAACCTATTAACAGATAAAGATAATCTAGTTAAAGCAGGGTCTTCAAACTTGGCCCTTTTATGACTTGTGGACTTCAACTCCCAGAATTCCTTAGTCAGCGTGCCTGGCTGAAGAATTCTGGGAGTTGAAGTCCACAAGTCATAAAAGGGCCAAGTTTGAAGACCCCTGAGTTAAAACATTGCATTCTGTCATGTCTTTACTCAACAGTTTGAGCCAACATTTACTTTCCTTGCTGGAAAAAGTATGTGACACTTTAATAATCTAACAATATAGTAATAGTAGAACCTCCTTTACCAGAAATTGTTTCAATTAAATGCTTCCAATGCTTGTTGATCAATACTTCAAATTGGCTTGGAAGAATGTTGGCCCCACCCCTCTTTACACCCATTTCAATTCATGGATATTTGTGGACTGTCTAGCACAGAGGTAGGCAACCTTGGCTCTTTTATGACTCGTGGACTTCAACTCCCAGAATTCCTGAGCCAGCACGGCTCAGCTTGGAAATCTTTCCCTGTCCCCTCAGCATGGCTGGCTCAGGAATTCTGGGAGTTGAAGTCCACGAGTCACAAAGCAGCTTGGGCCTAGGCCAGAGGTAGGTAACCTTGGCTCTTTTATGGACTTCAACTCCCAGAATTCCTGAGCCAGCCATGCTGAGGGGACAGGGAAAGGTTTCCAAGCTGAGCCATGATGGCTCAGGAATTCTGGGAGTTGAAGTCCACGAGTCATAAAAGAGCCAAGGTTGCCTATCCCTGTCTAGCATAAATTGCGTATATTAGCATTTTAATATTTTAGTTGGGTTAAAGGTCAAGACTCAGCCATTCCTGAATGTAACATTTATTTTGCTTCACTAACTCTGTTATAGACCTACTTGTATGTTTACAAAACAGTGAACTGAGTTTTTGGAATTTTTTTAATATTTACATATAAAGAATTCCGTGCAAACTATAAACAAACCTTCTTTTTAAGTCTTTACCCTATCCCAGAGGGTAACATTTACAGGAATGATTCCCATCTATCAATGTCAAAGAAACCTCTATATATCTCTTACTCATATTCAGTATAATTATATGAGAAATACCCTGTGGAATAAGAATACCTAAATAATTGATAAATTCAGTACAGGCCTGAAAATCAGAATGATTTAAATACGAGGTTCAAGAGATGAGGAATAAATCATAATGATACACTTCTAGTAACATTGCATGAAAATATGTTTTTACCATGTCCTAAAGTATTATCTTCTTGGCAGAAATAATTTACATATATTTTGACTTTGAAACAAGGTTCATAATTTTCAGAGGCAAACATTCTTTTGAACTACATACTGACCTCAAGGAAACTGACAGATGAACAATGGAAATGAATTCTCCATGTCCTTATTATTCCCTTGAGGTTAATTCTTCAAACTAAATTTAAGACAAATTTATGAATTACCCAGTGGACTGAAGACATCACGTTACATGCATCCTATAAATGAGTTGGCTATTGACATAAATTACGCATGGACAAGTACAATGAAATATGGTTATCTTTTATGGAAACCTTTGTGGATCAGTGTGTGTTTGTGTGTACGTGTACGTGTACATATATATAAGCACTCATATAAATTACTTAGCTTGTAATCAATCTTTACTGTTTTGTTTTTTTAAAAATAATGTTTATTTTACTTTTCTTCTTGGATGTTTTAAATGAAGCAAAAGTAAAAAAAATATGAAGAGGGCCCCTCAAGCTCTGATTGCTCTCTCATTAACTGGAACATCTGACTCAATTAGCGTCTCCATACAGATTATTTCACATACTTTTTCCAACAAAGGCAAGCAGCGTTGCCTGAGTGTGTCTAATAAAGACACAACACAGCATGCCATTTGCAATATTGTTTATTTAACCATCACCTCTTTATCCATTAATAAGACTGCAGGATTATGGATGGTACCCAAGGATTCACCAACTTTCTCACACCATTGTAGGATTTTAATTAGTCGGATCGCTTTAAAAAATGTACCAAGATTTTGTAAAAAAAAAAAAAAAAGGTGCTTTCAAAAAACATGCACAGTCGGTGCCAACTCGGCACACTTCCTTCAAGACACTGACTGCCTGTGTAGGAACCATTTAAGCAAAATGCATTTTCTTCAGAACAGGAGGTTTACTTATTAGTAAATTTATGTAAAATTTAATTTATCAAACCCAGTAAATACAAATAAACAAACCAATATTGTAACTTTGGGAAAAAAATATATGCATGCTGAATATGAGCTAAAATGTCATGCTCAACAGGTTCCTCTATTTAAATAAGTTACATCATCTGTGACATCAAAGTAACCACAAGTTGGCTTAAAAAATCAGGGGAATATTTAAAGGTTTAACGTTCTAGTTATACTTTATGACCTATACTCATTTTCATATGAGCCTAATTTTACCCTTTTAATTAAAAAGTAATTAAAGCCTACATCAGGGGGTCTTCAAACTTGGCCCTTTTATGACTTGTGGACTTCAACTCCCAGAATTCCTCAGCCAACGTGCCTGGCTGAGGAATTCTGGGAGTTGAAGTCCACTAGTCATAAAAGGGCCAAGTTTGAAGACCCCTGGCCTACACTATTAAAAAATAGTCCTATGCATCATGGCCAGTAGACTTAATTGTACGGCAAATGTTAGTAATAAAATGCTTCCGGTCTCTCTCATCTACCAGATCTTCAAATGGTATCTCTGTAGAGTGAAAAATTAAAATTAGGGAGACCTCTGAACCCTACAAGAACTAAACCACTTTCCTAATCATTTAGCCTACACATCCAGTCTTTACCCTCCCAAATGGTTCCATGTATTCTTCTCTCCCAATGCACACCTGTGCACTTGACAAAAGCAAATACTAAAAGGAGGAGGATAAGATGGTACAGTTGTTCTACGTACAAGGTCTTGATTGTTGTCAGAAGGCCACATCTCAGCTAGCTTCTGAGTGAGACAGCTAACAAAGTATACTGCTAACATTTGAAGAAAGGGGCTTGATTAAAATAATTCCAAATTTAAAATCAGATGCTTACCACCAGATCTTCCAGTGACGAACTGTCACCGATAACAAGATCGTTAAACTGGTCTTGAATTTGATCCATCGTTTGCGGAAGATCTCTTGCTGGAATAAACCATTCGTGCTCTTCCTCTTCCAGCATTTCTTGGAAGCAACGTTCTATAAATTCTTCTTCCCACAATTCCTCTTCAATCTATAATTGGAACAACAGAAGGAAATCTACTATCAAGGGACCTGAGTGGAACTGTCTGAGCGCTATGGCAAAAACCTCTCAGATGGATCCTCCCCAATGTTAGGAGAGCTCAGGTGTTGAGCTCCCACAAGCGGCAGCAACTGAGGGCAAATGCGGAAAAGGAAGTTTAAATAGCTGCTTCTTCCACACAGCCACAACATTGGGTCTGAGCCCTGCACGGCTCTTCCTTTACTTCCTCAGTCACCTGAAGTAACCCTTCCCCCTCCCACCTGGTGGGTTATTGTTGTTCTCTGAGCTTCTTTTTCTGCAGACATCGTTATTAAAATATAGAGATAAACCTTATCTATGCAACCAAAAGTTAAAAAAAAAGCAACCAAAAGTTAACAAAGGAAACAGATAACAAAGCCAACATTTAGGAAACTAGGAAACAGCACCAGATAAACAACTGGGGAGAAACTACACTCCAACCAAGTTTGGCAGACTATATATAAAAACAACTTCAACTACCTCCACTCTCTAATGCACTAATGATGTAACCTAGCTTGATATTGAAGTGCAAGGAAACAGCACCAAGAGACCAATATATAGCGTTGCATACTAAATGGTAGTTAAACAGCAAATGCAAACTGGGAATAGACCTACCATCAAAAATCAACTCTTCTTCAAACCAAACAAGGATGCAAGATCAGGAATTCTGGGAGCTGAAGTCCATGAGTCATAAAAGAGCCAATATTGCCTACCCCTAGCAGAGATTCACAGAAAACACTGGAAGAAAACTAGACTAACGGAAAAAGTGGGATCTGTCCAATAATGCAGAAGAAAAACAAAAACAAAAGAAGCAACGTATCCTCTCACTTACCTGCCTGTTGAATTCCTCTTCATTTTCCATCCACATATATTCTGCAAATGGATTATCATCTTCATGAGAGTGACCATTCATGATCATGTCTTCACTGATAATGCTTGGACTAGTACTCCTACGACTTGGATCTTTCATGGTTGTGCCTTTGAGCTTAAGCCTGAAAGAAAGTGTCCCCAGGAGTTAAGATTTTTAGTTGAATTTGTAGCAATGTATGCTTAGATGTCAGACCCGTGTGAGGTCAGCGATATTTTCATGCAGGTTTGTCTGTCTACTTGAACTTTCAATGGACTTGTTTAGCAGAGAATTACTTTATAATGCAAGATTCTTGCTAGGAAGACAAGAGGAAAAGAAGAAAAGAAAGGACAAAACGTGTTTGAAGATTGGTCTTGTGAACCTACCTTGTCTTCTTCAAGTAAAGGTTCTAGTTCTAGTATATACAGGTTTGTATCAAATAGAAACCCATCCAGGAATATGGCAAGGAGGACTTAAAGGTATATTCCACAACATGTGCTGCTCAAAAGCAACTAAGCACAGTCATCTTCCCCTCCATCCATTGCTTTCTTACAGATCCTGTCAGTAAGAAATCTAAATTGGTCCAAAGTTAATTTTATGGATTCTCCAAGCTTGTAGCTATGCAGTACATGTGACAATATGTTGCATATAAATTCTCTAGTGAGCTATTAATTTTTTAAAGCTTTTTAAAACAGTTTTTCTTCTTCTAAATATTACTTTTCCTCTGGGTTTTATTTATTTGATTTGAGCCTTCTACTTTCAATGAACTCTTGGCAGGTAACAATCAAGAACTAATAATAAAACATCCATAATACAGGACCCTTCATTTCAACCCTGAGCTAGATATTCTCCTTTACTGGTACACATTGTTACCATCTAGCTTAAGGGTGTCAAACTCAATTTTATTGAGGGCCGCATCAGCATTGCGGTTGCCCTCAGAGGGCCAGGTGGGTGTGGATGGAGTGGGTGTGGCCTACTGGGTGGGTGTGGCCAGCTCTACATCGTTTGCGTTAAGGGTGCCTGTTGGGGCCTGGGCAGAAGTGGGATAGATCTGAGGGTCTCTGGCAGAAAGGGGTGGCACCAGGGCAAGTGCCAAGGCATGGTCCACTGGAGGAGCCTCACTGTTCCTCTCAGGCCATGTGGGGGGGGGGGCTTATGGAGCTAAGACTGAATGCGTTTCAGCATAGATGGCCACCACAGAATTGTACATTGGCTCCCAGCTGGCCTGGGCCAGGGCCAAGGCAGAGGGGGCTGTTCCCTCACTATTTCCAGGATGGCTTTGCGGGCCACATGAAACCACTTCGTGGGCCGCATCCGGCCCCCGGGCCTTGTGTTTGACATGTCTGGTCTAGCTCAACATGGTTTTTTTTTTTTTTAACCAAATGAGATGTCAATTTTACTATCAGTATCTGTAAAAATTTTCAATTTTACTAAAATAGTTCTAATGCAACAACTACCATATGTGAACTTACACATCATCTTTTCAGTTAATTAAGTTTGCAACTGAGGCATCTTTGAATTTTTGCATTTGAAGGGTTTAGCATCTGCATGTTATCAATTCATGTTTGAAAAACACAGTTTTAGAATGCTATATACCAGCATCAATGCTTGCACTGAACTTCAATTACTTTCCCTGACCAGAACAAGTATCCAGGCTTTTGACCTATAAAAATGCCCAGCTATAAAGGTTCCATGAATCTCAAAGGGTAACTGCATTTTTCTTTTTGACTACTGACAGTCCTCATTTAACAACTGCCTAATTTACTAACTGTATGCAGTTACAGAAATGGTGAAAAAATAACTTTAGGATCAATCGTCACATTTACAATCTTTACAGGTTTGTAAAGCAAAAGAAAACTGAAGTAAGATCGTAAGCATAGCTGTGACTTCACTTAGCAATTTATTGACTGAATTGCTGGTCCCAACTGTGATTGCTAAATGAGAACTACATCTATACCATTATGTTTTAAGACTCAGTAATATTAGCAATTTTGTGTTACCCATCATATTAGCAGCCCATCCAAATCGGAATACTTTCCCCAAAAAATGCCACAAGACTTTATTATTTAAGGTATCTTTAAACAGTAAGCAGTAATGGAAGAATTTTGTTTCTAGTATTTGTTGTTCCCGGTGTTTGCTGAAGATATCCACATATTATCTTGCCAACCCAGAAAGAAAAACCAGGTTATTAAGAAGATGAACACTGAAATTAAAAATAAGCTGCTTTTTAAAATATTATTCAAGTCATAAATATATGCAATTATTAAAAACATAGCAGTAATATCCAAGCTGGTTTTTAAAATAAGAATTTAATGTTAGCTCTGCAATTTTTAACTGTGCATTTATTAATCTGACTATACATCTTAAATACCTACAATACTACATTGTTCTTCAACCATTATTAGCAGTGAAGAAATGATGTCCTTATGTTTCCCAGATACCACCTCCTGGAGGCATAAATTGTATTATTATAATCTGCAATTTAAAATCCAAATTTACTCTCGCTCCCATAGGGAAACAAAAACACTCTCTAATGAATATTTTACCATAATGCTTAAAAAGTAAAGATGTATTCAAACAAACGCTTACGCTTATTACACATTTTGTTTAAAACATATAGATTCTATTACTCAGTTTGGGAATCTACGCGGCTGGTCACCTTAGAAATTTCATCATGTTCCTCTCTCCATTTGCAACAATCCAAGGGAGCTGTGTTTAAATACAGACTTCCCTCTGGCAGCTCTATGTCTCTTTCTGATGAATCCTGCTATGCAGGAGTTCAGGGGATTCTGATGTCAAATGAGATTATGACCTCACGAAGCTCACCTTTGAAGGAGGATGAAAAAGGAAAGAAAGAAAAAAATCCCCAAACCTGCACAACTGCTCTAAAAGAACGGGTTTCCAATTTTCTTTGCTGTATTACTTGTAACTGTACTTACTGTATAACACTATGTGATGAGAGTCTCAAAAGATCAACGATTTTTTTCCCCACGGTTTAAAAACCTGTTCCAAAAACTGCACTAATGCACAGAAATTATGGATGTGTTCTAGGGAATAATTTTTAGGGTTTGGTAGTTTTTCCTAAACTGGGCATCCTTCAGATATACAGTATTCAAGTCTCAGAATTCTCAGCAGTAACCATATTGGTTGGATAAGTTTGGGAGTTCTCTAGAGTCTAGACCGCACATGTCAAACTCGCGACATCACGTGACGTTGCGCAATGCATCGGAGCTTTTCCCCCATTGCCGGCAAAGGGATGGGCATGGTTTCCCGGTGATGCGTCCGGCCCATGGGCCGGGAGTTTGACACCCCTGGTATAGACCATGTCCAGATTTGAGAAGACTGATATATGGGTAACTAAAAGGTCCAACACTGTCCTGTACATTTTTACGTATGCTGCAGATATTTTTAAATCTGATGAATGTCTGTAGGAGTTAAACAGGAATTCCTAAATAGTAAAGCGATGTGGAAAGTGTTCTTTGAATAGCCAATACATTAAAAAAACCCTGACCATGCTATATATTAGACCCATCTCTTAAGCAGCTAAATACTTTATACAGAGTGAGTTAATACATAATCGTACTTTTGCTTTTGAAGCCCAAGTGAAGGGTTTCAAAAGCTCCACTCAATACATCTAAAAACCAGGATACAGTATTCTGTTTCTTTTACCTCTCTCTCTCTCTCTCTCTCTCTCTCTCTCTCTTTCTCTCTCTCTCTCTCTCTCTCTCTCTCTCTCTTTAGGAGTTGGAGACAAATGCTGAAAGTCAGTAAAATCAAAGGATGGAAAAACAGCTGTCCTCTTCCTTATATTAGCTCTAAATTGTTTACATGTACTAACTTGTAAAAAGCATTCCCTTGAATATAAATTTAAATCTAGAGTAGAAGGGCAGCATCCAAATTATAAAATACCTTAACAACCAAAGCCTCCTTTAAATTTGATAAAAGATGCCTCATTGTTTGACTTCAGACATCTCTGAAAAACCAAAAGAAAGAAGTGAGTTACGCTAACTCTTAGCATCAATGCATATTTATTTATTTATTTATTTAATATGCCTGAGTTATTATTTTTGTAAATAGTTCAGGGTGGCACATATATGATCCTAATAATCCTTCTTCCTCCAATTTCCTCAACAACAACCTTGTGAGTCAACTGGGCTGAGGGAAAGTGACTTGCCTAAATCACCAAGATGGCTTTCCTGCCTAAGGTGGGACTAGAACTCAGTCTCTTGCTACCAGTGTTTCTCAACTTTGACAATTTTAAGGCATGTGGACTTCAACTCCCAGAATTCCACAGCCAGTGTTGCTGGCTGTGGAATTCTGGGAGTTGAAGTCCACATGCCTTAAAATTGTCAAAGTTGAGAAACACTGAATCTAGGCCAACATATTAACCTCTGAACCAAACCAGCCTACAAATACTTGCATTTTAAGTAATTCTGAAGACACATCACTGACCATTCAAAAAACAAATAATTAACATGCAGGTTCTTTTTTTTTTCCTTTACTTTAATCATGATAGCTATCTATAAATCAGTAACGTGATTTTGACAATGCTAGAAGTGCCCTCAAACAACAAATTTACCGCTTCTGGACTTTATGTTGGTGACTGAAAAAAATAATGAAAATTTGATGTTAGATTTTGATGACTAGATTGACTTTGTTGTTATAGAAATAGTTTGAAATAGAAATATAAAATAAAAGGCTGAGGTGTACAGGTAATCCTCGACTTATGAACACAGCTGGACCCAAAATTTCTGTTGCTAAACGAGACAGTTGTTAAGTAAATTTTGCCCCATTCTATGATCTTTCTTGTCACAGTTCTTAAGTGAATCACCGCAGTTGTTAAGTTAGTAACATGGTTATTAAGTGAATCTGGCTTTCCCCATTGACTTTGCTTTTCAGAAGGTCGCAAAAGGTGATCACGTGACCCTGGGACACAGCAACCGTCACACACGAATCCGTTGCCAAGTTGTTTGAATTTTGATCACTTGACCACAGGGATGCTGCAATGGTTGGTTGTAAATGTGAAAAATGGTCATAAATCAAGGTTTTTTTCAGCGCTGTTTTAACTTTTAACAGTCATTAAATGAACTGTGGTAAGTCAAGGACTATCTATAATTAATTTTTTTGTATTCTTTCGCACTGAAGAAAGTCGGAAGTACTATTTCTCTTCCTTTTCTTGGCACCTCTCTTTATTTCTCCTTTTATTTTTATTTGTATTTTATCTCAAAACAAACTCCTAATAAAAAAGATAAAAAACAGATCTCCAAAGTTATTACACCTGATTATTCATCATATTCTTTTGAAAGGCTCCGTCATGATTCTGAAATTTTGTAATGGTTTTATCTGAGCTAGGCTGGATGTGTTGCCCTCAGTACCATAGATGCCGGCGTACAAGGCGACCCGGCGTATAAGACGACCCCCGTGTTTGTCGCCGAGCTGCATTCCTAGAACGTCATCTTATATGCCGGAAACTACCAGTATTTCCAGCGTATAAGACGACCCCATCTTTGGCGCCGAGTTTAGCGCTTGCAGAAGTCGTCTTATACGCCGGCATATACGGTAGTTTTTTTTGAACATTTAAGGGGATTCCTTTGTCTCTCTGGTGATGTCCATGGGGCAATGGCTCAATAGAAATGCTAAGCATTATCCTGCTACATATTCCCTATATAAGCACTCTAGACTGACTTTCATTTGTCTGATCTTGACGGAATTTCCACCACTTTTTTTTTGACAAGGACTCTAAAATATCCTACCAACTCACTCCATTTATGCTATAGTCTGTACAATGCATCACACCATTAATTAACTTTGAACAATCATTCATTAATCGATTTTTATAATACTATTTTATTTTATGATGTACGTTTCTACTTTAGATCAAGGGTCCCCAATCCCCGACCCATTACTGGGCCGTGGGCTATTCGGAATCGGGCCACATGAAGCGGGCCGGTGCACACAGCTCCACTTGTGCAAGTGGCAAGCCAGCACACAGCTCCACTCACACAGTGAACGATGTGCACGTGCATGTGTACTGGTCCGCCACTCACCTGAGTGGAGCTGCATGGGTACCAGCCTGCTGCTCGCGCAGCCGGGTTCTCCTCTCCCCCCCCCAGCAGGGACACCAAGCTGCCGTGGCTCCTGGAACATCTTCCACCCTCCTGAGATCAATTCCACTCCCCCTCTTTTGGCCTTCTGAAAGACCTTGAAGACATGGCTATGCCAACTAGCCTGGGATCCCAGACTGGGGTGTGGCGCTTTGGAGGTGGCTAATGGAGTAGATAACACTCCACCTCTTGTCTGGGAGCACTTTGCTCCCTCCTTCTCCCTCCTGTCTAGTTTGATTTTAATTGATTTTAAATGTAAGATCCTTATTTATTGTTTTAATGTTTTAACGTGCATTTTATTCTGTGTCTGTAAGCTGCTGAGTCACCTTTGGCAAGATAGGTGGCATACAAGTTTTTTTTTATTGAAAAGTTTTATACAAATTTTATCACAATACAATATCCCTCCCTCCCTCCAACTGCACAGTTTTCCCCTTTATAGATTGGATGTGTTTTGACACCAGTAGTCACAGATCACAGATCTGTGATCCAATTTTTGGCATAGTTGCATGCAGTTGCTAAGGCTCATTCATGATTTGTGAATTAACAGAACTTCCAAGTGGACTCTATGGAAAAATTAGCAGGATCCACATCTGTTTTCTGAGGTATCAGATCCATTACTATGAATACAGGTAGTCCTCAACTTACGACCACAATTTATGTTAAGTGAGTTTTGCCTCATTTTAAGACTTTTCTTGACACATTTGTTAAATGAATCACTGCAGCTGTTAAATTAGTAAGACGGTTGTTAAGTGAATCTTAACAACAAGAGCCGAGGTGGCGCAGCAGTTAAGAGTGCAGTACTGCAGGCCACTTTAGCTGACTGTGTTCAGCAGGTCAGCGGTTCAAATCTCACCGGCTCAAGGTATATATATATATATACACACACACACATTGCTTACTGGTGTACACCACTTAGAGCAGCGGTTCTCAACCTATGGGTCGCGACCCCATTTGGGGTCGATCGACCATTTTTCGGGGGTCGCCAAAGGCGGCGATCCGCCATTTTCTCCCCTCCGGGGGCGCCGCCGCGCATGGGAGCGCCGGCGCGCATGCACGCCACGCACGGGGGCGGGGCCACGCATGCACGCCGCACATGGGGGCGCCGTGCATGCGGGCCCCCCGCATGCGCATAACGTTTGTGTGACGGGGGTCGCCGTCACACAAACATTGAGAACCGCTGACTTAGAGAGTGCTTGCACTTAAAGCGGTATATAAGTCTCATAAATAAATAAATAAATAAATAAATAAATCTGGCATCCCCATTGACTTTGCTTGTCAAAAGGTTGCGAAAGGTGATCTAATGATCCCCGGACAGTGCAACCATCATAAATGTGAGTCAGTTGTCAAGCATCCGCATGTAAATCACTAGACCATGGGGATGCTGCAACGGGTCATTAAGTGTGGAAAAATGATCAGTCAATGGTCATTTTTCCCAGTGCCGTTGTAAATTCGAACAGTCACTAAGTGAACTGTTCTAAGTCGAGGACGCTCTGTAGTTCATGCAAACTGATGGGAGAACCGTTTCAGAGGATTCCCTCTGTCAAAAGGCATCAATCTTTTTAGGTCCTGGCGTTAACTGTCACTTTATCACCTCCGCCCTCTACCGTTGCTTTCTGGCCTGTACAAAAACAAGACCCAGACGACGGAGCCTTCCTTCGCAGACAAGCCGAGACACCCAACCCGCCATGCAGCTCCGCCCCTTCCCCGGCCAAGCCCCACCCCTGACCACGCGCCCCTCTCGAGCCCCGCCCACTCCGACCTCTTTGTTCGATTTCTTCAGAGCGCGCGACGGCTTCGCCCCCACCGATGGGGAGGGGGAAGCTGTGGAAAGAAGCGGCGCTATCCCATCATGCACCACGCCCCCAACAGACAGGTAGTACACTTCTTGAGAGACCCGGATGGATGGATAGATTGGATGGGGCGGAGGGGGGGGGGGAAGTAAACCAACGAGAACTCGAGCCCCGAAAAGAGGCGAGGCCGTTGAGCTCTACAAAGTCGACTGCTCCCCCTCAGGACTCTCGTCGTTTTTTGCCCAGTAGTCCAAGGGGCGGGGGGGAAGGGAAAGATAAGAGGCGAATGGAGAAGAAATAACGGCACCTTTCAATATTCAGCCCCTCCCCTCTGCGCTTCCGAGCCCTGAGGCGCACCTCGTGTAAGCAGCCTTTCAGACACCGAGGCTCCCAGCTGGCCGTTGCTTCTCGCCCTTCTTTATTCAGGTCCCTTTCTCCTTTGCCACCCCCTTCCTTTGGATACACAACAACTCTCTTAGGCCGGATATGATGTCACTTCCTCCGCTTGCGTGGTTTTTTTTTTGCGAATACCCGTTTCTACGCAAGTTCTCTCACTTCCGGTAACGGTCGTAGATCTACCAAAGTGTAGAGCGATTCCTGTCTATATAAAGCAGGGCGCTTTGCTTTGAATGCTTCGAAGTGACCATTATTCTCTCTTCTCCCTCCCTGGGGAGAAAAATTGGAAAGGGGAAACTATGATCAAAAACCGGCTTAAGAAGTATTTTTCAATATTGGACGCTACCTGTGTAAACCAGGCTCGAAAACTACGATGATTTTTTCTTAAGAATTTCTTTAGAGGATGAGCCAGTTAGAAGTCAAGACTTCCGACAGCCTTTAAAATTTGACGTTAAGGCCTTTTAAACCACGTGCCCGGTGAAATAACTCTGTCAACTCTGCTGATTTATTGAATAAATCTTGGCTGGGTTTGTTCAATAAACTAAAATGTCAATTTTCATACAGACCGCAGATATCCAGGGTGGATAACCCGTCTCGTAGGGTGCGATGCAAAACTCACCCTAAAGGTATTACGTTATACTTCTCATAGTTGGCGATGACCTATCATTCTCTTCAGGTTTTCAGGGTGAAGAAATTGAATTTAGAAATTGAATATAGGGAGGAAGTTTAAGATGCTGTCTTTTAAGTCCCATTAAAATTCCAAAAGTTGGTTAAGTTATATCTAATTATAATTACAGATCAGTTCATTCGATTTTAGCCCCGGACACACTGATTTTCTGAAGTGCAAATTCCAGAATACAATTTGAAGATGAAGTGTTACTGACCCCCCCCCCCCAAGATTGGGCACCCTTCTTTAGCACACTGTTCCACTTAACTGACTCTTTGCATAATTAATTGCAGAAGCTTTTACCAATCCTAGCAGGCTTCCCTTCTTAAAGTTTATCAAGATTTAAGTATAATGTACAATTCCTTCCCAACGACTTCCTGGCTAGAGGGTTCTAATTCTTGTACTCATTGCATCTGCATTAGTCAGAATGGTCTTATAAGATGTACTGTTAACGGTGTATTTAATGGTAATCCAAGGTATATCCATTTAATAGTTTAAAAGAAAATTTCTGAGATCAAATACCAATATAAAGGAAAGGCATGGTATACTTAGCATTTTTTAGGAGTGTTCAAAACATAGCTAGCTCAAAACAACAATTTTGAATATTCTAAAGTTGAATCAACCCACAGTGCATCCAACGTTTTGGCTTTTGCTTGGAACAAGACAGAGCAATTATTTCCACATTCTCATTCTTTAGCTAAAGGAATTAAAATCAAGCCAGCTAATAATGGGAATTGATACAATTGATACAAAGGTGGCATTATACAGGAATAATAGAATGATAAGGCTGGAAGAGACTGGGAGGTCTTCTAGTCCAATCCCTTGTCCAAGGCAGGACTCCTTATAGCCGTGGTGGCGAACCTATGGCACGTGTGCCACAGGTGGCACGCAGAGCCCTCTCTGTGGGCATGTGTACCATTGCCCCAGTCCTAGGCCTTCAGCTGGATTTTATAAAACCTTTTCGCTTTAGGCCTCCACCGCCGTGTGCAAAAAAAAAAAAAAAAAAGGTTCAATCAATTTCAACTTATGAGAAAAAGAAAGATCTCGCAAAGTTGGAATTGATTGAACTTTTTAGTCCCACCCAGTCTGCCGTTACCACCGCAGCCACGCCCACCCAATGGGCCACACCAACCTGGCACCCGACGATATGTAAATGGGTTTTGGGTTGCAGTTTGGGCACTCGGTGTCTAAAAGGCTCGCCATCACTACCTTATAGCATCCCATACAAATGATTGCCCAATATTTAAATTTTTTTTTCCAGCAATGGAGTACCGATAACTCCAGGAGGCAAGCTGTTCCATTTATTAATTATTCTGTCAGGAAATTCCATGTTTCCAGGTTGGTTCTCCTTCTGATGAACTCTCACCCATAGCTTCTTGTCCTGCCCCAGGTGCTATGGAGAACAAATTGGCCCCTCTTTCTTCTGACAGCTCTTCCAAGTATTGGAAGATGACTATCGGGTCTCCCCTAAGCCTTCTCATCATTAGGCTAAACATAGTTCTCTTAGCCGTTCTTTGTATGATTTAGCCTCCTTACCCTGTATCATCTTTTTTGCTCTTCTCTGCACTCTTTCTAGAATCTTTTTTTGTATCGTGGCAACTGGAACTGGACCCAGTATTCCAAATCTGGGCTCTCTAGTACAGTATAGAGCGGTAGTATCACTTTCTGTGATCTTGAAACCATCCCTCTGTTTTACAGAGGGGATATCAAATTTTATATAGAGAAAAAAACCACAAAGGATATATATGATACATCAGAAACAACAAATTAAACAATAAAAGATATTGATGTGCTTTATTAGATGTGAGAAAAGACAAACTCCCTTAAAATATGTTGCATTTCCTACTTCCACATTCTGGTTTATTTAACACTTGCAACTGAATCAAATAGTCCTATTGTTTGGTTATTGAAAAGGCTAGTTTTTGCACATCAAAGAAAATGGCTTTGACTCAAAGGAAAAACTTGTTTCCTGATCTTCAAAAGGAGGCATGGATGCTGTGCTAAAATGCTAACATCTTCCAGAAATGCTAATAATAAAGCCTAAATTTTTACATGTAACACTTTTATTCCATTACCACAGGTTCCATTTTCATTTTCATCTATTATCAGCATAGCCCAGGTTGACGTTTCTTGTTCCAGTTTTAGAACCACATACACTGTCTTCCAATACAGTTTCCCTCAATATGTATCCGGTATATAGGTTGAATAAATAAATAAAAACCCATTATACAGTCTTGCCTCACTTCTTTGCTGATCTGGAATTTGTCTGTTTTACCATTTCTGTCTGGACGGTGGCTTTTAGACCTGTATATAGATTTCTCTTGAGGACAAAGAGATGTTCTGGGATTCCCATTTATCTGAGCACATTCCATTTGATATGGCCAACACAATGAAAAGCTTTTCTATAATCAATGAAGCACCTATTGAGTTCCTTCTATTACTTTTGTCTTTCTTTTTTAAAAAAAATATTGAAAATTTTAATTACAGTAGTAAAAGTCAATGCAAACTAACTTCAAAAAAAAAAAGAGAAGAGAGAAAAGAAGTAAAGAAAAAAGGAACAAATAAGAAACAGGGATAATGAATGTTTAAGGCAAGTGACTTTCAATTTTTATTACAAGTATAAATTTAGTAATTTGTCATCGTGTATAAGGATATGTACAAGTGTCTCTTCTTTCCATAACTCCATGGTGGCGAACCTGTGGCGTGGCACACAGAGCCCTCTCTGTGGTCACGCATGCCATCACCCCAGTCCTAGGCCTTCAGCTGGGTTTTATAAAACCTTTTTGCTTTAGGCCTCTACCGCCATGTGCAAAAAAATAAATAAAATTCAATCAATTTCAATTTCTTGCGATAAAAAAAGGATCTCGCAAAGTTGGGATTGATTGAACTTTTTAGTCTCACCATTTGCTAGTTACCACGGCAGCTACAGCCACCCAATTGGCCATGCCCACCCAATTGGCCGCGCCCACCCGGCACCCGACGATACATAAGTGGGTTTTGGGTTGCAGTTTGGGCACTCAGTCTCTAAAAGGTTCGCCATCACTGGTATAAGGGATAGAGGGTTTGTGTGGTATCATTTCCATCAATTTATACAATTTTTAGAGTTAATCGGCATAAATATTACATAACTTTCATAATTAGATAAAAATACAAATAATATAAACTGGAATCCATGCTAATTTATGTAAATTGTTAAAAACAACCCATTATTACCCATTATTTTGAGGTAATGTTGGACTGAAACTTTGTCTGTTCCATGTAGTCTTTAAATGGTTCTGCTAAACTGAGATTTTATTGTATGCTTCTCTATTGAAGCATCTATTATTCGCTACAAGTCATTAAAAAGCATGTCCTTGATCAATTTTTCTTTAGGTGACGTGTTCTCTTCAGTCAGTCTACTTTCATGGAAAAACAAGTTTTGAATTTGCCGTAAACAACAAATGTTTCATAAGAGATCATGCTGACCTCTAAGTACAAAATGTTTTCTTCTGTTCTGTACAAATACCCCATTTCAAAAGAAATGTAAGATGTATTATTATTTTTAATAAAAGAGCAATGTAATTGATATGACCTATATTTCCACTACATTTTCAAGATTTAATGTGTTTCATTGCAGGCTAAATACACATTGCACAAAAGACGCCATATTCACAATACCAGAAAATTAGGCTGCTAACTGTGTTTGCATTAAAAAAAGTAGTCCTAACTGAAAACCGAAAATGAGTGTGTGCCGTTAATGATAAAGGATGAAGAACTAGTCTCAAATTTAAACAATTTTATTCCATCTCTTCATATGTTCAAATTTCCACATACTGTACTTTCTTCCAATTCACAATTCGGGCTTTCTTTGGCTTTTCCCCTCCAGATGCTTCCTACTAGCATCAGTTGAATTTTTCTTAGCTACAGCCATCTTACTTATTTGACAGACAACAATAAATTAGTGAGAGCACAAATAGAGCAAAGCAGAGAAGTAATGAATCCAATTGGGATCTTTAGTTCTAAAAAATTAACTGTTCCTGGCTGAAGACTTTTCCACGAATGAGCAAAAACAATGGCTGCTGTGAGGAACAAAAACGTCTACAAGTTCTTCGGATCTCTCTGGAGCAGAAACTGGGAAATTGCCTGTGAGTATTCTGAATGGCAACTCTTTGTGAGGAGAGAGTGGTTTCCCATAGATTGGAGGTCTGGAAGCCAAGGGAGATGACAGCTTTGTTCTCAGCAGTGGCAGAGCTTTTTATAAGAACACTAAGCCAACCAAACTCACTTTCTAATCAATTATGGAACTGTTCAGTTTAACCTCTTTATGGATATTAGAGATCTTCAAACTGTGAGCTTAATTTGACATCTGATGAGTTTATCTTCTTCTTTGGATTAAAAACAATTTTAAACAGAAACGTAGGAATTTAAAATAATATACAAGTAACAAAAAACAAAAAATAAACATTTTGATTTAAGGTTTTTAAATGGACTGGGACACCAGAGAGATTTGGTATGTTATACTTTTGCTGTGAGATTTGAAAAACAAGTACGTAATTACTCATGGGAAGCAACTGAAACGGAACTAAAACCATATTAGGGACCAAGACTTGCTAATTATAAATGGATACTAAAAGGAATTGAAGGACCAGGCAGAAAAGCAATAAAATGCTAACCTGCTATAACTTTTTTTTAATCTTACGAGTTTTTTAAAAAAAACATTATTAACTAATATCTCAGAAAGGTTATAGATTTCAATGGATAACTTTTAAATGATGATTTTTTAAAAAAACTTTTACCCAATATAGATATTAGAATTTGAAGAAAATATAATTGAGATTACCAAAATCAGAATACAAAAAGATAAATAAAGGATCTGGATATGGAACAGCTGTGACATAATATCCTGGATGATGCTGTTTATTGGATTTACAAAAGTAGGTTGGTAAAAGCTTTGAAGATGTCTGTTGAATGCCAAAGATGATATAACAAACCCTGGGATGCCATAGAAATGATTTAGAGGTCAAGATTGTGCAGAGCAAAAAGATGGAATATGACTGAACTATTTGTTCTTACTTGTAACCTCTAATAGACTTTTCCTGAACTAGGATTGAAAAGAAAATGATTTCTGGATTGTATATAGAAAAAAGTTAGGCTACAGGGGAGAATAATTTACAGGTAGTCAAGTTAAAACTGTTCACTGTTTGAAGTTACAAGAGCACGTTAAAAAGTAACTTATGACTGTTTTTTAGTTATGACCGTAGCAGCATCCCCATGATAATAATAGTAAAGTTGGAAGGGACCTTGGAGGTCATCTAGTCCAACCCCCTGCTAAGGCAGGAAACCCTATACCATTTCGGACAAATGGCTGTCCAGTCTCTTTGATTACGTGATCAAAATTTGGACGCATGGCCACTGACTCATATTTATGAGTTGCAGTGTCCCAGGATCATGTGATCACCTTTTGCCACCTTCTGAGAAGCAAAGTCAATGGGGAACCCAGATTCACTTAACAACCGGGTTACTAACAACTGCAGTGATTCACTTAACAACTATGGAGCAAAGCTCACTTAACTGTTTCACTTAGCACCAGACATTTTGGACTCCATTGTGATCATAGGTCGAGGACTATCTGTATTTGTAATATTTAAAGAGGGTGGTTTGTTTTTTTTTACTGTTTATTAAAAACCAATAAAATTAACAAAAATATTTTAACTTTTTTAGTCCTTAGTAGCTCCAGCATTTCTAAAATGTTTTTCTTTAACACTGCCCTCCATATCGATTTCTTGTTCTTCTGCATAGTGATTCTATATGTTAATAGACGTTTATAATGATTTCAGAAGTGCACATATTAATATTACATAAATTTATGGGTAATGGCTTGTATTACTGGTTTTACAGTCGATCCTACAAAGAATCCAACTGATTATTCAAAAGTACATGACTACAGCTATTTTTCCCTCAATAATTAAAGAAAGCCGAGGTGATGCAGCAGTTAGAGTGCAGTACTGCAGGCCACTTTAGCTGACTGTATTCAGCAGATCAGCAGTTCAAATCTCACCGGCTCAAGGTTGACTCAGCCTTCCATGGTAGGTAAAATGAGGACCCAGATTGTTGGGGGCAATGTAAATATATATATATATATATATATATACACACACACATACATTGCTTACTGGTGTACACCGCTTAGAGAGTGCTTGCACTTAAAGCGGTATATAAGTCTCCTAAATAAATAAATAAATCCTCAACAGGGATCTCCAAATCATTTGGGACTTAACCGGATTTCTTAGGCTAGGCTAAATAATGAACTCCTGACCTATAGCATAGAATGTTCATTCAGTAACGATTTATACCAAGGATAAGAAAGCAGTGGCCTTACAAGTGATCCCTGCTTAATTCATTCAGTGACAGCATTGCCATGGCCACTGGGGTGCCCCTGTGGGCATAGCATCAAAATTTGGGTGCTTGGCAACCCAGCTGCTTTTATGGGGTGTGCTTCAGCAATTCCCACCTAGCTTTCCCCCCTCCAGTTCTCTGCCCTTTTGGCGCTGTGCATTAAATATCTATTGCTGCCATGCATTCCACACACCCAACTGATCTTCACCGTCCTCTTGTGCCTGCTGACAAAGGATGCCCCATCATGAGGCCGCCGCTGAGCACACAAGGCCGTCTTCCTGAGGTTGCGTGAAGCCTTGAAACCTTGCCAGGCTTCCTCATGAAATATTGGGCTATGTCACAAGGGGCCAGGCCAGATGTGCCTTGTCAGCAGCGGGAGCAAGAAAGTGAAAGATAGGTGGGGGACAGTGAAGCACAGAATTGGGACAGCTATAGCTTCATACTCTGGTGCTAACCTAGTCTGAGATGGCTGCAGCTTTGCACTATGGAGCTGGGGCAGCTGGGGCTTTGCGAAGGGCCTGACCTGGTGTGCCCCATCATCATCAGATGGTAAAAGAGATATCTGAGGCAACGGGGGCAACAGAAGGTGGAGCTATGCTCACAGCAGGCCGTGGCAGCCATTTACCCAGCTGCCAGCCTGCTTGTGAGCTGCCTAGGACTCGCAAGTTGCTACTGGCTTCACCACTGACTCTGCTTGTTGGAAGCTGGCAGAAAGTCACAAGAGGCGACTTACTTAATTACCCACAATTTTCACTTAATGATCATATCAGGGACTGCCAGGATTGACACAGCTAAGCAATGTGGCCATGTGATACTGCGTTTTACAGTAACTGCATTGCTTAGTGACTGAAATTTTGATCCCAATTACCAGGACTACCCATGCAACATTTAACTATAATATCAACATTTCAAGGCCCAGAAACCCTTCCATGTATGAGCAATGGTAGTATTGGAAGCAGCAATTCCGAAAGACCACTGGTTCTTCATGTTTGCTGCAAATTACATTAATGTCATTTTTTTTTTTTTTTGGGTGGAAACTCTTATTGTTTCACAATCTAGTCAATGAGCACACAAAACTGTTTGTAAACAGAAGCGAGGCTTAGTTTACTCGATTGGTTTGGTTTATTGGTTTGACACTATAATAACTTGAATTCACA